GTGACGTCATATGAGGAACGATTTTCAGTTAGTTGTATAGAAAATGTGTAGCACGCTCATCATTTTGATGATTTCTCGACATCAACGACGACATGCCGAATCGTTGCTTTGTCGTCAATTGCTCCTAGGGTCGGGCGATGGTGTCCCCATGCACAGATTTCCACAGGACCCGCAGTTCGTGCTAAATGGGTTATGTTTGTGAGTGCGAAGCGAGCGTTGTGGAAGCCTGAAACGATATCTTACTTGTGTTCAGATCGCTTCACGGAAGTTAAAGAATCAAAACTACTTACTAGTTGTAGTAAAATATGCATATGATTGATGACCATAAAGATTTTCTATGACACAACTTGTAACATAACGATTTCTTCCTCGGAAGTGAGGTTGTGGTCGAAGTAATAATAATATTGTAAGTAGTATTATATTGACACCCACCTCGCTGCCACGAGAGAAATTGTTATGATATACGCTATGTCATGCAAAATCCTATTGGCCATCAATAAAATACATATTTTACTACCAGTAGAAAGTAGTTTTGATTTTGTAACTCGGTGAAAACAAACCTAAATACCATTTATCCTCAGACTGGCGGATGTTCCCGACAGAAGTGCGCCGCCATTTTTAAAAATAAAAATCTGTTAGAATTAATGAGATTATAGTTTGTTTTCATCAAGTTAGAAAATCAAGACTACTTTCTACTCGTTGTTAAATATGTATTGGAATCATAACCAAACGGATTTTGCATGACACAACTTATAACATAACGATTTCTTCCACGGAAGCGAGGTGGGGTCGAAGTCACAATACTGCGCGATAAATTTCTTGCTACATTCCATGGTTAATGTCCACTCACCAGTATGTAGATACTAGTCAATGTGCGTCTTTATATTTGGTCTTATAATCCTAATTAGTTTATTATCACACTTGTATGCATTTTGAAACTAAATAAAAAGCAGACGATCTGCTGATACTTATAGTGAATTTATAACAGAACTGTAATATCTAGACATTTTATAGTTTGCCAATGTGAATCATAATTCGCACACACACACCTAGTGCATGTTGTCTGTCTCATTACACTTCACGGCGAAAACAATGATTCTGTTGAATGCTACGACAAATGAATAAAACAAAATGCAAATATTAAAATTAAAACAGATTAAAGTTATAGGAACAATATCAGGCCATTACCTTGTTCGAGGAATGTATCCATCAATATCCACAAAACTGTTCCAAATGATGTGTCTTTTAACAGTTTAATATACGAAAAAGTGATCAATCTTTTCAGGTATTGGTGTATAGTCTCATTGGTCACCCAAGATAGCACACCTGGCAACTAATTGCATAATGTCCGCCTTTCTTTAAAAACAGTAATTTAGTTAGCCAATAATGGGCAATCAATCAATGTATTGCCGGTTAATCCTTTGAAAGAAGGACGTTGTTTTTACGCAGACACCGACACGACAGAGTGTATTCAGTATAGATTAGTAAATCTACATACATAAACACTACCTTTTGACAATTCCGCTGTGTAAGATAAAAGTAATTAATCAATCAGCGTGTTATCGGTTAATCCTTTGATCGATGTTTATAATGTTGAATATTTACTCCAGACACAAGAAATGCCAAATGGGAACCTTTGTCGGGTAATCTAAGTGTGTTACCACTAATTATACCTGTTATAATTCATTAACTGACCATCAAGTGAATGATGACAAATAACATGTGTAGGTTTATACCACCTAACACGGGTTACAACAAGGGAGTATTAATTGCTGTATTGCATGTGAAAACTTATGGGCCGACACTGTTTTGAGAATACAAACAGATTTTTACATGACATGATTAAATATCGAGGTAAAACAACACAGAAATGGGATCAATTTGGATCAGTCATTATACAAATAGGGCCTAACGACACCAATCGATTTTGACAGAATCGTCTATGAAAACAAGTTGTAACTCGGAAACTAGGCAAAGCAGGAGACAAAATTAAATGACAGTAGATTGTGAGAACATATAGCTTTCATTTTCCACAACAATTGTCACGATTTCAGGTTATTCAAGCCTGTAAACACGATAATTTACCCCCTAAAATGTAGATGAATTCTGCATCGGCTCTCAAAGCTATTCCTCATATGACGTCACAGAGGCGCGCCGCTCTGATTGGTTGAAATTTCGTTCGCGGGTGAGAATTGTGCACTGTTGTCAAAAAAGGTCGATTTAAGTCAATTAAAGGTCGAAATGAGTAGTTTTAATGACGGGGTTTCATTTATAACGATGCCAGTTAGTGATTTATGTATTTGTACCCCCTAGGGTTTATGTGACCTTTAACAGAAGAGTTTCCAACATTCCGTACTTCGCTACATGGGGCAACACGAGACACGTGGACATGTGCATGGACAAAGGTGGACAACTCCCGTATCAATTTACAACCTGAAGTTGTATTGAATAATTCTACCATGACTTCAGTAAATACTGGATTGGGATTTGTTAATCAAAGTCATTCAGAGGTATATAATCACGTTATATACCTCTGATTCTCCAACACAGTATGTATTTTTGCAAAATCTTAATAACCCGGTCATGGTAGAATGGAGATAAACGTACTGTGTTGGAAAATCAGAGGTATATAACGAAATTATAATAGCTCTAAATGTTTTTTATTTAAAACCTCACGCTACGCGTTCGGTATTAAATCAAATTTAGAGCTATTATAATTTCGTTATACACCTCTGATTTTCCAACACAGTATGTTTATCTCCTAAACAACACACTCTACAATAGACATAAAAAAATACCGGCAGACTCGACAGTGACGGCCGTGGCCACCAGACCTGCTACTAAAAGCTGCCACATTCTCCAAGTCTTGTAAACGTCTGTCTCGTCACAAGCCGGTTCCAGATTAGGAAACTCGTCCAATCTTATCTATAGGACTAGGCTATGGTCACCCTCACGCTGTCTAATACTGGTCTCACTCCTTCAGTTTAGAATAATCATATTTAATGAAAGTTTATATTAATTTCAAAATTTATTCCAAACAATAAAATACATTATAAACATTAACAAACAATTAGCTATACATGTCAAGAATACGATATACGAACGTAAATAATGTATTGCTTTAAATAATCGATGGCCATGTGGAAGCCACGGTGTCAGAGTGGGTAAGATTGCTGTCTTTGTGAGCTTGCAATTAGGTGCATTATTCTGTGAGAGGGTTAGGGTTGCCGAATAGGAATCACCACCCCACCCCCACCCCCACCCCCAAAGAACTAGAATCTGTACTTGATTGAGATGCCAAACAGGAATAATTCCCCAAAAAGAACTAGAATCTGTACATTCGTTATATTTGATTAAATATTCATGTCTATTGTTAATAAGGGGCATCAATCTTTCATCAGAATAACGCTCGTTTCCAAGACCAAACGTAACATCGACTTGATATGTGATGCTATCTGTAGGACAGAATCTATGTAATATTTGTGTCTGTCACATCTTTCCAAAATGCACAGAGGTTTTCCTGTGAAATGGTAGGTTTAGCTTATCTATAAATTGACAGTTCATGTCCGTTCATGGCTGTTCCTCGCACGAAAGATCTGTTTTGTCATGTCACTCGATGAAATCAACATGTGTTTCTTTGCGGCTTTCTGTAAGGAGTAGGAGGAAAAGAAACGTGTACAGTTGAAATTGAGCTTGCCCCCCAAAATGACAAACGTTAACAAAACCCTATCAGGCTCTCATCAGTCAACGAAACTCTTCAAACTCTTACTACAACACTAATACCCGTGTGAAGTACGTAACCATCGAGGAACTATTCCTTGTTTGTTTCGTTTCAACCAACATAAAACATGGGATGTATACTCTCACATGTCAAGCAAAGATCCATGTCACTGGCAACCAACATACAGGCGCGAGGCTTCAACCACGACGGGCTGTGTATACTGTTTACCAACATACAGGCGCGAGGTACAACCACGACGGGCTGTGTATACTGTCTACCAACATACAGGCGCGAGGCTTCAACCACGGCGGGCTGTGTATACTGTCTACCAACATACAGCCATATATGCTAAAACACATGGTCTGGTGTGGCAACACAGAATAGACCATGCGTGTACGTAGATCACGTGCCCCATGTAGTTGCATCTTATGACATGCAAACCGGTACCTATTCTAACCTGGGAACAAGAGGACACATTTCTTTGTTTATTCCGAGTTCACAACATGGAATGTCGCAAAACGAGATGACAGAGAGGCTCGATGGTCGTGCAGAATCGCAAGCCTGACACTGAGAAGTATGGACATAGGTTTGAAGCTTACTATAATAGGGGGTTGATGCGCTATATCATCCCGATATCAAATTTTCAAGATTAGACCCATAGTGATTAGACCCATTATTTACCAAAACCTGTTCGTCTCCACGCGCCGCCATCTTTGACGATTTTTATGCCGTTTTGGGATGCTATGACCGCCGTTTTGTACGCTCGGCGACCTTTCTTGGGCGCTCTTGTACCTGATACGCAAGTTTTGTTTCCATTTCCAACGATTAGTTTCCATTACAGATGCGTTTGTTTCGGTTTTAGAGGAAATTGTTGTGAAATACGTAACCATCGAGGAACTATTCCTTGTTTGTTTCGTTTCAACCAACATAAAACATGGGATGTATACTCTCACATGTCAAGCAAAGATCCATGTCACTGGCAACCAACATACAGGCGCGAGGCTTCAACCACGACGGGCTGTGTATACTGTTTACCAACATACAGGCGCGAGGTACAACCACGACGGGCTGTGTATACTGTCTACCAACATACAGGCGCGAGGCTTCAACCACGGCGGGCTGTGTATACTGTCTACCAACATACAGCCATATATGCTAAAACACATGGTCTGGTGTGGCAACACAGAATAGACCATGCGTGTACGTAGATCACGTGCCCCATTTAGTTGCATCTTATGACATGCAAACCGGTGCCTATTCTAACCTGGGAACAAGAGGACACATTTCTTTGTTTATTCCGAGTTCACAACATGGAATGTCGCAAAACGAGATGACAGAGAGGCTCGATGGTCGTGTCTACACCAGTGACGTCCTTATCCCAGAGATCCACTCAGGAGACACTGCAACTGAAGGGAACAGACAGAAGGATGAATAAAAGATATACGCATCAGGCTTACCATACAAGGGACCACATTGTGCAGAATCGCAAGCCTGACACTGAGAAGTATGGACATAGGTTTGAAGCTTACTTTAATAGGGGGTTGATGCGCTATATCATCCCGATATCAAATTTTCAAGATTAGACCCATAGTGATTAGACCCATTATTTACCAAAACCTGTTCGTCTCCACGCGCCGCCATCTTTGACGATTTTTATGCCGTTTTGGGATGCTATGACTGCCGTTTTGGGATGCTATGACCGCCGTTTTGTACGCTCGGCGACCGTTCTTGGGCGCTCTTGTACCTGATACGCAAGTTTTGTTTCCATTTCCAACGATTAGTTTCCATTACAGATGCGTTTGTTTCGGTTTTAGAGGAAATTGTTGCAGTTTTGGAAGTTTATTTTCCTAGTTTGGTGACTTTTGTTCTGTTCTGGTGTATATGAGTTCAGTTTTGAGGATTTGTTAACCGTTTTTATGGTAGGCCTGTGCATGTGACTGTGCGTGTTTGTATGGTGGGGTGTTGTTTTGTTTTTTATGTAATGTTGTTTAACACCAAAACAAGATATGGTCCAGCTTTGTGACAGCGGCCTGTAAATAATCGCATCCATCCGACCACCTGACATGTTATTCGCCTCTTACGACCCACACATTGATGAGGGCCTATGCTGAGCCGGAATCTCCACGGGGTGTGGCTTAATGAAAGGAAATATGCAATACGTCAGAGTAAATTATGATAATTGTTTCTTCCAAAGGGACACTTGTGGTCTTCGTTCCACAATTTGCTGTGTCGCGTAGCTCTGCTGATGGCACCTCTGATATAACAAAATTAGTGTTCAAAGAGGCGTTAAATCAATTTCCTCCTGTTATTACACTGTACTAGAAGTGTTCAGAACCAAGTGGGAAATAAGTACTTACGGTAGTGCATGGTTTTGCTGAAAAAGGAAAAAACAAAAGTTTAATTGCCCAGTACAAGTCCTTATGGATATATTCATGAAATGATTATATAATCGTCTCCCCTTGGAATAACCTTAAATTAACTTCTGCGGGAGGAACGCCCCAAGTGTAGATCCTTATAGTTAGGGTCTGTTGTAGTTTCTGTCAATCGGTGTTAAAAGGCGAGGTGAAAGTGGGTTTTACGTCGTGCTTGAGAATTTCGCTCATATGACGACGTGCATGCATGTGTATGACTGTATGTGTATGTGCGGCTGCTTGTACTAGCCCAGACTTAAGCTGGTTTTATAGTGCTAGCCCACTTAGATACCATGCCGCAGTGAAGCATGAATACCCCACTCAGACACATTATACTGACTCTGAGCCGACCAGTTCTTGATGTACCCATTAATGCCGAGTGCCAGACAGGGACCAACAAGTACCATATTTTAACGTCTTTTGGTTTGACGCGGTCGGGGATCGAACCCGCGACCTTCTGCTCTCCGGGCGGACGCTCTAACCACTACACCTCGGAGGCGGTCTGTTAAAAGTGAGAGAAGCCATTTTTGAGAAATTGTGAAATTTAGTGTTCAAAATTATTGCACATATGTAGGGTCCACACAGCTGTCAAGAGCTGTTAGTCGTGGGTTCAAATCACAGATAAGCCGTGGTCTGTCTTCAAATCACCTTCCCCTATACCATTCACCCTGATATGCTAATGCATAAATGCAATGCGGCGGGATTACAATAACGTCACCAATCACTCGTCACATTCGGAACGTACATGTCCTGCAGGTGCACGTCTTGCAACCTCGACTGTCTGGCTGGAAGCCGTAGGTACACGTGACTGAACCGCAGTCGATCGGATCGCAGTGAACTGGAAAGGACAAGTAAGGGGTGTTCTATATCATCTGTTTACAAACGTACATAAAAAATGTTTAATACAGGATAGTGATAACTTTACTAGTTCTGAAACTGTTTCATAGCAACATACTAATAAATTCCTCCAAGTAGTTCCACGTTTTCTAAGCCAGTACGAGTGAGTGAGTGAGTTTAGTTTCACGCCGCACTCAGCAGTATTCCAGCTATATGGCGGCGGTCTGTAAATAATCGAGTCCGGACCAGACAATCCTGTGATCAACAACATGAGCATCGATCTGCGCAACTGGGAACCGGTGAGATTTGTCAACCAAGTCAGCGAGCCTGACCACCCGATCCCGTTAGTCGCGTCTTACGACAAGCATGGGTTACTGAAAATCAATATTCTAACCCGGACCTTCACGGGTCGAAGCCAGTACGAGGCGCCATGATCATGTATCACCTACCTGGACACCTACCTGTCGGGATACATGTTCCTGATTATCTGAACACATGTACCTACCAATTGTCACACAGTGGGCGCCGCAGATGTGAGGACAACACCTCTGCCCTGCTCCACAGGTCCCGTCTGCGAAGCACTTGGGCATGTAAATACACGCATACACCGTGCCTGGTGGGTCAGTCGGACACACGTCTGGAAGGAGCAACGTTGATATAACATGGTTTTGACCAGACAAACAAGACCCATTTTGACTGGGATTAATATACACGTTTACAGGTGTTTATATATGACAACAGGGCTCCTATCATTCCAATCAGTGACAGAAGATGTCCATTTCAATAAGCTTCGGGTGATCTACATACATCATCTGTTGGACTTTGTATTATCCTTCAGTATTTAGTCTGTTGGCGATTACTCAATGAGTTTCATGGGGAGAACAATGGGAATATTACAGATGGAGGCATAGATCCTCGTCGTCTGTTATCCTAGGTATATATCGTTCTTCCGTTGTAAAATAACAAGCCAGTACAATATCTTTGTATTGTGGACTATCCAATTTCCACGGCACTATAAATAGCCGTCGAATCAACTTACATTCATGAGCGGGGTAAGATTTGTGCGGTTGAGAGAGGTTGAGATGGTGACGTCACTTCATTAACGAAACTTAAGCAGCTAGTGGTTCCAGGCTAAGTGGGATGATAAATTGGACTTATGAAAGTTATCATCTGACCCAGAAAGTCATTTCAAGTGAGCCGCATGTGTGAATGCCGAATTAACTTATGTGTTAAAGAGTGCGCTTTATATTTCTTTTACGTTTTACTCCTTTCTTGGAATCTGCATTTCTAAAGAGACATCCAACCTACCTTCCTTCACGGTGATAACAGTTCACGTTTCTTGGCCACATTACCCTTCAGAACATGTGAGAAGGAATGCAGACTAACACCGAGTGACAGTCTCGATCAAAAGTTCACCAGTCAGTTTGTATTAAAGATTCTCCAATAACATAGAAACAAATGTTAATGTCATGAAACATACAATCGCATGACATTTATCTTTTACATACGGAACAAACCGGGTTACTTCTTTTCGAAATACAATAATCAGATATGCAGGTTTGAATGTTTAGCTCACTCATATCAATAATATAGAAGGGATGACTGGGTGATTCGAAAGTTCACCTGAACACCTAGCTATAACCTCGGAGTTCAAACCCACCCACACACACCCACCCCAAAAACATCACAAAAAAACCCAAAATACAACAACAAAACAAACACAAACAACAACAACAACAAAACAAAGAAATTTCGTCAAGTGAGTACTTTTTAGTCGTACGTCGCTGTCCGCAATATTCCAGCAATATCACGGTGGGCAACACGAGAAATGGCCTTCACACATTGTACCCATGTGGGGATTCGAAACCGAATGCTATAACCAATCGGCTACCCCACCACCAACCGTCCATGAATTGATACAGGATACATATTTTCAATATAGACATTCTTTATGGATAAATGTAGTACTATTCGTTCCATATCAATAAATACATGCCAATCTGATAAAACCGTTCCGTTGTTCAGAAAAAAGATGATTCCTAAAATAGGAAGTCATAAATCTACACCGGAAGTAGTCACCCACACGTATGCAAATGCCTCGCCATTCGCCGTGTTTACCCAATAGATGCGATAGTTCCCTTAGCACACCTCTGACAATGAAGTCGGTACAACAGACACATTACAATAGACACAGTACATTAAACAAAAGTCAAAAATAATTACCCGCTGACTCGACAATAACGACTGTCGCAACCAGTCCTGCTACCAGAAGATGCAACATCCTCAATGTCTTTTCAGCGTGTTCGGTTTATACAGTTGGTACCTTAAATGTCGACAAAAAGTCTCCAATCTTATCTTAGCTGAAGTAGACAATATACAAATATTTGACCTTGACATTATTCTAGTAATGATTGTCACTGCCCTGTAGTTTAAGACTTATCTATACAGAAATAGCTTGTTGACTTAAAATATATTTGGATATTTTCAAGAAATGTACGATATACACATGAACAAAGTATCGCAACACCACATATTTTCATAGCATCAAAATGTTACCAATAACTAAAGCAAATGAACTTATCTAAACCTCACCACCATATAGCTGGAATATTGCTGAATGCGGGCGTTAAAACAGCTAACCAACTATCCAAACCTCAATTTTGCTTACCTTCTGCATAAAGTCTCAGTGAGTAATAAAATGTAGTTTATTCAATAAGCAAACTTTGCAAAAATTACTCTCTTTGTAATGCTGATAATAATGGTCGAAAGGCGTTAAAAAGTGCGACAATTTTCAAGATTCTTGCGTACAATCCTCAAGAAATCACATAATGTTCAGTAACTGAGCACAGTGTCAATATCCGGTGTAACCTCCTCCAAGTATTATAACATGTCTGACCCTTCTCCTCGCTGAATGTATCAGACGTTGAATTTGACGTTCAGGTATTGCGTTCAATTCTTGATGGAAGGCTTGTTCCAATAAATCAAGATTTTGTACTGCGGATCTCACCGACGTATTCCCAAACATGCTCAATGAGATTGAGATCTGGGACTCCCCAGCGGGCCAAGGTTGTGTGTCTACTGCCTCTTGACGCAGGAAATCATCAACTGCATAGTTGGCATGGCATTGTCGCCCATGAAGATTGACCTTGTGTTCAGAGACTTATCATTGAAATTGGTACGACAACGTATGTGTTTTATTCGTTTTGAATGTTCTTACTGTCGTCTTTTCAGAAAACAGACTGAAAATAGAAACAGTTCCGGCGAAAAGGGTTGTTACACTGAAGTGAAATGAAAATGTGTGAACTCTGTCATGCTATGACCAATCCAGAGTGTGTGGGTTTAGGGACTGCCGAGTCTGGAGAAGGCAAACAAGTCGCTTAACGTGCGCTCCATTGCGTCAGGAGATGATGACACACAACATCATCCTGGCAACCGCTTGGAATTAACAGAATTCACAAAAGGCCTTCATATTAATTACCGTGTCCGCTGTACGCAAGAAGTCAACTAACCCACTCATCACAAGTACGACTGGGCGAAATAGTCAAACGCTCACCATTTCGAGGTGCAGAGATGCATTAGGTGGCTGTTCCTGTTCCTGTTCCTGTTCGAATCACAGCTGACCCTTGATTATGACCGCCAATACAATAAGTGTGGATTTCGCTGACGTGATTGACGTCGACTAACGCCTTAATTCAGGCTGTCTAGGAAACCAACACCGTCTGTTATGTTGACGAAACCGATGCATACTCAATACCTGTATACTGTCTGTCACCAGTTCCTAGTTAATACAGGTACTCCTCCAGATCACGCACAAACACACATGTTGAAGTGCAGCACGAGACTGTCTGCTCCCTATGTGTAGAGCTATGCTACTGTAATACTACCTTATATCCTGTGTTAAATCAACGTTGAATTGGCTAACAACTAGTCTACTACATCGCCATTTTAAAAATATTTAATATACGACGACACACTCCTTAATATCGCGGTTCCATATCATAGAAGCCTGTAGTTAAATCACACTGGACCAGACGATCCAGTGATAAACAATTTGAGCAATAACCCACAATGTCGGGTATGATGACACAGAAGTTCATCTGGATGATTTACTCCCGTCTTACGACAAGCTGAGGCTACGGGGCCTTTGCTAAATGACCAAATACAAATAGTTCTCGATTTATTCATCTTTCACATGGTCTTGTCCTGTGAGCGATGACCTCATCCCAGAGTTTCACTCAGCCTACACAGCAACTGAAGGGAGAAACAGAAAGAAACATGACTGAATGCGATGCCTTCCCACAACAACAAAATATAACATGCTTATGACGTAATGAAAGAAATGTTTTCTGTGGTCTTGATGTCACAATTGGCGTACAGAGTTGTGTCCCTTAGCTCTAACGGGATTTGATCTGATCATGGGTTCTGACCTTACATTTGTACTGATGACGACCTTCGTTCGTAGGCACCATAGAGAGTTCTTGAGTTCCACCAATGTGATGACTTCTATAACTTGCACCACTAACTTTCCCTGACATTAATCTCTCACTCATGATAACACGGAAATATTGTTCAAAGCGGTGTTCTTACATTACACTGCACGACATGAAAGTCCTTAGACAATAGACAAGAAAATACTGGGTACTTACGGTAGTGCATGGTTTTGCTGAAAGATGCAAAGACCACATTGTATCACCCCACATGTTATGTTCGTTAAATATATTTAATCGTCTCCCCTGGAAATAACCTTAAATCAGCTCCTGTGCTTCAGTGGGAGGAACATCTCTAACTTGGACCCTTATAGTTGGGGTCTGTTGTTTGTTGGTCTGTTAAATGTGAGAGAAACCATTTAGGGGATTTGGTGAAATTTGGGATTCAAGTTTATTTCATACATATTTGGTCCCCACAGCTGCCAAGAGCTGTTAGTCGTGGGTTCAAATCACAGATAAGCCGTGGTCAGTCTGCGCCACGTTCCGTCTACAAATCACCCTCCCCTGAAAGCATGTACCATGACAAGCTTTTATAAAACTTAAATGCTGTGGCGTTAAAAAAACTCCATCAATCACTCATCACATGTGGAACGTAACGTACATGTCCTGCAGGTGCACGACTTGCAACCTCGACTGTCTGGCTGGAAGCCGTAGTTACACGTGAGAGAACCGCAGTCGATCGGGTCGCAGTGAACTGGAAAAGACACGAACGGGTGTACTATATCATCTGGTTACAAGCGTACATAATACAATCTTAACACCAGATAGTGATGACTTCCTGTTTCATTTCTAAATCTGAAATCATACTGCTGTTTCAGACCAATATATGACCCCGTTTGTTGTTACACACAGTAATCCATCCCCATATACACAATACTCATATTGGTATGGTATGCTGATAAATCTACCCATCTGAACACATACTTCTACCCATCTGGACACATACATCTACACATCTGGACACATACACCTACCCATCTGAACACATATACCTACACATCTGAACACATATACCTACCCATCTGAACATATACACCTACACATCTGGACACATACACCTACCCATCTGGACACATACACCTAACCATCTGAACACATACACCTACCCATCTGGACACATACACCTACCCATCTGAACACATACACCTACCCATCTGGACACATACACCTAACATCTGAACACATACACCTACCCATCTGGACACATACACCTACCCATCTGGACACATACACCTACACATCTGGACATATACACCTACCCATCTGGACATATACACCTACCCATCTGGACACATATACACCTACACATCTGGACACATACACCTACCCATCTGAACACATACACCTACCCATCTGGACACATACACCTACCCATCTGGACACATACACCTACCCATCTGGACACATACACCTACCCATCTGGACACATACACCTACCTGTCTGGAACACGTATGGACACATACACCTACCCATCTGGACACATACACACCCCATCTGATACACCTGCATCTGACACATACACCTACCCATCTGGACACATACACCTACCCATCTGAACACATACACCTACCCATCTGAACACATACACCTACACCATATACACCCCCATCTGACACATACACCTACCCATCTGGACACATACACCTACCCATCTGGACACATACACCTACCCATCTGGACACATACACCTACCCATCTGGACACATACACACCCATCTGGACACATACACCTACCCATCTGGACACATACACCTACCCATCTGGACATATACACCTACCCATCTGGACACATACACACACCCATCTGAACACATACACCTACTATCTGAGCACATACACTTACCCATCTTAACACATACACCTACCCATCTGGACACATACACCTACCCATCTGAACACATACACCTACCCATCTGGACACATACACCTACCCATCTGAACACATGCACCTACCCATCTGGACACATACACCTACCCATCTGGACACACCTACATCTGGACACATACACCATCTGGACATACACCTACCACACATACACCATCTGGACACATACACCTACCCATCTGAACAGATACACCTACCCACCTGAACACATGCAGCTAACCATCTGGACATGCACCTACCCATCTGGACACATACACCTACCCATCTGAGCACATACACCTGCACATCTGGACACATACACCTACTCATCTTAACACATACATCTACCCATCTGGACACATACACCTACCCATCTGAACAGATACACCTACCCACCTGAACACACACACCTACCCATCTGAACACATACACCTACCTGTCTGGAAACATCGGGAGCCGCAGATGTGGGGACAACACTTGTGACCTGACCCGCAGGACCTGTCCCCCAAACACTGTGGCCTATTGGCACACGCATACACCAGGCCCGGGGGGTCAGTCGGGCACACATCTGGTAGCAGGGAGAATATGAAACATTTATATATATTTGACAAACTACATCTGGAAAGAAGTGAAGTACTGTGTTGGAACAATCCAATCATAAAATGTATTGGGATTTCGTGTTAATCCAATGTAGGTCCAATGATGGGTGTCTCTGGGTGCCATTATATACAGAGGTACATGATAAGCGTTTCCTAGGAATCGGTTCTGTCAAGACGTTCTATTTACCTTGGTTCACGTTTGATAACAGGTCACCAGTTCTTGAAAAAACCCGCTTAAGAACGTGTCAACATGAATGTAAATCAACAGTAAACCATCCATCAAGTTATAGTGTCCAATAAAATAGTATACCATAAAACAAAGCAAATGTTCATTTGTAAACATGAATATACAACTCAAAAACCCGCCGAGCTGATATCAACATTTTTCCTGTTCATATCGTTAACAAAAAATAATAACGAATTGTGATTGTCAGTGTTTGAAGAATCCATTTAACTTTACAGAATTAGTAATCTCATTTGCTCAAGGGTCATCAGTTCAGAACGGTGTATTGCTACCTCTGGAATTAATAGTAGGTAACGGTGATGATAACGGTGTTAGTACCTGCACCGAAACGTCGCACTCATTGCAATAAAGAAGTTGACTATCCATAGAACTTGGTTTTCCCTAACAGACTCTACAGTCGACATAAACGAATTACCGGCAGACTCGACAATAACGGCTGCCGCCACCAGACCTGCTACGAAAAGCTGCAACATTCTCCCTGTTCGTCGATTTGTGTCACAATCTGGTCCTGATTAACAGGCTCGTTTCCAAATCTTTATAGGTCACAGTCGAGAAACATAGTTTTGTAATAATGATATCTTTCCTCCTGTTGTGAATGTCATTATCCAGAATAAACTCTTCAAGAAAAAAAGAAACGTACAGGTAAAAAATAAGGAGATGTATTAAACGTTTTTACGTGTGCATAATTCGATTAAACATAGATGAAGACATGAATTCGACGCACGGATGAACATATGAATTGTTGTCATTGTCAGCATTAATTCAGTTCACTTAACTACTGCACGTGTGGACACTAGGGGGCATTCAGGTCAGTACCTGGTGACACCATCCCGTGACTGCACGACACCGCCTAGGAAGGGATTGCACAAGTCGTCGGATTTTTGCTTGGGGCAATCTTCGCCATTCCTCCTGCAACCCGTTCTGCAAGTGTCTTAGGAGGATGGTGACGTTTACCGACGCGTCGATGAAGTCCACCCATAGATGCTCGATCAGTTTAGATCAGGCGGACCGCCTCCGTGGTGTGGTGGTTAGAGCGTCCGCCCGGAGAGCGAAAGGTCGCGAGTTCGATCCCCGGCCGCGTCATACCAACAGACGTTAAAATATGGTACTTATTGGTCTCTGTCTGGCGCTTGGCATTAATGGGTATAACAAGGACTGGTCGGCTCGGGGTCAGTATAATGTGTCTGAGTGGGGTATTCATGCTTAACTGCGCTTGGTTTCTCAGTGAGCTAGCACTATAAAACCGGCTTAAATCTGGGCTAGTACAAGCAGCTGCTCATACACACACATGCACGTTAAATCCCAATTCAACTCACCTCATATCAGGCGATTTGGAATGCCAGGGAAGGACATTGACGTTTGTCAAGATAGGCACCTGTTACACGAGCCTTGTGGGGTCGATCGATGTCATGTTAAAACAGCTCCCTCTGGGAGGAGGTGAGGTCGCAGGTTTGGTCGATGTAGCTATTTGCTGTAAGTTTGCCTTGAACCACTACTAGCTCTGATCTACCCTTGTAGGACATGGCTCCCCACACCATGACGCGCTCTTCACCAAATCTGTCCACCTGTCGAACGCAGTTTGGCGCAAGACGTTCGTGTCGACGATAGACACGTTGTGTCCCACCCCGTCGTTGCAGGAGTAAACGCTATTCATTTGTCCACGTCGTTGTCAGTGTAGTCGTGTCAGGACAGGTTCAACTTTTGGCCGATATGCTCAAATTCCAACTCCTCTCAGACGATTGTTTGGTCGGACATTCTTCGAAGACCAGGCACCTGCATGTCCTGCAGTGGCCGTTGCTGTAGCAAATCGGTGACGAAGGTGAAAAACCCGGATGAATCGGTCCTAGGCACGAGTGGTCACTCTTTGGTCTTCCACTTCTGGTACGATCTTGGGTCGAATTGAAGCTGGTATATCGATGCCATAATTGAGATATGGTGATGTGATGAACGTTCGAGTGTCTTGCAACGGCAGACTGGGACTCCCCTGCTTCCACACGTCCATTGGCGATATTTAGGTCAGTAGCATTCAATCTTGCATTTGTTTTGTCTTCGTTTACGTCGTAAATTTCGTAATGAATTTATTTTGGCCTTTTGAAGTCGATGTTTGAAGTCGAAAACTTCTTCTGCATGCACTTTTCATCCATTGTTTAATTTATTATGACAAACGTTTACAAACACATTTTGTGATGCGTTTGCGCCCACTACACAACAACCACGATATGATTAACAGGATTCAAACATAGGAATTGTCTTAATGACGGTTGCTGTCAAAATATATCGAAATGAACTGCTGAAAGCGATTGTGCGTTTCTTTTTTTTTCTTTTTTTTTTTTTGAAGAGTGTAGTTTATTAACTTCAACATTTGTTTCATGTGTTGGCGAAGGTGTGTCACATTTTACACGCGCATAGGGATCGTCCTGTCAATAATGCGTTTATCTTATCTAAAGGTTGACTGTTTAACGAGTGCTTGTCTGTCATTTACATTCCTTGGCAGATGGTTTGGCGTGGGTTGCGCGTAGGTTTCACGGGGGTGTGCTGTTTCATTTCATGATGGGCCGGTGGGGTAGCCTAGTGGTTAAAGTGTTGGCTCGTCACGCCGAAGACCCGGGTTCGATTCCCCACATGGGCACAATGTGTGAAGCCCATTTCTGGTGTCCCCCGCCGTGATGTTGCTGGAATATTTCTAAAAGCGGCGTAAAACTAAACTAAGTCAGTCACTCATTTCATGATATCCATCCATATACTGTGTGAGTGAGTTAGTTTTACGCCACTTTTAGCAATACCCCAGCAATATCATGGGACACCAGAATCGGCTTCATACATTGCACCCATGTGGAGAATCGAACCCGGGTCTCTGGCGTGAAGGGCGAACGTTTTAACCACTCGGCTACCCCGCCGCCTCTTGTCGTGTATTGTGCATCTATCTACAAGCGAGCCCGAGGGGTTTAATGGCATAGAACTGATCATACCTGCAGGCGTATCACTTTATCCGGTAAGTTACCTGTTATGACAAGGAGACAAGGTCAACTAACTGCATCACTTCCTACAGTGAGTGAGTGAGTCAGTCAGTTTAGTTTTACGCCACACTCAACAATATTGCAGCTATTATGGCGGTCTGTAAATAATCGAGTGATCAACAGTATGAGCAATGAGCATCGACCTACGTAGTTGGGATACGACGACATGTGTCAACCAAGTCAGCGAGTCTGACCACCCAATCCCGTTAGTCCCCACGACAAGTATGGGTTACTGAAGATCAATTCTAACCCGGATCTTCAGGGGTCACTTCCTACAGTCGATCCATAGTACAGGATAGGCATGTACCAGCAACCCACGAGTATGGTGACACAGAATTAACCATATCTGCAGCAGGACCATCTAATCCATATTTGCTTTTCATGACAAGCATTGGCTAGCTGACAGCGGCACTTCCGTTTGTCCATCCATCCTAATTGAACACGCTTTAATGTTATAGCCTTTCGATGTATTCAAGCGTAAATCCGTAATCGCTCAGTCTCCCTTGTGTGGAGTGAACTTTCCAACTTGTCGGATATTAGCAAGTAGTTCCTGTTCATTTGTAATGCGAACAATACTGACGAAATATAAATATTTGGAAACTTACAACGTCATTAGCACAAATTCGATGGTGCTAATAACAAATCAAAGTGACACTTTACAAAATTGCATGTTAATGCATATATTGTATATTATAAAGTTGGAGATGAATATCGTGAGTGTACAACCTGGTGTTGAGATAATCAGTGCATGAATGTGATGTGGACAGCTAGGAGTCAAGGTCGTCTGACCCCTCACTCCTTGACGTAGCGGCCCTCGGTAGACCATGTGAGAGTAGAGTCCGAACTTACATTCCCCAGAACGTAGTTACGACATTGTAGAGTCTGCGGTTTCCTTGAACAAGATGTCTAAGACGATCCCAGTCTTTGTTGGTCTTATCCTGGTTCCAAAATGTTTTTGGATTGCACCATCCAGAAGTCTGAAAATGACGTACTTTTTCTAGCAGTAAGGACATCTTATTTCACTATTTCCTTAGTATGAGTATAGTTGGGTTGGTAATGTGTCATACGGATGATTCTGATACATCTCGGTCGGCTTTCAGTTCTATCCCACCACCTCTCTGGAACAATAGTTACCATATTCTCACCCAACTGCCGTACTGTTGCTAACAAGTGTTCCTGATGCCATAAAAATACACAGAAACAACATTGATACCGGTGTATACAAAGACTGACTGACTGAGTTTGGTTTTACGCCGCTTTTAGCAATATTCCAGCAACATCACGGCGGGTGTATACAAAGAAGCATTCAAAACGATTTAGGGCCATGTTCAATTCCTGCAGGTTTATTTCATAAAAAACATTGATTAAAAGAACCAGGAAAGTTCCCAAGGGTCCATACAATCTATAAAGTTACACAGCTAAAACAAAGTAAAGCTTACAGTGATACAAAATCTTTTCCATGAAACACCTCTCGTCAAGTTCCCTCTAATCCGGAAACGATCTTCAGGACAACTACTGTTAGGAGAGTTTACATGTATGAAGAGACCTTACGAATCTCTAAACCAGAAACGTACTAGTCCCATTTCCAAGTACATGCTAGTTTCCCGATAAAAGGGGGTTTCAATGTTCAATACATTACCATAACACAAAGAGGAGATTTCATTTGTGTAAAATAGCAGACATACAAAGACCCTGAAAACGTCCTTTAGAACGTTTTTTTTTATTTTTCAAAAACGTGTTAACAGAAATAAATTAATGGAACGAATTAATTAACAACGTAGGCTATTTGTCCAATACTTAAGGTAAATCTACACTGTTAAATTGTAGAGGCGCAACAGTAAAGCAATCGTTGATGTAGACTACAGTATTATCTCCACTATCGTCACAGTGAAATGGATCGAAACTAGGTAATACCAACACAGTGTAACAGTCATTCATATGTTATGGAAACACATCGAGGCTACCGACTCACTGCAATTAACTTCAAAATGCTAACGAATATTTGACAACAATTAAAACCATGATTGATTTAGGACGTAAACACCTCTTCAAATAAGTATGTGTTATTGAGTATTCCACGCCGAAACATTTCACTTGGCGTTAGAGTGTTCATATTATCACATACAGAGAATCCAAAGGGAAGTTACTCATACAGAAACTATCCAAATAGAACCACCCGGGTTTACGAGTTAGCTGTACCACCCGACTGTATTTCTTCCAGTATTGGATAACCTCCCATCTGTTCCCGGGACAACCGCGTCCTCTTCGCCTCCGGAGGGAGCTGCAATGTAATGTTTTGGAATTGCCTCAATTGTATACAATGCCCTAACAGCTGTTAAAAATCACAATGTCATTATAAACTTGAATGCCCAAAACAACCTAACAGGTTTGTGGATAACTGACAAGAAATTTGAAACTCAGATCAAGTAAACTGTTAAAACATAAACTCAATGAAGCTGCAAGTCTGCACCCAAATATCCTGTATTTTGCGCTGCGAATTTATCAACGGAATTACTAAACTACCGATAGTCACACACATTATCAATGCATCGTGCATCAGTTCTGCCATCGATTAATTGCTATTGGACACTCAATTGCAATCCATCGATAGTTCGATGCATCGTTACAGCCCAAGTATATTGTCAAATTGGCAAGCTTGAACTTTTGTCCCCTCGCTTGAAGGTAATCATATGTAAAATGTAAGCCCCAAGCACACTGGAGGCAGAGCTTAGTCCAGGGGTTTTCGGCGTGCCAATTCAAGAGCATTGATTTCGCATGTTAGCGTTCATTGTCTACTGAATCGGGTTTTACTCTTCACAATCTTTAGTTCACAAATCGTCGGTCTCGCTGAAACTGGGTAGATCATGATGTTGTTCACTGGATTGTCTGGTCCAGATTCGATTATTTACAGACCGCCTTCAAATAGCTCGAATATTGCTCTGAGTGCGGTGTAAAACTAAACTCACTCACTCAAAATGTGGTGCCTACAAAGGTATTCTGGGCGCTCCCCACCTATTGGGATCTCTGAAATTCTGCATTCGGGAACTCTGGGGCTATTCTTTTTGTTTAGATCGAGGTTGTTTTGCTTAAAATCCATTCACGTTTGAGCTGAATCGACGCAAATATCATCGAGTGCGAGGTACCCATCTATCTAAGGAAATTCGTACGAACATTGTTACTCATACGGATTTCACAAAGGGGGTTGGGCGCACCTGTTGTTAGCACTGTCTGGTAGCATTTCTCAATATTAATTTCTATCTCGGGTAGATTTATTTCAGGCTACGTGGCAGCAGGGATACTCTACAACAATAGTCTCCCTGGTGGCAGGGATGAGTCCTCAGCATTGAAGGTAACACACTGGGTTCGTACCCAGGTCAAAGTGAGACAACACCATACAGGCTTTCACTCCTTACAGTGTTTTGTAGAAATATACCGGCTGAGTGAGTGGGCATAGATGTCGTTTCATTGTCCGCGCACCAACAGCGTCCGTTTCATTCGAATTTCGTGTCATACCGGCTTATTCTCATATGACTCTGCATTTGAAGATGCGTGTAGGTGATGGTCAAAGGGAGTGAGTGAGTTTAGTTTTACACCGCTTTTAGCGATATTCCAGCAATATCACGGCGGGAGACACCAGAAATTGGCTTCACACATTGTCCCCATGTGAGGATTCGAACCCGGGTCTTCGGCGTGACGAGTGAACGATTAAACAACTTACCGCCCCTGGTCAAAGGGAAGTAACTGTTAATTATCTTAACCATTTGCAAAGAAGACTTAACTCCCTCAGTGGCAAATGCAAAATGATGCACGCAACTGTTTTAAGGGAGACACTGTATGGAATTAAGGTAAAGGAGTAAGTAGTTAACTCTTGAACAGGCACGATTATCTCCCCTTGACCATATACAAAACTATGACCGATCACGACGTCGAAACTTCGTTGATTTTTTGTCAGCGCCAAATTAATTAATCAGAAAAGGAATCGCATAAAGGAAAAGAATACCTTAATAGGTTTTAAATTCAGGTAATTAGACCGGCCTTGTTCCAGCGATAATATCGAAAGAATAGCGAAGGTTATACTCGGTACTGGTCGAAGGGAGACAACTCCATGGACGGTTGGATGCATTCATCGCCGTATTTTGGAAGTTGCGGAATAAGCGCTGATTTGGACACTGGAATGGGGTTTTTTGCTTGTTTTATTTTCGTTGTGTGTGTATGTGTGTTATGTGTGTGGGGGACATTGTCCATTCTGCCCACCTGGTCTATTCTGTTACCTATATATCACAGTGATAAGTAGCATTTGAATTTTGACGCTATGTCGTTAATGGTCAAAGGGAAGTAACTGTTGATGATTATAGTTAACCCGGCTATGACCGATCACGACGTCGAAATTTCGTTGATTTTTTTTGTCAGCGCCAAATTAATTAATCAGAAAAGGAATCGCATAAAGGAAAAGGATACCTTAATAGGTTTTAAATTCAGGTAATTAGACCGGCCTTGTTCCAGCGATAATATCGAAAGAATAGCGAAGGTTATACCCGGTACTGGTCGAAGGGAGACAACTCCATGGACGGTTGGATGCATTCATCGCCGTATTTTGGAAGTTGCGGAATAAGCACTGATTTGGACACTGGAGTGGGTTTTTGTGCTTGTTTTATTTTCGTTTGGGGGGGGCACACTGTCCATTCTGCCCACCTGGTCTATTCTGTTACCTATATATCACAGTGATAAGTAGCATTTGAATTTTGACGCTATGTCGTTAATGGTCAAAGGGAAGTAACTGTTGATGATATAGTTAACCCGTTTACAAGCGTACTTACCTCCCTTTGGGACAAGGGACACAACTCTTAATGTGTTGGTCGCGATTAGCTCCCTTTGATTGAGGGCACACGCCCTGTGCGAAGTTTTAAAATGGAACACTGTGCGGAGTTATAGACAAGGGAGATAACTCTTGTCCATACATGATTACTTCCCTTTGACCGCAAACAAACTACAGAGCACCATGGAGTTTTTTGCAGGTTTTGTCTTGTATCAATTCAACTTTTCAGAAACAAAATCGCCTTGAGGGGAAGAGTATTCAAAACGTGTACTTTGGGTCTTAATTTGTGTCATTAAACCAGCCTGTATTGACTGTGATGATATCGCAAGTGTCACGAAGATTGAGTGATTCACACATTCATTTCAGTGTTTTGAAGCTGGCGGTAGATCTATACGCTTCGAGTGAACACGGGTTCGGTTACATCTGGAGTGCAATGATTGAATTCAGCTTTATTGGAGCCCGGAGCCCATCATGTTTATTCCTGTTACCTGCATACCACATCGATAACACACATTTAGATTTAGGCGGCATGCCGTTGATCTATGGTCAAAGGGAAATAACTTGATAATCTGGTTTACCCGTTTACAAACATACTTACCTCCCTTTGGGACAAGGGACACAACTCTTAATTTGTTGCTCGCGATTAGCTCCCTTTGAATAAGGGCACACGCCGTGTGCGAAGTTGTAAATGGAACACTGTGCGGAGTTATAAAGACAAGGGAGTTAACTCTTATACATACATGATTACTTCCCTTTGACCGTAAACAAACTACAACCGAACACATGGAGTCTTCCAAGTTTTGTCTTGTATCAAATCAGAGACCATATAATATATTATATGGTCTCTGATCAAATCAACTTTTCAGAAACAAAATCGTCTTCAGGGGAGGATTATTAAAAAATGTACAGTGGGCCTTAATTTGCGTCATTAAACCAGCCTGTATTGGCTGTGATGATATCGGAATCGTAATGAAGGTCGCGCGATTCATACATTCATCTTTGTAGCTAGCAGTACACGCTCAGAGAGAACGCGGGTGCGGTTCCATGGGGAGTGCAGTGATTGAATCCAGTTTTATTGGAGCTCACACTGTTTATTCCTGTTACCTGCATAGCACATCGACAACACATATATACATTTAGGAGTTACAACACCGAAAACCTACACCGAAAGGTCGCACTCTGCAATAAAAAAAGTCGTTATCCACGTCGTATGCTTTACTATTGACTCACCAACTTCTACAATGCCGATAAAACAATTACCCTCTGAGGCCATGTCGGTACACCTATAGAATACCTGATACCTTCCAGCCATATTGTTTAGTGTCATTTCACCCTAAACCTTACACTAACCCAAGTAAACTCGCGTCTTTCGAAGATGGCGGAAGGTATCCAGTATTCTGTAGTCTTCATTACTGTTTCAGTGTACAATATAAAACAATTCAGCCATAATGTTTCATCAACACGGGCATATTTCAAACAATAGGAATAAAACTGGTTTCAGTTCATTTCCACTTTTTATACTTACTCCCTGTTTTTTACTATGTGATTACGCACTTTTCATAAATAATATGAAAACCACGGAATCTCAACAGTTAATGAGGGCAGTAGCATACACGGGCCAACTGCGGTTTCCTCCACAGGGGCGTGTCACGCTTAGAAACAGCGTTAGAAAGACATATAGGTATATAGACCCTACCCTAGTACTGTATATAAGGATAACGCTGTTTCTAAGCGTGACACGCCCCTGTGGTTTCCTCCCCAACGCAAACCCCACCCTTTATAGATCACAGGCCTCTAGCCCAGTTCACCCTCAGACCCCGTGTTGCTCACCCTCGAGAATACCGGCCTCTCCACCCTGAAGGAGGGCACGCCTAGCCTGGATACCGTCACGTTCCCTTTCTGCTGGTCCTCCACGAAGTGGATGATGGACAACATCGTCTCCATCACCTCGCGCTTTTTCTGGACTTCTTTTCTGAGAGCATGTTTACAGCTTGGTATGTGTGCTTTGAGACCCCGTGTGTAGAGATATATCTTCCGGCAGGTGGGTTGTCCCGGACATTTCCACATAACAGGCATGACGACAAAAGATAGATGATCTCTGGGCGTCACGCGGTCATGGCGATTTCTGTCCCAAATTAAACGAAAGGAATAATTAGTAGTAGTCTGGCATTAATCGTGACAGAAGCTGTTTTTGGATCCAGTTTGATTTCTAATGTATGGCGTGAAAGTGAAGGAATACGCTGTATTTTTCTCACTTTTCTAACGTGCTGGAGTGTGGGAAAATAATAAATTTGCTCCGTCGTTTGGCACAATGTCCTTATGTACACCCGAATAACCTATATAGATGATATCTTGAACAAATGACAATACATACACGTTGTTCAACACAAATATTCCTTCTCAGGTTATATGTTTAGTTTCTAGTAAAGAGTTTAGTTAAAATTAGTGATTGTTTTGGTTTTGAGTTTTGTTTTAATAGCCCAGTGACAGGACGGCGGCATGTAAATAATCGAGTCAAGAACATAAGGTCTAGTGATTGACATCATAAGCATCAACACACGCAGTTAGGCCAGGTTACATACAGTCAACCAAGTGACCGACCCGTGATGATCCGGGTTAGAATTGGTCTTCATTAAACAGGGGTCGGTAAGAATTGGTCTTCATTAAACCGGGGTCATGGTCAGGCTCATTGACTAGACTGACCCATGTCATCGTATCCCAATTACGTAGATCGATGCTCCTACTGTCGACCACTGGATTGCCTGGTCCAGATTCGATTATTTACAGACCGCCGCCATATAGTTGGAATATTGCGTTAAACAACCAACCAACCAACCAAGTGACCGGCTTCTTACAACATGGGTTTCTGTGGATCTACATTCCTTCCTCAATCATTGAAGGGAAATGGAGTACATGTATACAGGTTTCAAATAGCTATTTTTTCCTGGTGTGTTGTCTATTCCAGTATGTGTCTTGACGTTTCATTGTGGCAGTAAGTGAAGTAAGATAGATCGATGTAATACAGGGCATTATTAACTGATAAATATGAAACAAATCGAGTCAGCAGTCTCGAAAAAAGGCCATAGTGACGAAAACAAATTTGAAAGGACGGAACATGTCCATGGCCATTGTTAATCTTGAAAAATAATTCAACATTAATGTTAAAACGCAAAAACTACTTATACTGGTCAACGATCAAATACATCTGTGTAGCGAGTTAATCATTGCAGATTACAGTGAGCCGTTTTCTGCTCCCCTTAGCGCGTACAACAATGTTCAATCTGATCGTTCCCTGCATGAGGGTATACGGTACACAATTTTGAGCTCATGTCTGTTTCTACAAAGGTGGCCATGTTATACGAGGATACAGACCAGCTTGCCATTCAATTATAGCCCGCTATCGACCAAGAATGCCTCTCTTATCCTGTAATAAAGGCTCGAGAGGTTGTGTAGAACATGTAGTATTTGTGCGTGTCCCTGAATCCATGTTAAAAATAATGTTTGGTCGGATTTGTACTGTTATTCTCAAGGGGCTTAACTTCATGTCAGATCAAACACTAAGTCTTCTTCAGTATTTTCTATAACTCACGATAACCATGGAAACGAACACAAGTCAGGACCCGTGTATTTTATTTGATCTCTAGGTGTGAAAGTATAAGTGCAGTGAAATGATACCTTTGAGCTTTAATTATCTTGTACCAACCGTCATCGTTTGTTACAGGAAAGTTACAGTTGAAATTAATCACTGTAATCAAATACTACCCTTTCGTTAGTATCTTATATAAGCCTTTCTTGGAATGACTGGGTACAGCTATTTGTACAGATCGACAAAGTCACTCCATACAAAACAACTTTAGATGAGGTTAGAAATGACGTTAACGTCTGAAGTCACGTCCGTTTAACAAAGTAGCCGTTGCTCGATATTCATTCGGTGCGTCGGTATCGCTATCCTAAGGTCGTACGCCATCGCTTGCTAAAACCATCACTCGATATGTTGTTAAATACACTGAAGTTATTTGGAATATCTGGGAATGACATACAATGAATATACCAGGTGTTACTGCACTACACTTGTGATATCCGCATCAAGTAATCTACAATCCAATACCCATTTCACCAAATATGTATACTTAATGTACTATAAATCTCAACTGAGTTAATTATAATTGAATTAATTGGCAAAATGTGCTTATCTCCAAAACAACATGTATTCCGTTTCAGGGAATTTTGTTGTTAAATGGAAAATAGTGAAAAATTTCGCTCATAGAATTGTTTTCCCAGCAATATGTCATTTAATGGCCAGTTTTGTAAGTACGCATGCCTGTGAAATAAGCTCAGATGAAATTTTGATACCGTCCTTTGGTGTAACACACTTACTCGTGTGTTTGAAGGTATACATTTCCTAGTATAAATTAAAATGATTACTTACATTAAACAACTGAAGTAAGGGTAGCCAATATGGTTAATATTATCGTTCGCTCGTCACGCCGAAGACCCGACTTCGATTCCCCATGGTTTAAATGTGTGAAACCCACTTCTGGTGTCCCCCAAAGTGATAATGCTGGTGTATTGCTGAAAGCGGCGTAAAACTTAACTAACTCACCCATTCACTGATAATACTCAAGTGTGTAGACATTACGGTATCTATAAAATCACGAAAGTAATTACTTGGTCAGGTCACATCACGAACGATGATCCATCTCCCCAACAGGCACCCAACACACCCTCACTCCTCCCCACAGATAGGTCATTTGCAGCTCCGGATTTAGTCCCCCACTCCCCTCTGATGTGTTTCTTTCTACGGACCTGGCTGAAGTAAGTCATGTATTTTCACAAAACATAATGATTTTTTCCCCAGAACGCAAGAGGTCTACCGCTGATAACATCACATGAGAGAACATGGCGAATGTAAGGAAACTCTATAATGACATAATTGTAGTCCAGTCCCAATGACGTACATGTACACATACCTATCCCGCCAATATCCGATTACAGCCTGGGCGGGCTAGCTTGGCCGCACAGACCGTTTCACAATACATACCATTCCATGTATAAATATCCAGGGTACCTTAGAAAGATTTACCACGTTTCAAAATTTGGCTCTCAAGAGAAACTATTCAGAAAAAATCGTTTTAAGTTGTATAGTACTTTGGTGTAAGCTATATTCTCTAAGAAATAATGTTTTCATTGAAACTGAAAACAATTTTTAGATCTTTTTGACTGTTTAATGATTCCTTGAACATGGAACAGTATATCCATTTGTTCTTTTCACAAGAAGGCGTATTGGTCGAGTCAGGCCGATTTTATTGTAATTTCCTGAATAACTGGGAATATTCAATTTTTTCTAAATATTAAGTCTATTAACCACATGGCTCATTTCTACTGTTCAATCTAAGCACCAGTTGACTGATTAACATTATTGTGTGTATGTTTCGGATTGTATGTAGGTGGTACCTTAGTGGTAAGTGATTGATTTACAGTGATATTTTCATCACAAACCGATCACTGACGGTATAAGGAACCACAAGCTTGTTCTTACCGTACCAGTTGCCTCCACGATAAGCGATGTCTTCCTACAACACTCTTCACTCCAGCAGTTGTCACAGACGTTCTGAGGTAGATGTCTCACTTGACTGCTGTGCCAGTGGCCACCAAAACGCTCATATAGCCGCCAGTCTGCAGGGCAGCGACAGCCAGGCTGGGATCGGTGATTGACTCCGGGGACAGGGGCCAGATTTACCCTGTGATTGTACGGATTATACCTGTAAGCTGTTGGAGCTGCGATCATGACCCTTCTTATCGCGCTGTTACACCAATGACGGTGTGTTACATAATTAAATAATACCGACTTAACTTTTCCGCTGCGAGTGTGGGCTTCAAATCTCTCACCAAGATCCTACCACTGATCGCGGAGCAGTCAATACATGTACATGTATGTCCGATAATATTATTAGAAATAGTGTTGAATCTTTGATAACATTACCCCCCTCACAAACACTCAAACTTTACGATATAGGTATAGAGCAAGCGAGTATGGTTTAGCAATATTCCCACAAACAATGGTTCAGGGACTGTGAGACAGACTAGATGTCCGGTACGATGACACACAATCAACCAATTACCACACTTAGGTCTGCACAAATCGCTGGTAGAACAGACATCTCGTTATATGGGTCTTGTGTTCGGAGTGAGTGAGTGAGTTTGGTTTTACGCCGCTTTTAGTAATATTCCAGCAATATCACGGCGGGGACACCACAAATGGGCTTAACACATTGTACCCATGTGGGGAATCGAACGCGGGTCTTCGGCGGGACGAGCGAACTCTTTAACCACTAGGCTACCCCACCGCCCCTCTGAGATATAGAGAGTGGGTTTGGTGAATGGCCTCTAGTAACAGTGTGGGGTGAAAGCCAATTGTGATGACGTCTACGACACTGGTGATACATACGAGCACGGGTTTGGTGCATAGACATAAAACATAACTGGGATTCGAACCCACAATCATATGCACAGGTTTCTCGAATTGCAAAGGGGCGCAACTCTGTACCGCGACTTATGACTCGACAGACGCCTGGGTCACCGGTGTCCCCTTGCGAGATTGAAGTGTTGGTTTCTGTTCCTTACTTACACTGTATTAAACATAACATGTATCATATTGAACAAGCAAAACGGAACGGAATATATTTCTTGGGATCAAATCACACAACAATCCTAAACCGCGCAAAAGATATTTTACACATCCATGTTGGATAGCAGTTTAAAGTAACACCAACAAGAAACGGTTATCATATGGCATTGGCGGATCCAGAAAGGGGGTGGGGTGGGGGTGGGGGGTGGGGTTTTGGTTCGAACTCCCCTTTTGAAAATGACTCAAGACCACACTGAAGATTTTTTTTCCTCAAAATTCCTGGATCCGCCCATGATATGGTATGTTACTTGCTACGGATATCTCAAACATAATGTTGCAGTATTTCCACGACGGTTTCATAACGTTTCTTTTGTTGGTGTTGTTGTTGTTGTGTTTTGTCAAATCCAAATTGTATTCGCATAGCGTATCTTGTCTATGTGTCACAGTATATCCACTACATTGCTGTGTGTTGTGGCTATGTGGTACACAGTATATCCTCTACATTGCCGTGTGTTGTGTCTATGTGGTACACAGTATATCCTCTACATTGCCGTGTGTTGTGTCTATGTGGTACACAGTATATCCTCTACATTGCCATGTGTTGTGTCTATGTGGTACACAGTATATCCTCTACATTGCCATGTTGTGTCTATATGGTGGTACACAGTATATATCCTCTACATTGCCATGTGTTGTCTATGTGGTACACAGTATATCCCGTCTACATTGCCATGTGTTCTACATTGCCATGTGTTGTGTCTATGTGGTACACAGTATATCCTCTACATTGCCATGTGTTGTGTCTATGTGGTACACAGTATATCCTCTACATTGCTGTGTGTTGTGTCTATGTGGTACACAGTATATCCTCTACATTGCCGTGTGTTGTGTCTATGTGGTACACAGTATATCCTCTACATTGCCATGTGTTGTGTCTATGTGGTACACAGTATATCCTCTACATTGCTGTGTGTTGTGTCTATGTGGTACACAGTATCCTACATTGTGTGTGTTGTGTCTATGTGGTACACAGTATATCCTCTACATTGTGTTTATGTGGTGTATATATCCTCTACAGTCTATGTGGTACACAGTATATCCTCTACATTGCCGTGTGTTGTGTCTCTGTGCTACACAGTATATCCTCTACATTGCCATGTGTTGTGTATATGTGGTACACAGTATATCCTCTACATGCCGTGTGTTGTGTCTGTGCTACACAGTATATCCTCTACATTGTCATGTGTTGTGTATATGTGGTACACAGTATATCCTCTACATGCCGTGTGTTGTGTTATGATGTGTCCATTTGCAATAATGATTAAAGTCTACAGTGGTTCACAGCTAATCCAAAGTGTATGTTGTGTTTAGTGGTGTATCTCGAGAGTCATCAACCACATCTGCTAGAAGGTTAATACAAAAGAATATCCCTTTATGCTACATAACTGTTTTATTACACACTAACAGCCGACAGTTTGCACATTGTATATCATCCTATTAATATCTTACTTTAACTACATAAATAATCACATAGGATAGCACATACAATAGAACTTGACTATATAAGCATCACAAGGTACCCATACCTGTTCTTGGGAAGTCAAGCCATTTTCCTGTTGCACAAACTTTGAGTGTAACTTCGGTAAATATATATCAGTTGTTTCTAGTTTTGAACTTTTGTTCAAAGATGTTGCTTTGAAGAAATGAGCCTATTTTAATTCTGACAACAATATGTTGTTATATTTCTCTTGCATAGCGACTAAGAGAAAACATTTAACAAGAAATTAAACTGATCAGACCTTCATGATGATAACAAACATAATTTCCACACATATATTGGCTGGAACATTTCAACACTGGAATACTTCCATAAAAGACATCACATCCCTGTAGTCACAATCTCCGCCCACACTCTCGACATTATTGTTAACACAGTTGATACTTTAAACACAATACTATAAAGTCCAAACAATTATAGCTGACTACAATTTCAGCTGGTATATGCTATAACAATCTCTCTTTATCTTTACGGGTCATGTGCACCTTCTTCAGCACTCTCCGCTTCCACACGCGTCTCTCATGATCAGGGTTCGGCAACTCATTGAATAAACAAGGCCCCTTCAAACATGGCCGCACAAAGTCCTCATCCCTGCGGAGGATACTGGGTCTAATGATGTCCACATCTCTCTTCAGGTCGTCTTGGATATTTGTTATAGATTCTGGCGAACTGTCAAAGTTGATGAGAATGTAGCTGAAACAAAACAAGACATTCCAACATAAATACGGTTGTGCAGATTAATGAATCAGGTTTATGTTGTATTGCACCAATGTTTAGATATTCCCAAAAGTAATGTCAGGGTTTCCAGACAACAGGGTTTGAGGAGCAGGAACACAACATGCAAAGGTGCTCTCCTAGTTACCGTGATCTGAGCCAACACATAATCGGGCTACCCCAAAACATTCATATGTCTATCATTAACAGCATGAAAAAGATTATTCCATATATACCACACTCTGGTGTGCCTGACACTGAATTCCAAAGTAAACCTTGATTCATTGGGTAGAAACTCTGGACCAACCTCACCCTGGTATCCCTTACAGCTTTTGAGTTAATTTCCTTACTTTTGTGACAGTCATGGCAAATGAAACTAAAAAAGTGGCATTTGGTCATATTTTGATAAACAGATAGCACACACAACAATATTTCTTCTGTGAGCATATCATAACTGTATTTCGTTGTCATGGTCATATATACTGAACATCATTGAAAACGCACCACTTATAAAAGTTCAGATTATTAAAAGCATGTGTAAGGAATTGATATTTTTTGAGTGGATAATAACAGATGGACGACTGACAAAACAACAACACAGAAAAGACGCTCATTCATTGAAATGTTCCACAGTCAGAAAGGATCAAACACATGTGGGGTCAAATCGAAAAGTCAATATCGCGTGTGAATGCCATTTGCATAGACACATGCAGTTCAACGTCTCCTCATTGAGTCAATAAGCGTCCGAATAGAGTTCTTGAGGATGGCATTCCACTTCTGCAGTAGTGCAGCCTCAAGTTCCAGGATGTTTTGCATCTGTTGTCGCCGCGAAAGACTTTGACCAATGTCGTCCCACAAGTGCTCCATGCGGGATACATGTGGCGATTGTGTTGGCCAATGAATAACCTGGATGTGTTGCTGGGCCAGATACTGCATGGAAAGTATTGTTGTGTGTGCCCGTGCGTTGTCCTGTTGAAAAGTATGGGCATCTTGGTGGTGATTGAAGACAGATACGATGTGATTCTGAAAAATCTGCTCACGGTAATAAAGGGCATTAACTCTCCCTTGACAGACATGAAGGCAGTCCTGTGATTGTAATTTATTCCACCCCAGACCATGACACTCCCACCACCCAAAGGTCTGTCTGAACCACACACTCATCAGCATAACGTTCACCACGTCTACGCCAAACACGTAATCGGCCATCAGCATTACGTAGATGAAGAAGTGACTCGTCAGTGACTACCACACCATGCCATTGTTGTAACCTTTACTGAAAATGCCTGCTAGCCCTTTGTATAAACTCATTACGGTGTCTGTCAGTCAGAATTGGTCCAACGTAAGGATGGAGCCCTGTAGCGTGTAGACAGCGTCGCATGGAGTCAGCGCTGATGACCCCCACGTCAACCTTGACCTAGTGCAGCAGTCCTGGCAGTCGGCAGAGTTCAATCACAGATATGGACAAGGTCAATATGGCGATTCTGATGGAGCGTCGTAACACGTTGTTGCCAAGGTCATTGAAGGTCACGGGTGCTGCCTGTCTACTGATGTCGTCTATGAAGCCTAACGATGGTGGAGTGGCCAAGTCCAAGTTGTCGAGCAATATCCCTGTTGCTGGTGCCAACCTGAATCATGCCTAGTGCACTTTCTCTTTCGTGAGGTGATAACCTCGGCATCTCTGTCCTCGTTTCACAATCCTTAGTGAAGCAATAAGAATCGGTTCTCATACACCTGCTTTTAATGTCACAGTCAGTATGATTTCAGAATGAAATTCGCGCTTCTTTCATGGCGTGGCTGCATGTTGATGCATTTTGGAATTAAGAGTCATACTGTGGACAGGAATTTGTTTCTAAAGCATTTTTTCAACTGGACATGCCCTTCGACTTCATGTTAGTTATATTCATTAATCATTGTCATGCTGAAATCCATCTTGATGAAAATATGGACAATCAATTTTAGACTGGTGCGCTTTCAATGATGTTCAGTATATTTGCTCCTTTATAAATCGGGAATCATAACAGATAACTTTTGGGGTCATTGAGTTATGTACTCGCTTGTGTTCATCTCAATTGGGTATCCTAATTTTCCTTTCAGTAACCAAATAGATTGTACTCACCTCACTCAAACTCATTTGGTTATTTGTCATTTTCCATTAATTTTAAAAATATAATAAAGTTTAAATGCTAGTGTTTGTTATTTATATTTGATCTGTAATGTGAGAAACGATAAAAAAGACTGCAAGTTGCCAAGTTCATGTCCTGATATAGAACCTCTCAATATACCTCAGTTATTTTATCTATCCACCAGTACGCAAGCTAAGAGTTGACATGTTTGTGTGTACGCATGTAAGATCACATTTCTTGAGTATTTACAAAACTTCAAGCATACTTGTACACAATAGACTTAATAGGAATTGAGTTTTCGCATAAATATTTGCGTAATTTACGCAGATACGCCGCTTATCTGTACCTCTGGGGAATTTAAAGGATTGTAGAGGATTACTATGTTACACTCTACTATACAAAACATATCATAAAATAATTAGTGACTAAACTGGTTATTGTGCTGTTTATTCATGGACAAATTAGAATTGTTAAAATGATTCTGGTTTAAAGTCTGATGTTTAGTTTAGGCAATGTCCGAATGGTCAGTGAAACTATGGTATTGATAAGCTTCGAGACTGAGAGACAGACACCCCTGCCTAAAGTGAGGGCAAGGGGTTTGTTAGCACTACGGGTGATAATGACATGGAAGCCAGCTAGATGGATAGTGGCACAGATAATTAAATCAGTAAGTCCCAAGCACAAGGCAGGTATGATCACTGGTCAAGGTTGACAGCTGGTCCTGATGTCCATGGCCTTTCCATCTTCCTTTGACATCAGTTGTTCGCTTCAATAAATCCCCTAATACATGCAAAATATAGCTGTCCATTACTTACTTTCCTTCTGTCTGTTTTTTCCCATGACATGCCATTTTGTAGGGTAAGGGTCTGAGACCAAGGTTTTCCATTGACCTTATTATTCCTCCTTTTCCGATCAGAGAGTCACATGTTCTGCGAATGACATGACTCAGTTCAGGCTGAAACATATTTGAAAAACGAAATTGTGGTAAAGGCTACGGCAAATTCGAATGTCCAGTATATTATTTATCAGGCTGAGCATCTGCCTCATCAGCTGATCAGATTACATCAGGTGCAGTAGGGTAGCCTAGTGGTTAAGGCGTTCGCTCGTCACGCTGAAGACCCTGGTTCGATTCCCCAGATGGGCACAATGTGTGAAGCTCATTTCTGGTGTTCCCCGCCGTGATATTGCTGGAATATTGCTAAAAGCGGCGTAAAACTAAAACTAAAACTCACTCACTCAGATTACATCACACATATCTAGAAATTAATTAAAAAATAAAGTATAATCGTAATGTATCTCGAAAATATTGATTGAGAATTGCTTGGGTTATTATTTTTCTTTCCGCTATTCAATCTTTATTTATATTAAGGTCTTTTATAAAGATTGATAAAGATTCCGCTATCAAACTATAATAAGGCTGAACACAACGAAATAGAGAAAGAACTTCATAAATGGGTCTTAAATTTATGCACGAAAACTGATGGTCTTTACAAACACGTCAGTCTTGCATTGAATGTCTACATGTTTCTGTTGTTTTTGCTTTTTTCATAGTTAAGAGAACAAGATCTTAACCCTTTTCAAAGCAGCCTTTATGATCAATGACATTTCATAGCTCGGCATGGTGGCTGATCTCTATCAAAGTTCCGACTGCTGCTGAGCACACTTTCTGCAACCGGAAGTTTAGGTTTTGTATCTTTCCCAGATTTACATCCACTTCCGGTGTCCTCTCGGTCAAAATGGCGTCTTTCAAGTTCATGCAGTTGGTAGGTTTGTGGATGATTTCAAGTTGTAACACGGCATGAAAAAGATATTTCTGCCCTGTCCATGCAAAAAGCAACCTCTTTAAAGATATATGATTGTGGATGTTTAGCTTTTGCTTCGGCTTACTTGTTTTATAAGGAACATGCTTACCGGTTGCTAAAGGCACCTGCACTGCAGTGGACTGCACCACATTTTCTGACTTGTATTCTATATGTTCGAACTTTCGGCAGGATTATCAAAGGTTGATAGTTTTTGACGTTTGTTTTCCGAAGATAGCAGCTGATCTGTTATCTCGAGACGCTTATTAATGGACGCTACACTTGTGATCCTGATTGCCTTACAACATGAACATGTATCATTATGATATTATGATACATGACTTCTGACTATCACCACAGTGTGCACTTTACTCTGTTGTATATATATTTTAAAATTATTGATGTAAGAATACATAACCCTGATATACAAAGGATGGCTGTTGACCTTATGGAAGGTTGAAGACTACAGTGAACAGTAAACAGAATGCAAACAGTAAATGGCTTATGACACTTGGAAGCATGAAAGTTTGATCACATGCTGGAACTACTTTGTTGTAGGTTTTTGCTTACCTAAATGCTTAACATGCTTAATCTGTTGCAAACGTTTGTGATTTCGTTTGGAATCTGTTCATTGCTGTGACTTATGTCTTTTCAGACCCGGTCCTTCAGTGTCTCAGCAGCAAGCCTATCCAAACTTGTCACAGTAAGTGTGATCACGATAATGTAGCCATTGTGCACTTACACATTAGCATAGATTCTCATTTTGCAATTTCTTTCTAGCTTAATGTAATGAGGTGTCAGAAAGTTTCACTTAATTTTTACAACTTGTTACACAAAGACCTTGATGAAGACATAATTAAGGGTGAAACTAGACAAACCCAAGTAGTGATAATATATCAAAAGGACAGCCTCAACCTCTCTGAAATTCTACACATGTTCATTGATACCTGTAACATTAGACAAACAGTGGGGCAAGACAGCTTGTTCAGTGACTAGATACACTAGATACACACAACACAGGGCGCGGTGGGCGAGCTGTCTAGTAATCCAGAGAGCTTGGAGGTGCCGGGATCAAGCCCACCTGTGACCAGGTGTAAAAAACCTCTTTCAGTGTTGTCACAACCCCTAGTGTACAGTACACAACCCTGTGCACTTAAAAGAACCCACAAATCCGTTGGTAGATGACCAGATGGTGGCCACATGAATACGTGCAAACACCTAGTTGCGGGTACAGCAACGTGCAGTGAACTTGGACAAAGTATTGTGACTATGTGTCCCAGTCCACCCAGCTGTGAATGGGTACCTCGTAAGGATGGGAAAGCCACATAAACTCGGTGCGCCTAGTAGGCAGCAAAAGTTGTATACTCTCCAGGGAGTTGAGATTGAAAATACAGTATGCCGTTGTGATTGACATCCAATGATCGAGGGAAAACAAAGCGCCTTTGAACAGTTGTACTGGATATCGGCGCTATACAAATGTTTGTATGTATGTATAAATGTTTAATACATATCTTAACTTCAGACAGATTTGACACTGACTGTTATGTCCTTGTGGTAGAACCAATGACAATGAATGCCTTCTAGTTACTGCATTGACAGTTTTAAACACTTAGTCCACAAGTAAATTTCCACACGCTTTTACAAGAACAGTGACAAAAATACAAACACTAGTATTGTACTAAAGATTTGTAGTAAACAATGACTTTTTTTCTGTAGCCCCCAATCCAGGTGTATGGAGTGGAAGGTAGATATGCCCATGCTCTGTACTCTGCAGCCACCAAGGACAAGAAACTGGATGCTGTAGAAAAGGAGCTTAATTCATTTAATGTAAGTATACCATGGGCTACAATATATCCTGAACCCCCACTGCTTGCTGGGCTGCTAGAGGCAGATAAACTGTATTAGGTGTTCAGGCGAGGTAACCCAGTGGTGTAGATCATTGCTGAAGTTTGCCATGTATGGACTTAATATTGTCAAGCACTTGGGATTTAGCTGGAATATTGTTGATTGTTGCATTACCATTGATACTATTTAGTGAACATTGATTCCTTCAGAGGATATACTTTAGTTTTATTGAAATTGACCAAAGATTTAAGGATTGAATTTCCCCAATTTTGTGTGTTTTCAGTTTTAAAATTGAATTTGTTCTTTTCTAACTTGAAAGCAAGAGGCTGGAAGATGGGCATTTTGAGAAATGTAATCTGACTAATCAGGGCTCGATTTAGTGCTTTGTTACTTGCACAGCATAGAATATGATTGAACTCTGGGGATGCAGTGTGCGAAATTTACGCTGGTCCTGTGGTCCCTGGTTAGTAACAAATCATCAGGACCACTAAATGATAAGTTTGCAGTGGTTCTGGTGGCCAGTGAATTTTGTATTGATAGTTAAGTAAATCTACCAATGTTATTTTGGACCAGTGAAGTTCAGACAGGACCACTAATTATTGTCCACTCACTGGTCCTGTAGTTGTCGTGGGAAATACAAATTTCTTTTACTGTTTTCAGCAATTACTGCAAAAAGACAAGAAGTTGGCTGACTTCATCGCCAACCCCTCACTAAAGAGGGTAGAGAAGAAAGGTAGCTATTGAAATCACTCTAGGCCCCCAAAAATATGTCTGTTTCCTGTAACCTAACCCACCCGACCCTAAATCTTTTTTAACCAAGTTAAAATCATGACTGGAGTGCATTTCAACTCATCATTTTCATCCAAATCGAGTGTGATATTTTCATGTTTTTTCAGTGTACGTAGGGCTAAAATGGATTGCATTGAATTGGCATAATGGGCTCTCACTGACAAAACCTGCAAATAAATAACATAATAATGATTTGATATAGAAATCTATCAATGTTTCATCACAGGACATTGTCACAACATGATATGGTAGCCTTGAAGACATTCTCAGGTGCCCACCTGGTGCTACTAAAAAAAAAAAGGAAAAGATAAAACCGACCCACCTACCCTATATTTAAAAAGCATGTAACAGGAAACGGACATATATTTCTTTTTGGCCCTACTAGAATTTAACAATGAGAGAATCAAAGGCACTGAAGTCTAGATTGTCGTCTGTACCTCATGCTTGTTATAAGAGACAACTGAAATTGGGCTGGGATTTTACTGATTGAATGTCATTGTACTCAGCCAACCTGCTCAGGCTTATATAACTGGTTTGCTGGTCAAAACTTACATGCCATGACATGGCATGGGTAGTGTTGACTAACATAAATCTTAGTTCATAATTTTCCTTCTAAAGAATTGCTGTTTGGGGGAAGCTAGAATTAAGGGTGATCTTTTTGAATTGGTGATGTTTATTGTTCCATTAAACCATGTAAACAGTTAAAACCATATCATGGCTTGTGCACTTATAATTTGTTTTGGTTTTCAGTTGTACTGGAGGGTGTCCTCAAGAAACAGAATGTCTCGCCTCTTACTTTGAATCTTTTCGGTTAGTCATGTTCACTTATATATTTGACTTCCACTTGACACATCCATGAGTGGCTTGCTTCACACATTACACATGTTAGTGAATTGCCTGAAATACTTTTCAGATCGCTAGCTCCATAATTCATTTGTTCTCTAAATATCATTCATATGTATTTGAATAAATTTACAAATAATAATTCTCATTTAGAATCTTTTATTTTTTGCCAACATAATTGTGTTTTTCTTTTCTACTATTCTACATGATATTGAATGCAGTTGGTCCTTAGTTTCAATGCTAGATATTCTGAATTTATTTCGAATCCCCACATGGGCACAATGTGTGAAGCCCATTTATGGTGTCCCCCGCGGTGATATTGCTGGAATATTGCTAAAAGCGGCGTAAAACCCAACTCACTCACTCACTCTGAATTTATTATCCACGTGTTCAACGTATGAGTAGTTGCATACTAATCTCGTACGTCAAACGAGTGTTGTATCGCCTTGACCTATGCCGTAACGACTTGACCTGAGATTCTAACGATTTGATTGGATAACCGATGACCTCTCAGTTAGGTCACGTTGTGATGGAACTACTTGTTCATTCATAACAAACACGTGAATTCATTCATTCTACAACTTAGATGCATTGTGGGAATGTAAACATTGCGAACGTTGTCGTGTCACTGTTTAATTGTGAGTCGAACTGAGACATTATATCCGTCGAAAACATAAACGCAATGTTACCACCAGTGATGTTAGCCGAGTGAAGCAGTTGCAAACCAAGAAACGGGGTGCTACAGAGTAGTTTACTGAAGGAGGCTGTACGAGAGGCGATGACAACTGACATGCATCGTGACGTCGGTTACCAAGGGGACAGACGAGAATGGCGTAGTGACGTCAATACAGTGTGACATCATGCAAAAGTGTATGTCAGAACAAAATTCTTCCGCAACCTCTTTATGAAACCGGTTTCGGTTTGAAACCACAACAATACCAAAACTACGCTATTTTGTCAATTTAATGCCATGTAAGACGTGGGTAATAAATAAAATACCACACTCGGTCTCATTACATACGAATTATACGAAACGGTGACCTTCCTATGGTTTCTGACATCGCTTTCGCTCGGTCTGATACCATAGCAAGGACACTGGTTTCGTATAATTCGTATGTAATGAGACCTCATGTAGTATTCTCTATATATGAATCTTGTGTTTCAGGTGCCCTGGCTGAGAATGGTCGTATCAACAAGGTTGGTGGAGTTATTTCTGCATTTGGCAAGATCATGAGTGCTCACAGAGGGAGGTTGTCTGCAAGGTCACAACAGCCAAGGTGAGGACCAGGGACTAGCCCACTGAATCAATCATGCTTAAATGTGGCATTACATACATGCTAGTGATCAAGAAACCATTTGAAATGTCTGTCATGCTGTTTTAAGCTCATCAAATTGCTTTTGTATCTTTGGGTTTTTATTTGGTTCTTTTTCTTCTGAAGTTAATACAGCGATTCCTTTTCATATTCCATTATTAAAATTTAATAGAGCTGAAATGTTCTTTATGTTATAATGCTGCAATTGTCCAAGTAAAGGCAAAATACATTTAGGAGAGAAAGAATTGGTACACTGCACACGTTATCATGTTTATATTAAATTTTCTCTGTTGTTTTTTATGAAACTCTAGCTAATTGTGAAATTTTCGGACTTTTCCAGGCACTAGATAATGCCAGTTTAAAGGAACTGAAAGATGCTCTTCAAGGGTTCCTGACCAAAGGGGAGACAATTCAGCTAGAGGTTGTGGTGAGTATTACTCAGAAATATACAATAGCTTGTTTGATGTACAGCAAAATGATCATTAAAAATTACTTCCTGACGGATGAGGGCACTTCTGTTATTTTATGCTCTTGTTTTTCATGTCTATATGTTTATTGGGTCCCAAAATGTTGACAGATATTTACCAAAGAAAACAGAATGAGTAGTTTTGTAAAGACAACTCAAAGGGTAACTGGTTACAGTTGAAGTTTGTCTATAATGGAAAAGGACATCAGATTTGCTGAAAGAAATGCAGATAGTTTGCAAAAGTTTACATCTGTCAGTAAACAAAGAGATCATAACCCCATAGAGACTCACATTAATATCAACCGCCTCCGTGGTGTAGTGGTTAGAGCGTCCGCCCAGAGAGAGCGGAAGGTCGCGGTTTGATCCCCGACCGCATCATACCAAAAGACGTTAAAAGTATGGTACTTGTTGGTCCCTGCCTGGCTCTCGGCATTAATGGGTACAACAAGGACTGGTCGGTTCGGAGTCAGTATAATGTGTCTGAGTGGGGTATTCATGCTTCATTGTGGCATGGTATCTCAGTGGGCTAGCACTATAAAACCAGCTTCAGTCTGGGCTAGTACAAGCAGCCGCACATACACATACACGCACATGCACATCGTCATATGAGCAAAATATTCTCAAGTACGACATTAAACCCAATTTCACCTCACCTCACCTCACCTCACCTCACATTGATGTCAATATGGATCAAGTTACTTTAGAAATGTACATGTATTGCTTCCTTGGTGTTGAATGACAAGGGCCTCTGAAAATCTCAATTCAGCCTTATTATATTCTCTGGTTTGTCACACAGAAACAATGCTCATGGTTTTCAGCTGAGTGATAAAGTGCAATTCCTTTAGATACACCATAACATAACTGAAATGCTGTTCAAAGTGGTCAGTTCCACTCATCCTGGCAGTCTGTAACATTGTTTGAAATTCTGTGTGGATCAGCACATTCATGGATGATAGAGGTGATGTGAACATGCTGTGTGTTGTAAGATCTTAGCTTTTAAAAACAGCTGTTTGTTTGAAAGGTCCATTACCTAAGAATGTCTATGGATCTGTGAGGAGTGATAATAGAGCAATTTACTGTTTCAGGTCGACCCCTCCATCATTGGTGGTATGGTAGTAAACATTGGAGACAAGTATGTTGATATGTCAATGGCAACCAAGATCAAGACATACACAAATCTAATCAAGGAGGCTGTATAAGCTCCCATGATTCTAGAGTGACTGTTCTGTTTGTGTATAGTTTGTATCAATATTGCTCTGGACAGGTAACATTAGCTTGGTACGGTACTGTAAAAAGTTCAACAAGAAATTAAACATTCATCACACAAAGTTGTCACGTCGTCTTTCAGATACTCAGTGCATTTTCATCCTTTGTACTCTCTGCAACCATTATGCTTCTGCAAAATCATAAATGACGGCCTCCATCGACTAGTGGGGTGATTAATCTTCCAGGATAACAGAAGTTCGGTGGTTGGATCCTTGGCTTTGTCATACCAAACAACATCAAAAGATTGTGCTTGTTTAGCTGCCTGGCCATCAGCATGTTGAAGATGAAGATGTTGAAGACATTTCGCCTTGGGGTCAGAATACTTGTCTGAGTTGGGTTTCTATGTTGACTGAGGCATTGTATCTCAGTGGTCTAGACACAAGCAGATGCCCATGCTTGTTCTAAGTGATAAACCTCACCTCAGGATCATAAAAGCTCAAGTGGTGGTTGCAGGAGGAATGCGTATTGATGTCTTTCAGTGATTAAAGGATTATGGAGTGTAAAAATAGTATTACTATTTGCATGAGTTCAAGTTATGGGTGCAAAATACACCTAGCTCATTATCAAATATATCTCAATATAAATATTATGCATATCACAAGGTACATGATAGTCATGGTTATCACATAAGTGAACTGAACTGTGAAGTCTTGAATGTGACATTTAACATCATATCATGCACATTATAGTAATGATTTTATGGATTGTAGGATATGCTATGTATGCTATGATGGAGCAGGGATGGAAATAACTTTAAAATTGCTAGTGTACTCTGGTACAGTGGCACATATAAAATCACTTGCCCTGATAATATTTCCACTATACCGGCCGCTGTTCTTGTTGATCTTTTAAATAAACAACATAATTAACATGGGAAAGTCAACTGGACACCGATACAACGTGATATACAAATTAGCTTGCCCGACAGAAAACAACACTGGACTCGGACGTCGGGCAATGGGTTATTTCCACCCGTGGAGTAGGACCACAGTGTAATGTGTGTGCTCAGACAGTTTCCACACCTTGGCCAGTATACACTGTAATACCAGAAACTAGGGTAACAACTGTTGTAAAAAAAAATCTGTCCGAAATGTTTCATTGGGATTGGTTTTGTTTTGTTGTATTCAAGACTCTATAAATACATTGCTGGTATATCTTAATGTATAAGAATGCAAGTAATAGCCATCATATAAAACACATATGAGAAAATCTTTGAATTTGATTCAATGATATAATGAAACGATTTTATTCATGTTAAGTTTGAATGGAAAAAAAACATGTCCAAATTGCACTGAAGATAACAGTTGTGGAAGCAATTCAAATTGCTTGTCTTCTTCTAAACTGTAGGACTTCCAACTGGTGGAAAGGAGATTTGTTTTTGTGGAGAGTCATCTCTTGCTTGGAGTATCCGGGCAAGGTAACCACATGAACGTATCTAATTGGTTGCCATCTTTACACATTACATCCTGCATGTTCTCCATGATATTGACTTTCATGAAAACCATTAACAGTTTAGCTTTCACCTCCTCACCGCTGATTATGTTCCTGCAGTTGTCTTGCAGCAATGTGCAACTGTTTTGTCTGTGTACATTACTGTTATTGACAACCCATAGTTAAAACTTGAGCACAACTTTGCCAACTCGAACCTCGTCCAGTGTCTTGAGACTTTCCATTACATCATCCATGGTCACAAGTCGGGCAATCTTACACCTGAAAGTAACATGTTTCATGAACTGTTATAGGAGGGTTCCATAATATTTTACATCTTATGCATTAAAAGTGAATGATTTCTGGTTAATAGCTTTAAAAACAATCCATGTTCTTTGTATTAAACACCCTGCTCCAATAAGAGCTACCTGACAAACTTTTAAGCCAACTGGAAAATATTCTTCCATTCGTTCCTACTTGGGACCACAATTTTATATCTATAAATTATTTAAAAACATGTTTGGTCAACTGGAAATCCGGTCACTAACACTTAATTGTACCCCTTTATCAATTCTCAATGTGCCCAAGACCATAACATTATCACTTTGGACCATTGAATTTAGTTTAATCAGAAGTTTGTGCAACCACTCCGCATACAACACAGAAGTGAACCCACTCTGTCATCTACTCTATTTGATAATACAAATAAGTCACTGGATTGTGTGCTTGGTTCTATTGAATCATACTTGCTTAAAGACAGTTAGTTGGGTTTAATGCAACTTTGAATATTTGAGTCGAATTCATAGCTTCGCATCTCAGTGTGGGAGGTAATCCAAAAGATGATGCATTAAACATTGATCTCTTTGATGAAACCCCAAGCACAGTCATGGCACAAAAAAGCAAAAATCAGCAGCAGCAAGAATTTGGAAATCTGATCCATAATCATAGGATTCTTACAAGCCTAAGGGAAGTAACTCTGCAAAGTCAACTGAAAGTGCTCACTGAGCATGCAGGCTATCCTTTCAGACCACAGCAGCATTTAAACCAGGTCACTTTATATACAATTATGGCTGTAATTTAGTACTTACTTGATTGTTCCCTTGTCTAGTTTATCTACAACATCCAATAATATATCTGTTATCATTAAGGAGAATACATAATATTTTATGTCAGCTTCGTGAATTACAGCTACAAACTACAACATTCTCACCCACTCGAACAGTAGTGGTTGGTTGGATGGATGATTGTTGTTTAACACCGCACTCAGCAATATTCCAACTATATGGCGGCGGTCTGTAAATAATCTAGTTTGGATCAGACAATCCAGTGATCAACAGCATGAGCATCATTCTACACAATTTGGCTGTGATGACATGTCAACCAAATCAGCGAGCCTGACCACCCGATCCCGTCAGTCGCCTCTTACGACAAGTATGGGTTGCTGAAGACCAATTCTAACGCAGATCTTCACAGGTACATGAACATGGTGAAATTATTAGTGACCTGTTACATATTAGTAAAAGCAACTAAATATACTGTATGTGATCATAAGATTACACAGCTGTGAGAAGGATGTGACCTCTTTGAAACCTTATCAAAGTACCATCAATGCATGCCAGTGCCTGACTGCTCCCTGGGTTAATCTGTTCAAAGGACAAACATCGGGTCAAGGGTGTGCGTTGTGAGGTCCCCATCCAAATAAATACATGCCTGTTCTCTCCCTAGGTGAGTCTGCAGCAATGTTAACTTAAGCATTAAAGCCTCTTCCTTCTTTTTGTTCCTGTTCTATACGAGTTACCTCTACAAAGCTTTAACTATAACATATATTGAGATAGTTTTCCTTCCCAATTTGAGTATTTGTATTTGAAATTTCCTGCACCCCCTGTATTTGATATTTTCTCTCACGTCAAACAATTCAAAACAGAATTTTTAGCATCGGAGGTGCTAACTAAATGAAAACTAAAATGAAAACAACATAAAATGACATGAACAAATTTAGGATTATTATTTTTGGAGAGAAAGGATACGCTGATATCTGCCCTGTTGCACACTGGCCATTGTCCAGGCAGGGGGAAACAGGAAGCTGACGCTAGCGCCACGGAGGAGCAGCTGTTGACAGTCTGGGGGATCCAGCTGCAGAGAGAAGACACAATCAACATAGGTCAGACTATAAGTGCTGTGTGCAATATTCCTGTTAGATGACAAAAATATGGACCACACAATCCAGTGATCAATATTGTGATTAACCACCCCACTGTTTTCATACAGTGACAACCATCAGCAAACCAAGACTCAGCCTCACTACCCAATTGACTTGTTTGTCTCCTAAGATGAAGTGTGTGACATTCCTCTGCAGATGGAGAATGTGGGCGGATCCTGGAGACATGAAAACTGCTGGTGATACAGAATGGAGGACTGACCTGAAGATCTGGTTGTGTGGTGATCCACTTCCCAGCAAATCCCAGACAAGAAATGATGTCATACTTGTGAGGAACTGGAAATTTGTAGTTTTCTCCAACTAAAGCTTTGTCCTCCTCTGTCGTAAACAAGCAGACTGAAACAAGTGGTAGATAGATAGATTATCTTTATTTCCTCCAAAAATATGAAGATTGTTTCATGTTACAACAAAGTGTCAAGTTGAATATACAATGACTCAGTAGACAGTTAATTGTGCAGATATTTTAGAATGACAGACTGACATAACTCAGCCACTAATAACATAACTTCCCCCCATTCTGTCATATTTAAGTTACCAAGTGTTGTACAAGATCCACCAAGTAAATCAGCAATTATTACATCGTCATCATTTTCCCAAAAGTCAACAAAATCAGATATTGATATAATATCACAAATCCTTTCAAACATTTCATTTCAAATCATTAAGATGTGTACAGGACATAATAACATGTTTAACAATATCAGAAGCTACTATTCCACATATACACTCTCTGGATTCAATCTTTTTACAGCCAATGTGAATAATATGAGAGAGTTTGTAAAATTTAGGCTTTTAATCAAGGCTAGTTCCCACAGTCTACTTGGATTAAAAGGCTCTCGGATAAGGCAATATCTTGAGAGATCCTCTCACTGCTATCTGATGACACAACAGACTCTCGTAAGCATCACAGATTCTGGATTTAACAATATCATTCCATTTTGCTTTAGTACATATAACCCTGTTGTGATGTATGTATTAACAGCGCAAACAAGCCATACTTGTTTACTTGAGCTTAACCATGTACAGGATAGGTGACGGGATTTACCAATGGTAGTCATACATCTGGATTCAAATAGACGATGAAGAAATAATTGTTTAACAACATAGGCATCATTTAGACGGGCAGATTCTACCAAACATAAGCAAACAAGATTTTTCTATATACCCTTGAATTGGCAGTAGGCCCAGGGTATCTAGAACCACAGGAGAAGCAGTGCGTTTAGGCAGACCTTGTACCTTTCTACAGAAATACCTTTGTGTTAACTCCAACACGTCCAATTCTTTTGACGTTAAGCTGCTCCAAACAGTACAACCATATAAAGCACATGGTAAAATGACATTGTTCCATATACGACAAGCACAAATAGGATTGAGTGAACCATAGCACAAGCCAAGGTCATGATACATATTAACCAGTTTACGTGCTTTTTCACATGATGACATTGTTCTATCATACGATTTATTACATGAAGACAACTGAACTCCAGCGTACGTAACAGATTGCATGAACTCACCCCTTCATCCACAAAACAGTGCACTCCCAATCTCATGTCCACCTTGCTGTGTACAGACCCCCAACCCCGCCATGATCCACGATACATTCCACTCACCACCCCCGCCTACACCTACTTGTGTATGGACTCACCCCCCTCATCCACTTATACATTCCACTCACCACCCCCGCCTCCCCACCTACTTGTGTATAGACTCACCCCCATCATCCACGATACAGTCCACTCACCACCCCTGCCTCCACCTACTTGTGTATAGACTCACCCCCATCATCCACGATACAGTCCACTCACCACCCCCGCCTCCACCTACTTGTGTATAGACTCACCCCCCATCATCCACTTATACACTCCACTCACCCACCCCCTGTCTACTTGTGTATAGACTCACCCCTCATCATCCACTTATACAGTCCACTCACCACCCCTCACCTCCACCTACTTGTGTATAGACTCACCCCCATCATCCACCCAGTCCACTCACCACCCCTGCCTCCACCTACTTGTGTATGGACTCACCCCCATCATCCACTCTATACAGTCCACTCACCACCCCCGCCTCCACCTACTTGTGTATAGACTCTAACCCCATCATCCACGATACAGTCCACTCACCACCCCCTCGCCTCCACCTACTTGTGTATAGACTCACCCCCATCATCCACGATACATTCCACTCACCACCCCCGCCTCCACCTACTTGTGTATGGACTCACCCCCATCATCCACGATACAGTCCACTCACCACCCCCCACCTCCACCTACTTGTGTGTAGGACTCACCCCCCATCATCCACTTATACAGTCCACTCACCACCCCTGCCTCCACCTACTTGTGTATGGACTCACCCCCATCATCCACTGATACAGTCCACTCACCACCCCCCTGCCTCCACCTACTTGTGTATAGACTCACACCCCCCATCATCCAAGATACATTCCACTCACCACCCCGCCTCCACCTACTTGTGTATAGACTCACCCCCATCATCCACTATACAGTCCACTCCAACGCCTCCTGTCTCCTCCTTCACACTGCTTACCAAGATGTTGTTTCGTTTGTTGAGCTCAATCACCTGGGCTGAGTAGAGACATGTATATCATAATTACAGTTACAAATTACATAGCAAACATAATAATAATCACTAACATGTATGTGAGAAAGAAACTTTATGTCTGCTGTTATGGTAGTCATGACTACAATTTTGAGTTTTTTCAATTTAACATATATTAACAGATTTAACACATGAAAATCAGAAGCTCATGCACAGAACCAGATGTGGACACACACCAACATACAGATACAGACATGTACTGACAGAGGGATGGAGACATGTAGAGGCAGACAGACACAAGGATCCATACACTCACTCACCTATTGACATGTACACACCTATTGGGGGCTGGATTCCCTCCAGGTGCTGCCTCTCTGCCTGAGTATTGTATGTTGCAAGCACCTGTTCACATACAGAATGATAGATTTGTGGGTCCAGATATATCATGTATTGTTTTGGCTCCATTGATGACTTACATGCAAACATTTTTAGTACTGTAGGTCCTCACCAGGCCTCAAGACCTTCTCTAACATAGTATTGTTCAGTGAAAACTGGTGAATTTTTCTGATCTTTTACAGTGATAATTACATGGATGTATGTAGGCTGTTCAGGGGCCAATATTTGGCCACATGTGCATCAAATGGCAGTTATAATTTCCCAAAAGGGACATAAGGTTTCACATATATGTTTCTATAGTTATTACCCAGTACGTGATATGTATTCCACTGAACAGGACAATTAATGATGGTCTTCTAGTATTCAACACAATTCTATAATTCCTCTGAATATAACTAAAAAACACCTTATTTATATCAATTTTAACATGTTGACAGTGAAGAGCACACAGGTTAAAATTCTAATTACTTACTGTAATGACAACATAGTGTGTTGTGCTAATCGAACTCGGCCTTTTGTGTCATTAGGGAACAACCGAACCTCTAGCCTACACCACCATACACAATTAGCTGGGAGTAGGTATGGCTTTTGGCAATGTTCCAGCAATATACCATGGGGGACACCAGATATGGGCTAAAGAGATTGCACAAATCCTGAATCTCTGGAATCTCATGCAAGACAAGCAAACGCTTTAACCACAAGTGCCTAATTATCTACAAAGGTTAACAAATCACTTTCGCCTTCTCCCAAAATTATCTCTTTTCTTAACAATATCAGGTTTGTTTATATGAATACCAATTACATCAATTATTCACTAATGCACTCTCACCTTTGCTCCCCAGCGTTGTCCAAGCTGAACCAATACATTGCCAGCAGCAGTAGCACCCCCTATAACCAGTAGTGTATCACCTGCACACACTTTAGCATGGTAGTGCAGCGCAGTGTATGCACTGACACAGTCACCAACAGCTGCAGCTGCATCTTCAAAGGCGAGCTGAGATGGCTTCTTTACCACATCGTACTCACTGATGCAACAGAACTCCCCACATCCTGAGTACAGGCTGTCCAATGGCAGAATACCTTTGCAGAGAAAAACAGTGATTCTTCAGTACTCTGACATCTATATGCCTGCACATATACTCCCTCAACATAGCAAATTAAAATTTGTCATTATGTTTCACTTACCTGGATCTACGGACAGGAAATGTGGAATAGAATTATGATTGAAACATAAAATTAAATGTTTAATCTGTCAACTGATTACGGCAATAAATGAACATCAAACAATGGGGACAAAAAGTAATCCTCTGATATGTCACTCAGCTGTAAGAAATTGAATAGTATACTATAAATCGTATAGTATATAAATTAACATTAACACTTATCCTATCTCATCTTATGCACTTTATCTTGTTCTTTCAACTGTGGTGTGAAATATTCTGGAAGTTTCCAGCCTCACTAAAGAGCTTATTCGAACACGCCCCTGCTCCAATTACTGATATAGGGCAATCACTGGAAGCACCTGCAGGACATGTGACATCTTGTCTTGGAGCTGGAACACCCCTGTCATCTGGGTAGCAGGGTTGGTCAAGCAGGATTCCATCGTGCAAGATAGGATTAGTATTATAAATATACAGTTACAGGGGTGGAAATAACCCATTGCCCGACGTCCGAGTCCAGTGTTTTTTCTGTCCGTGCAAGCAAATTTGTATATCACACTGCACCGGTGTCCAGTTGACTTTCCAATGTTAATTATGTTGTTTATTTTAAAAAATCAACAAGAAAATGTCCAGTATAGTGGAAAAATTATCAGGGCAAGAGATTTTACATGTGCCACTGTTCCGGAGTACATTAGCAATTTTAAACTTATTTCCACCCCTGAGTTAAGAGTAAAATTTTCAAATTTATAAACTTATCCTATTTCACAGTATCCCGCGGTTGGATGGTGGTCCACATCTATAGGGAGATGACAACTGTGAAGCTCACTTGTGATGGGTTGCTTCAGAAAACCCAATACTCTACACAAACCCATTGTTTCATTAGTCAAAGGACAATAGACTGAATTAAGAAACAGGAAGTTCTTTTTGTCCTCAGTCCCAGATGGTAAGTTCTTTGATACTGTTCCTCACATCCACATCATACAGGTGAACTTCTCAGTAAATCTGACCCTCATTTATCCCTCCTAGACTTAGCCATTGATAGTCAAGGAACTCGGGAATGAATACGTCAAAAGGACAAGCAGAGATTTTGGCATGATTGGTGGCAAGAGTAGAGGATAATGAGTGTGGATCACCTCGGTGTTGTGGTATAATTGTAAAGCCTATGACCAGTGAGTGAGTGAGTGAGTGAGTTTTACGCCACACTCACCAGTATTAAAGCTATATGGCAGCGGTCTGTAAATAATCGAGTCTGGACCAGACAGTCCAGTGATCAACAGCATGTGCATCGACCTGCACAATTGGGAACTGATGACGTGTGTCAACCAAGCCAGCGAGCCTGACCACCTGATCCCATAAGACTAGCATGGGTTACTGAAGATTAATTCTAACCCGGATCTTCATGGGTAGTAACATTGGAGGATTGGAACAGGTGACAAAGGTTCTCACTGAAATAACAGTCTGAAGGAGCATAAAAAAATCTTCCTCCACAGGGAAATGTGATCTATATGAACATCATGCATTCTCAGTGGATTGTTCAGATTTCTTCCCAGTTGAAGGACCAAATTCTTCTCAATTGTGTTCATAGTCTTTATCCTTTGTTCTTCCAGAACTTGCCATACGTTATATGCATGCTCTGCATGAGCTGCCAATAATTGTCCTTTATCATTAATTGGAGCCGGGGATTGTTCAGACGAGCTGTTTCAGAGAGGCTGAAAACTTTGTTCCAGTTTGTTTCCACTCCACAGTTGAAAGAACAAGTGAAAGTGCATAACATCCGACAGGATAAATTCTAAAATAGAATAATTTCTTCCATTTTGATTTTTTTTGGCAATGTTTTCCCAGTTACAATATTTCAATGTGTCACCAAACGAACAACATGTCAACGTTGCACAACCAAACCTGTGTTGAGCCAAATATCGGAAAAACCCTCTCAAAACTGTGCAACCCCTTCCTCATGTGTGACTGATTCTCCAATTGTATGACTCCCTTTCCCATTTGTGTGACCCTTTTCCCTATCTGAACCCCTTCCATCTGTTCCATCTGTGTGACCCCTTCCCCATCTGACCCCTTCCCATCTGTCCTTCACCATCTGACCCCCTCCCATCTGTAAGACCCCTTCACCATCTGGCCCCCTCCCATCTGTAAGACCCCTTCACCATCTGACCCCCTCCCATCTGTAAGACCCCTTCACCATCTGACCCCCTCCCATCTGTGTGGCCCCTTCCCCTATCTTTAGTTCCCCTTGCTGTATCCTGGCCAGGTCATGTGTTTAGTACTCACCAACAATGGCATCACCTGGCTTGTAGCTTGTGACCCCCTCACCTATCTCTGTAACTATCCCTGCTATATCCTGGCCTACTGGATATGATTCTCGTATCTCCTTCTTGAAAATCTCACTCAAGTTCTATAGAAATGTAACAAAAGTAACACATAAGCATGGCCTCAGACACATTGAAGAAAGCATGAATAAATAATAGGGCATAACGATTATTTTAGCATCATTTCAGCCACTGAATGCATGGTGTTCAATATATCTTCTATTTCAGTTCTTATTTCGTCATCCTCTTCATCTAACTTGCAAATTTGTAGAAGCAAATGAGAAAAGGTCTTTTTAGATGTACTATATGAACCTCCATAATGTTTTTCTTTAGTTTTATTTTTTTTAGTATCCATAATAATTCTGAGTGATAAACTATCACTGAAGATAAAACAGCTGGTTATCCCAAACTATGACAAGTGAGTGGCATGTGATTGAAAGGTTACATCACCGTGATGACAACACCTGCCCTACCTTATGATTTATGAGTGACAAGCCACAGGCTTTCACCTGAACTAACAGTTCATTCTTGCATGGACTAGGACGGGGTTCCTGGAAAAAACAAATATTTTTAAATACACCTATTAGTCGTAAATGTTTATCATTAACCTCACATATATGAAATCATTCACAACATCAAAAGAATTAATTATTACAGCTATGTCGTTCTTTACAAGAGAAAACATGAAAGCTATCAAGTTACATAAATGTTATAACAGTTACCTAAATGATACATTTATTTTCAGAAGTAATCATACTCACATTGTCTTCAAGAATAAACTTTTGCACATTAGCATCCTGGGAAGATGATCTCTTGATGCACCTCATGATTGCCTCCTTACAGATAAATGAAAATTAGGAAAATTAATCTCACTGATTATTTACAACTTCATATTGATAACATCAGGTGGTAAATGACAAAACCCATTTAGCAAATAAGCTCAACCTGCATCAAACTGAAATACAATGTACTAAGCTATTTGAGAAGAAGTAACTTTGTTGTGGATTGAATATGCACACTCTAACCCACTCTAGTGTCTTCAACTTCAACCTGACAGAACTTTGAGCTTCCCCAGGATTTCAAGGTTTCAATGTACATGAGGTTTTATACCATAGCTACCTGCAGGTGTGTAACAAAGTCATTAACATTCGAACAACTGACTGGTACTGTTTTCATTGAGCCATCTTAATAACACAGTTACCAATTGAAAAATCCCTTTGTATTAAGCATAATCATGGTGTAAGAAAGGGGCACAAAGCAGCATCTGATTAAACATCTTGACATCCTTCTACATTTTCATACTTTAATCCAGGTAATTATTTAACATAATTCAACATAAGTAATTATTGAACAAGTTTTGCTTATAGATCAAGGAGTTGCTTTGTTAACAAATCCTGCATCCCATAAAAGTTATACCTAATTTAATACATTTAGCATTTTTTTTTATATTAGTGTCGAATTTTCTCCATATTTAAGTACACAAGCATTGCTCTGTTCATGATCAAGACTTGCGTTCTCATTTTGCAGTTCTCCCGAAATAAATATCAAAGTTTTGACTGCTAGGAAAAATACAATTGCTACAAACTGTACCTTCCCACACATTCATTGAAAACAACTTGTTATTTACATGAAATCAAAGTAATGAGGATCAAAACATGACAGTGTTGATTGTTCTCCACGACATACACCGCTTCCGGCTTTCAGGGAACGCCCACACTACCCAGAGTGCACTGCGCCAATTGATGCAGACAGGGGATGTCAGCTCAAGAAATTACTTGATTATTTAAAGACATTTGGCGAAAATCTAAGCGACCCTCCGTGGATTTGGATTCCTATTTACTCACAGACACTCTTGCTAACTGCATTTAGACATCTGATATTCATTGGCGTGTAAAGGAATCCGAAAACGACACTTGTGACACCGGAAATATGGCTACCGCCTCTCACCACTGGAACTTGGCCAACATCGATCGTATGGATGCTCTAATATAATCAAACAACAAACAGGGTAGGTCTTCTAATTAAACACTTTCACTTTTTCTTGATTGAATGTTTGCATCACATTTCTTTGAAAGTCTATGGCAAACCAGACTAGGTCACAAGCCGTGTTTACTTTTGATCTGTAAATCGTCTCCTAATTTCGATACACTCTAACTGATACGATAATACTAACGGTGACAGTGGCTCACTTGCTGCTATGTTAAGAGTAATACCATAAACAATGTATGGCTTGATGATCTTTCTCTGTTGCTTAGTTGTGCATATACTTTTTTCAAACATTTTAAACCCATATGCCTCCAGCATCTTTCACTGATTACAGTGATTTGCTTGGGGGCAAGTGACATTAAGGACTGACGTTAGTTTGGCACGATTAATTTATTTTTGAAGGAATGTCTTCAGTAAATTTTCAAAAAAAATTCCATTCCCCAATCACAAAATATCCCAGAAAATGAACTTACATCAATCCCTGATTCATGATATGACTCTTTTGTGGTGTTTTATCATCAGTTTAGTATGAAAGGTAACATCACCTCTGCAAAATGCTTCTGATTTTATCTTGCAAGACAAGTTCCTGAAGGTTAGTTGAAAATGGCATCTAATCGTTATAATGATATTTATGCATATATGCTTTTAGATGTTTGCTTCAGAACTAAACAACCAATTGCTCTAATATAATACAGCTGAGGTCGTAACCTACTTTGTAACAAACCTATTAATCAAATATCAAATTATAAATTTCTCAAGTACCACAACACAATGTGTCCACAGGCTGCATGGATTACATCATATGACATGTTGATTTTTCCTGTATTCTCACACACGACTCATCAAAAGCATCAGTTTCAGTTTCATAGGAGAATAATTTGATGGAAGGTTATTAAACTATGTTAACTTGTTCCTCCAAATCAGAGTCAGCAAGTTAATTTGGAATGTAATTTCTAATGTAAACATGTTTTAAAATAATTAATGGCTTCCAATTTTTTGTGTTTGCATGTTAACCTGTGTTAATATCATTTATTGCTTGTCTGTAAAGTAAAGTTCTCTTGAAAATAATAGCTGTTGTCACTTAGGACAATGTTCAGTTTTTGCCAAACGTTGACATTTTTGTTTGTTGTTTGAATGTTTAACAATGTATAAGGTGCAGAGGTGCTGTTTTAGCGATAAGTATAACTCAAGCAGAATCATTTCAGAAGTCATTTCATCTCATCATAATAGGCATGTAGCATGTAGGCATAACATGAATGGTCATCTTTTTGAGCCAATTCAATACATCTTTTTAGAAATTATATTGATACAAACTTAATGATACAAACTTTCAGCCAGGGTTATGTTGGGAAACTTTGTATAGTCTATAAATAGATGCATTTCAAGATGTGGGTTTAAATGGTATAAATAATGTAAAACTGTTGACCTGAACACCACACTTATTAACATGATTAAACGACTGAAAATGTTGTTGCATCTAGCTTTATCAGCTTCTAATGTTACATCTGCTCAGAACATGGGTGTGACCACAAAGTACTTGGTAGTTGTAATGTAGCATGAACCAGATTGCTTATCATATGGTTATGGTTGCATAATTTGTTGGGTTGTTATTATTATTTGTTAATTCTATGTCTAGTATTATTTAAGGACATACAGTGTGTTATCAAGTTTTTCTTTCATTTCCTGGTTGTATGTATGAAGGTTTAAGTGTCTATTCATCATGAATAATACAAGTTTATGGACAGTTCTTTGACAACAACATGAACATAACAAAAGCAGCAATAGGTATTTTGAAAGTGAGTGATTAAATACACTGAGGAAATTTGAAACAATGTGCTTTGTGAGGATCAACTATTCCATGACCTGGTGCCTGTGCTATGTTATCGGGTTAACCTGATTAATGGTACTAATTAGTGACCTGTGTCAGAGACACTCTATACATGTTATATTCACTAACCATGCTCACTGCCAGGTTGAGTTTATCATGAAAACCAAGTTTACGAACAAGAAAGGGGTGTTTAGGTGACTTGAGCATGTTGAATCAAAGTTTCTGGGACTGCCCCCTGTCCCAAGTCTAGTTTGCCCCTGAATACATTGTACTATCTTCATCAGCATTGATCATGTTACTAATGACACAGATCAGAAGGAAATAGAGACTGCTTGTGAATATGCTTGATATCTGAAGAAGGCCATTGCATATTAGATGTCATCATGGTCATGATTATGAATAAACATCAACAGTTTGGCCTTGTATTAAGTTGCAAGATACGCAAATATGCAAATTGCCCCTAAATCTGCCAGTCAGTCTGTCTGTCTCAGGCCTAAAAAAAAAATGTTGTGGTTCTGATTACCAGACCTAACCTTGAATTCTGGTGCCGACCCTATTTTTTAAGCGGTATAAATAAAATAAGCTTTCAGATACCATTGTTTTTACCCAGCACCGACAGACTTAGGTAATTCTTATAGAGAAAGTCGACATGATGGCCGCAAGCTTGATTGAATAAACAATTACACACTGAATCCTGCCACAACATTTTTTTATATGGTCTCATGTTATTACCGTAAAGGTATTTGCAAATGACTGTACCCATTTCCAAATTTGATCATTTTGAATTGAAAATTTCTTAATCCAAGTCATTGTAATGTTTTATTTTTTTTAAACATCATGAACAAGACAGTGGTGCCTTACATTTCACTGATAACTTATAACCATGATAGTAGGACCAATGAAGAGAGAAAAAATTGAGTTAGTACTTTGTGTATATATATACATATATACTGTTGCTGCACTGAACTTGTGAATGCAATGCTAACATAGCTGATGTCAAGATGTACCATGGCTTATATTTTAAACAGATCTTAAAACATGAAACTAAAATTGGCCTTGTATTGTTGATACTATGTTGAAAGCCACATTAAATATTTAAGTATGTTTCTAATTTAGATACTATTTAAACATATTTAACATGTGTAAAGATGTGTTTGGTAGAGGTCACAATCATGGTGCCATTGTATAAAGTGATCTTAGTGCTAAGGTGATTGTAGCCCCCATTCATTAAGTAGACTTGTCACAGCACTAAGGTTACTTTGTACAGCAGCACTCTTAGCAAATTGTCTAAAGACTAAAGGTCTTGTGACCCAAGTATTGATAAGTAGACAAGAGTTCAGAAGTAAAATGCTATAATTTTGGATCCAAATACACAAGTTAACCAGGAATGCATAATTTCTACAAATGTACCCTCATACCTGCTATACAATTATAAATGAAGGAGTATTACTCTGAAAACTATTGCTTTGTTTATTTTTAATATGTTTAAATTGTAAGGTAAAAAACTTGATCTGACTGACGTGACTGATTGCTGCTTTGAAAATGATGACAGTAACACAAGATTGATGAGAAAAGGGTCAGAATTGAATATTTTCCACATTGCCTTGCCAACTTGTCATTTCGCCATATCCTCAGGTTTCATTGGTGCAATGATTGAGCTATTTGCCATCACATATGTGACATCAGTTTGATTTTTCTTTTGTTTTCAGGGATATTAAGAGGAATATCAATCAAAACCACCATGGCAGGTGCAGGTAACTACTACTTTGTTATATTAATGTGTTTTACATCATTAACTGGGCTTTGGCATGATCAGTTTCGAGAAAAAGTACAATTGGTATCACATTGAAGATTGTATGACTTCTGCAAATGCCGTTTTGAATTATCAAGCAAGGATTTATCTAGAGCAGCTCAGAGGCCACAATTTGACCACATGTCTGTGAGAAAAATAAGTAAAGATGTCCAAATTGGGATCAGAACATTCACAATTCATGTTAATGTAGTTTGGGCTAATGGGATGACTCAGTCATGTCGACATGTCCATCACTGATATCAGGACCAGTAAACATTGATGAAGAGGTTTAAAAGCCAGCCTCACATTAGCGAATGTAATTGTTTCAATAACTGCTAATATACAATGTCAAGAATGTTAAAAGACCTCTTAATCTAAGGAATCCAATAGGAAAACAATAGGAATCCCATTTTCCTTAGTTTACTTGCCAATTGCTGAGTATGAAATCCTAGATAAATTCTTGACATTATACTGATGTGCATATTGCAGGGTTTGAAAGTTCACTCTGTCAGTGTTAGTCATCTTATCTACCTGTTTGTGATTGTCACTAAATGAACAATTGTTAGTTATTAACTCAGTGTAAAATGTGCAACATTTCATTGGGTAAAAAAAACATGATTTTCCCCTTTTTTTCCAACTGAACACATTGAATTATTCATGATAATTAACTCTGTCATAATTGCTGGTTGGTGGTGAACAAATGGTGAGGTGGTCCAGGTCATAAATGTTTAATGTTTGCTATTTGGAGGTGGCGATGTCTGGCGCATTACAGGAGAAGATCGTGCAAAACATGATGCTCAGTTCTTCCAGCTTAAGCCTGTCAATGGATTTGTGTCTGGTATGTACTGTAAGAACCATGGTGGCTTCTACATGGTGTAACACCATAATGTGAAATCAATTCCTGGCTAAAAATAATAGCTCTGCACCATCACCTGATTTCTTGCTGCTTAGAAGTTAGAGTGATTGATCTGTTCATACTTGCATAGGTCAGATGCAGACTTAAGTCCACAAAGGGAAAAGAGAGAATGGAAAGGTTTTTTAATTCTCTGAATCATGAACATGATGTTATCTACATTTGTTAATATATTATCGTTACATCAAGAATAAACATTATTAACTCAACAGATACTCGAAATGCTATGGTTTTTCAGAGAATTGGTTGATTCCAGTCACCTTATATATTAGGATTCTTTATAAAGCATGTGGAGGTGTATTAAGTTTTGGATCACAATTAAACAAGAATTGTCTTGTTCTGGTTATACATGTCAGTCATATGACTTATTAAACTGCTAACATGATGATCATTTTATCAGGCCCTAATCTTGTATCGCTTGAAAGTGTATCATAACTTAACAAGTGGGAGAGAGTGATATGTTTCAGTGTTCACGAATGGTGCTTCAAAGTAACAGGACATTGGGTCCTGTAAGTTTCAGATGTCTGTCTGACCCATTGAAAATTCACAGGACCCATAGAATACAATTAAACACACATTTCAGATTAAACATTTCTTATAATGAGCATCAAAATTAACATACATTAGATTTATAAACAGCAAACAAGTGTCACATGTCACATATAAAAACTTCAGTCAAAGTCATTGTGAAATATACAGTCAGACACTGGGGCCGGCGGGTGGCAGACTTCTATTGGACCGTTGGCGAATCTGCCGGATTCGTCAGAGGGTCAGACGCTATTCGTAAACACTGATGTTTACAAACTGACCCAATGAAAATTCACTAGCCAGTCGGGCCAGTGACTGTGGAGATTTTCTGGCCCGACTGGATTTTTACTAGCTACGGGCTAGTGGGCCAGTGGCTATTTCATTTTCACACACTGCCAGGGATAATGAAATATACTGAACAATGTCATTCATTTCTTCATTCAACTGTATGCATATAATGACAATGAACCAATATTAAACAACAAACAAACAAGTTGTATCATATAAAATGTATATGGTATTATTATTGGTATTATTATTATTATGCTAACATTTGTATAGCATTTTGTATTAGAGAACCATATATTTCTTCCAGGTGAACAAGCTAAAGGATTCTTCCTTCAGTCAGGTCTGGATATGCAGAAACTAGGTCAAATCTGGTGAGGATGAATCATTGTCTGTCAGCTCCTTTAAAAAAATTATGCAGTGGTTTATTCCAGTTATTTCTGCTGTTGTTAACAGTCATGTAGACAATATTATCATGATAATATTGTCAATTGATATCTATGTTATTAGCAGTCAGCTTCCAAGTACATTATGAAAATATTTGTGATTTGTTGTAGGCCAGAGCATAAGGCTTATATTATTACTTTAACATGTTTATTGAATTTTTCATCCAAGGTCGCTGGCTGACATGAACAATGATGGGAAAATGGATAAAAAAGAATTTTCAATTGCCATGCAACTCATCAAAAAGAAGTTGCAAGGATACGAGCTACCAAAGACTCTGCCTGCCAGTATTAAAGCAGACCCATCTCCAGTCATGGGGTCATTTGGGATGCAGCCAATGGGAATGCAGATGGGCGGGGCTCCAGGGATGGGGGCTCCTCCACCTATGGGCATGGGAATGGGTATGCCAGGTGAGATCCTTTAAAATTAAATACTCTCTTCCATAGATGTACATGATTCAAGCTTCTAATATATCATGTGCAAGGAAACCTATGCAAGGAAACCTGTTGTTTGAGCTTGTTCTTTTTCTTGATCTATTTCTCTGAATTTCTCATATCTGTGAAAATGGCAGAATATTACATATATAATGCTGATTTTAAGTTAAATATCTATGATAAAAAAGCCTCTTCAACTGTGACCATGTTCTAATTACCATAGGAAAATGAATGTCTTTTGCATGTTCAATTAGATGAAAGAAGACAGAACTTGCTGTTTCAAGAAATTTTTCACAAGTAGCTATTCATTTCACCCTGGAAGTGTCATGCTATATTCTCTATGAGCATGCACAAGTCATATGGATGACTGACACTCTACAGGGATAATTCTAGGTTTGGCTACACACAAGAAAAAGTAGTTTGAATCTGAATTTTTGTGTGTATTGCCAATGGATGTATGCTAGAAATGTTAATCTGACATTAGCAGAGCTACAGATAACTTTTTGGGTCATTGAGTTATGTACCCGCTTGTCTTCATCTCAATTGGGTATCCTGATTTTCCTTTGAGTAACCAAACAAATTGTACTCACCTCACTCAAAATCTATTGGGTATTTTGCCATTTTCCATTAATTGTAAAAATATAATAAAGTTTAAATGTTAGTGTTTGTTATTTATATTTGATCTGTAATATGAGAAACAATATGAAAGACTGCTAGTTGAGTGTTCATGTGCCGAAATAGAATCTCTCAATATACCTCAGTTGCTTTATCTATCCACCGGTACGCAAGCTGAGATTTGACATTTTTGTGTGTACGCATGTACAATCAAATTTATTGAGTATTTACAAAAATACAAGCGTACTTGTACGCAACAGACGTAATAGGAATTGAGTTTTCACATAAATATTTGCGTAATTTACGCAAATACAGCTTATCTGTACCTCTGCATTAGTTTCTTCATGGGGTAATCACAGCAACGTTATGAGTGGCATCCTTTTCTTATTGGCATTTGATTTTTTTTCAAAATGGTCTATGAATTTTGATAACTACTTGTTCCGGTAATTCTATATGATGTTGGGCAATGGGGTGGATAAGTGGTTAAAGTGTTTGCTCTTTCCACCGAATGTCTAGGTTTGATTCCCCACATGGATGAGATGTTTGATAACCATTTCTGGTGACCACCATTATTTCCTGGAATGTTCCTTTAAGCAATGAACCCCTATGCTCATTTCAGTCCCTCTCTTATTTCACTCACCCACTCATACTCTATGTTGTATGCTAGTTACTCCGTCGCTGGGTTGATGTGGTCAACATCCAGACCTAGAGTTATCCCTGACTCTGTACTGTATATCTGTCCACATTTCTGGTATGTTTTGCTTGTTGAGTTTGTTGCACACTGTTTGGTTGCTAGCAGGGGCTCCCCCAATGTCAATGGCAATGATGCAGCCTGTAGCCTCACTTGGCTCGGGCACCATGACAACAGGCTCAGTGGGGATGCCCATAATGGCCAATGGGGTCCCTCCAGTGGGTGGACAGCAGGGATTTGTGGGTAAGCAGTAAGAGAAGAATGCCTGTCGGTACACATGACTGACATTTTTGTGTGTTTGCACTATCTTATAATATTCAACATTTTGCCTGATGTAAATGGAGTGCACATGTACATGTAACATGGTGTTCAGTGAAAACCCTATCTTTTAAACAGTTTGTTTTTATCTTTTAAATTAGTTTTCAGTGTGGTCACTGGTCAGTGTTGATCTAAGTTGTGTAATGTAACTGATGTAAGATGATTATACTATTAATGAAAAGTAGAACTATGCATTATATTGGTCATACATACAGCCTGATTATGGTATTACTGGTTAAGGTTGGGTGTATGACCCTGATGAAGACAGTAACTACTTTTCATGTTACTTGCATGATCATCGTTTTATTTTTTCTGTTTTCGATATTTATATTTACAAGTCCTATTTCTACAGACCGCCATCATATAGCTGGAATATTGCTGAGTGTGGTGTAAAACTGAACTCATTCACTCACTCATTGTATTAGTATGAATTATCATGGTATTTAAATAAGTAGAGTAATCCTGTTTTTGACTGTTTGTTCCACAGTTATCATGGTTATATGTATGGACAAAATTCAAGTTTTTATTTGATGGTAACCTGAAACAAGTGTTGTAAATCATGTAATTTGTGACCAATTGTAGTTGTTAGAAACTGAAAGGAGTGAATGTAAGCTAGAAGTGGAGACTGATGATGGTAGTGTTTTCAGGAATGGGAATGCCGGCTCCAGGAGGTGTGGTCGACCCTAAGGCAGGGATGAAGCCTGTTGGGTAATTACATTCTTCTAATATCTCATGTTATGTATCAGCAATGATCAGCATGATCAGATACGGTATTAGTGTCAAAATGTAATATTTGAAACTCATGAATGTTAGTGTTGATTTCTAACCTGTGATTCTGCTGTTGCTGTTGAAATGATTATCAATGTCAGGTTGTTGGTCTTCCCTTGTGTTGTCATGTGCACTGTTATGTTGTTTAAGTGCTGTAAGCTGGGCCATGCCGCATCAGAACAAGTTGAAGTACACACAGCTCTTCTACTCACATGACCGCAACAAGAGAGGCTATCTCACAGGTAACACACTGCAGGCTTCCCATTGAAGAAAATGACAATAGCACACTTGTAGTTTTGGTTTCTTTTATGTATATGCTTAATAGTGTTGGGAATTGGTTAAAATCTAATAATTGATGATTGGTCCATTACAACCGATCAATCATCGAAAATAATTGGTTAGCTTCATTTATTAAATGTTCCTGTTTTTGTTAATGCACACAAAAAAAAGAAGAAAAAACATGTAGTAATTTGGGTTTTTTGCAAATTGCTTAAAGTCCATTTGCAAATTTTGCATATTTAAATGATGATTAGTATGTTAGGAACACATATTTCCTGGATTCTTTAAGATAAATTCAATCATGACTTGGAACGAGCTTGAAGTGCTTATGAAATGTAAATTTAATGACACAGACAAAACCAGCCTTGTGAAAAATATTGTTAATGCAAACAAGTGTTCCAAGATTGGTCGTGTTTGATTACGAGAAAACATGTTCGATTGCTTGGTTGTTTAGTCACTGCGACCAATCTTCGATTATTTCAATTAATCGGACCACCACTAATGCTTAAGATAACTGTTAATTTGTTAGTCATTCAAAGATGCTTTCCAGAAAGATAAGCCCCATCTGTACATTGTCCTGCAATATCCAGTCTTTTCGCTTTAACAATAGTAGTTCAAGACAAAAGTATACTTTTGAAAAGCCTTGTATTTCTAGTACTTCTACAGACACCACCAGTGGCAGGGCAATAAAAAAAATATGAGTTAAATGCATCATGATCAATACCAGTGTATGAAATAAGGCCCGTCCGACCGCCCAAGACGGGCTAGATTTCTGACGGACAGTCTACATTTACAGCTATCCAGTCTGATGGTCTGGTAAAAACTTTAGATGTTCCATACACCTGAGTAAATTCACCATACCTTGGTGTCTGGTCTGGTTAAATCCATTTTTGGCTGGTAACATTTTGAAGTTACCAGCCCTGATGTCGGCCTGGGTTTTTGGCTTATTTCATACACTGTCAATACATCTGATTTCTTATCATTTTAAGAAGACAAGAGACATATCAACATTTTTTCCACATCTTGTACAGCTTGTATTATCTTCAGGGTACAATAGATAAAATATCATCCACAATATCTGCCACCATGGTATCCATGACAACAAATCCCCTCTGTTACAGGTGTGGAAGCAAGGTCTGTGCTGCTGCAGTCTCATCTCCCTCAAGCCATGCTGGCTCAGATATGGTGAGTGATGACAGATAACTCAATATCAAGTCACAAATGGATAATGTTACATCTCCTTCTTCATTGCAATATAAATGATTCATCTCTTTGAACCGTAACATATTCTGGAATTGATCTTCAGTAACCCATGTTTGTCGTAAGAGGCGACTAAAGGGATCGGGTGGTCAGACTCGCTGTCTTGGTGGACACATCCCATCATATCCCAATTGTCTAGATCGATGCTCATGCTGTTGATCATTGGATTGTCTGGTCCAGGCTCAATTATTTACAGACCCGTGAAGGTCCGGGTTAGAATGAACCTTCAGTATCCCATGCTTGTCGTAAGAGGCGACTAACGGGATCAGGTGGTCAGGCTCGCTGGCTTGGTTGGCACATGTCATCGGTTCCAAATTGCGCAGATCGATGCTCATGCTCTTGATCACTGGATGGTCTGGTCCAAACTCTATTATTTACAGACTGCTGCCATATAGCTGGAATATTGCTGAGTGCGGCATAAAACTAAACTCACACACTCACTCACTCACTCACTCATCTTATTCTTCATCTGTCTGCTGCCTGCTTCCTGACGAGGCCACTGTGTACTTCATGCTCAGTTTTAGCTTAAAGCTTTTCATCATTTGGTCATGATTATGATGACATTAGCAATTCATGTGTTTGAAGGTAATTTAACTGTTGTTTGAATGATTTGATTGAGACATGCTGAGACAACATTCTTTTTCATAGAGATTGTCCTTGGGGTACATATATGCATTTTCTGCAGCTGCAAATGTCATGTGACAGTTGTATCCTGTTTTAATAAAAATATTGTACAATAAATAAAAATCTTTTTTATCTATTATATGGCCCCCACCACATGGAGTTACCTCCCTGCTACGCATGCGCAGTCAACCAAGTAAGCACCTAGGCCCGTATCATCATTCCTTCTGCTGTCACTCAAGCGTTCACACGTGTTCCGAGTTACTAAGCTGATTTACTTCTCTTGTGAACAATGTCTGAGACTTCAACAACTGTATGTATGGTCTTTATTCGTTCTTGAAAAGAAAAAGAACATTTTTATTGACTTTTGCAGTCATTGAAAAGAAAAGAACATTTTATTGACTTTTGCAGTCTGTTATTTTTCATTTATGTGACTTTGTATTAAATTTTTACGCTAGCTTTCCCGTGGTTTCGGCACATGTTGCTATTCCATGGCAGGAAGTTTAGTGTGCCACGTGGTTGAAATATTGCGTTATTAACCAAGTATTTCATGTCGTGTGGTCGCATTCACGTAATTTTCAATGTAATGTGCGTGTATATTTATGCTGCTGTGTTCGCCGTTAGCTACATGCTTTGACGTCGGACGTGTTTGCTTTCAGGCGTTTACTGGGTGTACTGTCTGCGGGCAGAGTATCCCAAGAGCTGATAGGCATGACAAATGCTTGTGCTGTTTAGAGAAAGCGGGGCATAACCCTGAAATCTGTGAACTGTCTGGCCTTTTCACCCGGGCCCAGAAGAGGCGGGCTGAAATACAGAGTCCACCATCAGAAGAGCATTTCTTTTTTTATAAGGAATTGCAAGAGGTGGGAGGGGAACTGACCCAGGAGGTCCCCCCGTCCAAAGCCAAAAAGGCTAAACAAGCTAAACCTAAGTCTTCGCATAAGTCGCATTCCCAATCTCAGTCCCAATCTAGTGGTTTTGATATGTCAATAATCACTCAATTGTTTCAGCAGCACATGGACTCCGTGAAGTCCCTTGTTCATGAGTCCGTTGGAGGTCTCTGCTAGGAGTTCCTCGCCCACTCTGAACAGGGGACCGAGAGTCCGGGGAAGGGATCGCCGAGCCCGGCTAGATCCCTTAGCCTGGAGGCGACTGTTGATCCTTTGCCTTTGGCTTCAGGTCCAGACACCTTGGCTACCCCGGAGGGAGATGGTTCGCTCCCAGTCCCCCTCTCGGTGCTGGCGCAGGGTCCGTTGAGGATTCCTGGGGTTCCGGTCCCTGCGCCACCCTGCCCCATGAGAGCGGAGGAGCCGGTTCTGCCCGGTCTTCCTCCAGTGTCTCGGACCGGTGTTCGAGTGTTGTGTCGGTTGCCGGAGTGGGGAGTTCCTTCAGCTCTTCCCTTCCCGCGGCGTCTGTGGCTCGGCCTCCCACCGGGTCGGGGTTCGGCTCATCTTCACGAGGAGACCCGAATTCTGATCAGGCTCGGGTGCCGAGTCTATGGACGTTGGGGAAGTCGAGGAGTCGGAGGGTACTTTCCATTTCTCGTCGGCTCTCCTGGAGGTTACGCAACATATTGCCGAGTATATACCCCAAGCCGTGGTGTCCACATGTCGCTCGGACTCAACTGAGTTCCGCCTGCCCGGCCAGGCGTTTGCCCGTAGGCAACCCTCGCAGACACAGCTCCGTATCTTGCCTTCCCTGGTGCAGGACGTGATGGATACCCCCCTGGTTGGGTCACGCCTTCGGTTCGTTTTACCCGAACTCGTTAAGAGGTACCAGCTGGGAGATGATTCTCTGTTCTTTGTGCCGGTGGTTGACGAGTGCATGTTCACTTCAGTCGCCCTCGATGGAGGCTCAGCTTCCTCAGGTGAAGCCCTGGCTGCTAAGCAAGGGCGGTTAGTTCCACTGTTTGCCCTAGGCGGGCGCCCCCCTGCAACAAGCATACCAGACTTACGAGGAAGTCTACCGGAATGCCATGCAGCAGGTGCGGGTGGTGGTCCACGAGGCCTACCTTTCCTCTATCCAAAGGTCGGCTCTGGAGGCGGAAGGGAGCACTGGTGACGTTCCCCGCATGTTGTTCTGCTTCGCTAATTATCTGAAGTGCAGGCCCACCTGACGCGAGTCTCCTTGCGGTCTGCTGCATCTACGGTGATGTGCGCAGTCATGGGGATGCGCAAGCTGTGGCTGTCTACATCCCGTTATTCGGCAGTGACACAGCAGACCTTGCTGGCCCTTCCGTTTCGGCTGGGACCGACGGTTTTTCTGGGGGCACAGCAGGTCATTCAGGAGGCTGCTGCAGCAGCTACCTCCTTCAAGGACTCTAAGGCCTTGTTGGAGCAACTGCGGGCTTCTTGCTCCTTCCTCCGAGGCGCAGCCTACGCCCGAGTCTGCCGGCTGCCGGCCGCTGGGCAGAGGTAGGAGGAGGAGCCGTCCTGCCAAAGGTAAGGGCAAGGAGCAGTCCTCTTCGTCTGGCTCCCAGCAGCCTTTTCGCGGTCGCGGGGGATCTGCCCTGACCTCCCGTTAAACCTGCAGGCTGTCGCCGTGGGTCCGTCTCAGTCAGTTCATCTGCAGGGGACCACTCACGCCCTCTTACCACACGTCCCAGTGGGGGGCTGCCTCTCTCTATTCCTGCCGGAGTGGGAGAAGGCTACCAGCAACTCTGGAGAGTAGACGCTCTCTCTCGCCAGATCCTGGCCCCGCATGAGTGGATGCTTGACCGTCAGATATTCGGAGTTATCTCCCAGTTGCACGGATCGTTCCAGGTGGATCTGTTTGCGTCCGACGGGACGAATCAGATACCCGTGTTCTGCTCTCGAATACCGGACCAGAGGGCATTGGCATCCGACGCCTTCCTGCTGGATGATTGGACGGGCAAGGTGCTGTTGGCGTTCCCGCCTCTAACAGGGTCCACCCAGCCAGCTCGGCTTCTTGTGCTACTGGCACCACTATGGCCGTCACAGAGCTGGTTTCCGGTAATTCTCAGGTTTCTGGCTCAGCCTCCTGTTCTATTACCTTTGCGACCAGACATTCTCACTCAGAACGGCACGCCATACCCCAATCCAAGGATTCAGTGGGTGGCTTGGCGTCTGTCAGGTCTAGCCTCGAAGCCCTCGGAATTCCTGCAGCAGTTGCAGACACAATTCTGGCTTCGAGGCTGGATTCCGACAAACGTTCAATATGAGGATAGTTGGTCCCGCTATGCGCGCTGGTGTTCAGATAGGGGATTGCAGATCTCTTTTCTGCAGATTTAGTCCCAGTATTGGAGTTTCTGCAAGCTCGTTTGGAAGAAGGTTTGGCGGTTTCGACCATTCATGGCTACTCCACCGCTATTTCCACTTTCCACACCCCTGTCGATGGTGCTCTTCTGGGACAGCACCCTCTTATGCAGTGCTGTTTAGCTGGCATGGATCGGGTTCAACCTGTTGTCACGCGAACCAGCCCACCTTGGGATTTGTCAATCGTGCTAGATTGGCTGTCCGGTCCTACGTTCTCACGTCTATCGGCTATTTCCATTCAGCTGTTAACATGGAAGGCCGTAATTCTGGTGGCGGTAACATCTGGGCGAAGGGTCGGCGACTTACATGCTATGTCTGCAGACCCAACGCTGACTGTGTTCCATCCAGATCTTGTCAGTATTAGCCTCCCGAATACTTACCATCCGAAGATCGATCACGCTTTCCATGTGACAGCTCCTATCGAACTTCCTACTCTTACCAAGCCTTCAAAATCGGGGACCTCTGCAACGAGCACTCACCCGTTGGATGTCCGTAAGACCCTCAAGGTCTATATCAAACGAACACAAGGGATCTGTACGGGTACCCATCTGTTCTGCTGTTACGGTGGCGGGAAGGCTGCATGCCAGCTAGCAAACAGACCCTATCACGCTGGCTTGTATCGGTCATTTGTGCTGCTTATCAGGCTAAGGGCATAGCTCCCCCTGAGGGGTTAAAGGCTCACTCAGTCAGGGCAGTGGCCACGTCAAAGGCTTTTGCATCAGCACTGCCCATTGAAGAGATATGCTCTGCCGCTATTTGGAGCAGGCCTAGCACTTTTATAAGGCACTATCAGCTCGATACACATTCATGTGATCGTGCGCGTTTTGGCCGTTCTGTTCTCTCCAGTGGACAGTGTCCTGCCACCCTGACCGAGTGAGTCTTGGTTATCTGGACAGTTGACACTGCTTTCAATTGTGTATCATTGATATATCCTCTGTAATCATATTTAACTCCTTTCGATTATCTCAGGAGATTATGGTGGGTTGTGAGTTAGGTTTCCCCCTTACGGTGCTCTTTAATAGATTCAGGATGTGGGCGGGTTTTTTTACTTTCGCACTGTGTGCGGATTGCTTTGCTTAACCTATGAGGTTGGATCTTAGTACTTTCCTCCCTGTCAGTTACCCTCCCATCATGCCTCTCGCGGAAGCTTCGGGACGTGACAGGTGAGTGTTGTTGTGGTGTCTGTTACATTCTTCCTAACGATCGCTATTTATGTGTACTTTGACAGAATCCCTCCTCCCTGGCCTCTGGTCTTGGGAGTCGGAGTTAATGCATATATGTTATCCAAGGACGATCTCTATGAAAAAGAATTAGCTAAACCTGTAGAGGTTTCCAATTCTTTGAAGAGAATCGTCCTTGGAGTAGGGCCACCCACCTCCCCACAATTCTGTTCACTGATTTATTCAGCAGAAGGAATGCTGATGCGGGCCTAGATGCTTACCTATAGTTTGGCATGAAATGCATGTGGACCCGGTTTTTTGTAAATATCTCTTCATCCAATGACCCAATCGATCTCAAACTGTGCAAGTGGATGTTTTGTCAGACAACCTAATCACATTGTAAATCACCGATTTTATGCATTTGTATTAAGGAATCTGTCTATGTAACTGTCAACAAAATAAACAGCAGAACGCAGAATGCTTGCAGAGGGAGGGAGCCAATGACCTGTAACAGCGGCAGTGTTGGGTCATAAAGGTCAATGCACCTGCAGTTCATGATAGTTACCTGTGCACTGCACAGTGATAGACAGTTTGGATCATTCACATTGACTACTTCTAGCTGTCACCATGAAAGCTTATTCAGATGATGCTAATTAGAAATGTGTTGAATTTTTTTTATAAAGAGAGCAAACGTAGCCAACCGATTTATAAGGTGTCGGATTACATGAAACGTACAACTTTTGCTCTTGGCATGAAAAAGAACATCGTGCTAAAAAATTGTGAAAAATAAACCAACAACCAATAAACAAAACCTTGTACTAAAGGTAGGCATCCAAAGTTAGATTCTTTTGACATCAGGGTCAGCAGAGATGTCATTCGCCTGCTATTTGCTAGAAATGAACACCTCTTCATACCTGTCACGTGCATAGCTGACCTACATTGACGAATGTTGACCTTTATGACCCAACACTGCCGTTACAGGTCATTGGCTCCCTCCCTCTGCAAGCATTCTGCGTTCTGCTGTTTATTTTGTTGACAGTTACATAGACAGATTCTTTAATACAAATGCATAAAATCGGTGATTTACAATGCGATTAGGTTGTCTGACAAAACATCCACTTGCACAGTTTGAGATCGATTGGGTCATTGGATGAAGAGATATTTACAAAAAACCGGGTCCACATGCATTTCATGCCAAACTATAGTTGGCTGCGCATGCGTAGCAGGGAGGTAACTCCATGTGGTGGGGGCCGTATAATAGATAAAAAAGATTTTTTATTTATTGTACATTATATTTATTAAAACATTGATTCAACTCTCACATGACATTTTCAGCAGCAGAAAATGCATATATGTACCCCAAGGACGATTCTCTTCAAAGAATTGGAAACCTCTACAGGTTTAGTTAAGTTTTATCTAAGGTAGCAGTTGTTGATGAAATTAAGCAGAATCCAGACATCACTGTGATAGACTAATAAGTCATACTAATTTTTACCATGGCAACTAGTAATTCTTCAGACATATCCTTTCACAGCCAATTGACTATAAACAGTTGTGAAGAAATGACAAAGGATTTGTAGTAGACATATGCACATATATCTTGTTCCTTGTAGGACCCTGTCTGATGTTGACAATGATGGTAAGCTGACCAGTGATGAGTTCTGTATTGCCATGCATCTGTTGGAGATGGTGAGGGGTGGACGCCCACTTCCTTCCAAGCTCCCAGCTGAGCTGTACCCAACTGGAGGCAAGGGGCAGCCAGGGGCAGTCCCACCTGGGGCACCAGGTGGAGTTGTACCTGCTCCAGGTGAGTGAAACAATGACAAGATGTCAATAATCATCCATGTTCATTAGAGATAGTAATGTGTTGTAATTCCAGGTCCAAACCAGTCTCTCCTCTTTATATCCTATATTATGATATAGTCGACGCCTTGTCCGTCCGTCCATAATCATTTTGTTTCTGGAGAATAACTAAAAAAACGTTCAATATTTTTCAACAAAAAATTGGTATATATACATCAAACAGAACCTAAAGTGGTGCCTTTTGCTATTTACAGATTTTTGTCATTTTTGTTTTTCTCGGTTTCAATGGAAACGATTCGGACTTAGTCTCAAAAGGGAGTGGTGGGCTTCATTTCCTGAGCACAACTCGAAAACCGTTCAATGTCTTTCAACAAAATTTGGCAGATATATCAAACAGAACCTACAGTGGTGCCTTTTGCTATTAACAGATTTTTGTCATTTTTTTTTATATTATTTGCTTGGTTTCCTTGGAAATGTTTTGGACTTAGTCTCAAAAGCAAGGGATGGCTTCGTTTCCAGAGCACAACTAAAAAAACCGTTCAATGTCTTTCTTCAAGACTTGGCAGATATAGTAAACAGATCTTGAAGTGGTGCCTTTTGCTATTTGCAGAGTTTGGGCATTTATGCTTTTCCTGATTTCCATGAAAATGATTTGGACTTAGTCCAAAGAATCAGGTTGGACTTTAAGTAACTGTCAGATGTTTTTGTTCTTTCAAATTTGTTGGGGGCCGGGGGATTTGTCATCTTCTGATGACTCTTGCTTGTGAAAGTTCATGTAATACTGATTAAGTGTCATTGCACCCGTCGTGGCAGAGCACCTTGATCATGCTCTCTTAAACTGGTTGCTTGGCCCAAATTCATTATTTACAAGTTGCTGTGATATAGCCAGAATACTATGCTTTAAATGAAGATAAACCCATATAAATGATGTTCGTTGATCTTATTTGAACATTTGCTTCAGAAAATGTAATTGTTCACTGTTTATGTTTAGAAATTCCACCTTTTCTTAACCCTGACACACGTTTTTTTATATACAAGCAATTGTTGTCAGGTGATACATGATGACCTGCCCTTGTAGTTGTAGCAACCCAGAAGGACATGTTTGGTGACTTGTTGAGTAGTACAGGGATGAGCATGCCACCCCCACAACCAATAGCACCAGTCCAGCCGGCAGCCAATGGAGATGCACAGCAGCAGGATGACTTTACTTCACCTGGTGAGGACTCACATGTAGATAATCATGAGGCTATAGGTAAACATTGTCATTATTTCTACAGTTATCACGGGAGATGATGTCACAAATGTGATTGTATACACCAGGGTAATATTTTACAAATACTTGTCAGAGTTTATCATTGATGTATTTTTATGCCAGTTCCTATTATATGTTACTAAAGAAATATTAATGACTACCCAGTTCTTTCATAGTACTTTACTTAGTTTGTCATGCCACTTCATTTCATAAGTTGCATTATGATATATCATCTGTGCTGTTCGAGTAATCACTGTTTAAAACTACACTGATGGCACATGGTTTATTGACTTTGGGTCCCACCGTTCTTAATCAGGTGTCCATGATTTTTGTTACAGTGACGTTTGAAGACAAACGAAAGATGAACTTTGATAAGGGTCAGGCAGAGCTGGAGAAGAGGCGTGCAATGTTGCAGGAACAGCTGAAGAGGGAAGAAGAAGCCAGACTGGAGAAGGAGAGACAAGAACACGAGAAGAGGGAACGTATCAGGTACAGCACCACCAGACATCTGGCCTTAATGTCACAATACTGTACATACTTAAGTATTTCAAATAGAATTTAGGTTTATATAAAAGCAAGTTTGAGGGCACAGATTGTCCTTGCTAGGAACTGTAGATCTTGGATTTTAGTCCCAGATTGGTCCAAGTTATGATCCTTGGACTGTCAACGATATTCCCACGCTCCACTCTGTTGTTAACTTGTTCTACTGGCACCACTTTGTGCATTCATATCAGACCTAATCTAATAATAACTATAGCTGGCAAGGGCCCTGAATAATTCCTCTTACAATGCACCAAGTTCACTTAGTGAATGCTCACGACAGAAACATTATGCTTACCCTGGTCAATTGATCAGTGTGTAATCTCAACTAACTATGAAGTACAGCTTGTTCAGCTTGACCTGATCAAGTGAATACTAATGCTTTCCGTGACAGTGTCAAAACTGGTTGGGTCTATTATTGTGAACGGGTGCATCTCTGTCAGTTGATTGTCAACATGTCCGAACAGCCGAGACAAAGTCGCCGTTTAACATTCTCTGCTCCCCTATTTAATGAGGTTAACTCGACCTGCCGTTTGTGCCATTTGACCTCCTGGGTCATGCATATGTAGAGTAGATCAGGTCAAGCTGAACAAGCTGTATACAATACTAAGCCCCATCAGACCAAACTGACAGGATCATTAATGAAAAAGATTAGTGATATGAAAAAAAATTTTCCAGACCATTATTTTAACATTCATTCTGGGTCTGATGTTGTAGACAAGAGCAGGAACGCAAACGGCAACATGAGTTGGAACGCCAGATGGAGAAGCAGAGGCAGATGGAGAGAGAGCGAGAGGAACAGAGACAGAAGATGATGGAACAGAGAGAGGTTTGTCTCTCTTAATAAGCCTAGCTTGTGTTATTACTGTATCTTTTGAAGTACAGACATTCTTGAAAATATAGCAGAATTTATTGATATTTGCTTTGCATGTGTAAATGCTCTTTTTAGCACTTAAGTTGCATGCATTGTTTGGAGAAGTTTACTTTGATAGACAGTTATTGATTCAAACATGCAAGGGATTGAATCAAATACGGTGTGTCAAGCATCATGGTGAATACTACAGTAAACTGGAATGATACTGGTAGATCTACTGTCCTTCATGCAACAGGTGCTACTAATGGTTTCACTTTGTGATTTGCGAAAGTTTGAATGGAGAGGTTTAAAGGTGGAAGTATCCAAACTTATTTTGTATTCATTTTGCTAGTCAAAAGGCTGTTGAACTGAGTAAACGAACCAATAGAGATGTGCCTGTCATTGTGCCTGGGTGAGGAGAAAAGTCTGTTGTGTTTGTGTATCAGGCTGCGCGGCGTGAGCTGGAGCGACAGCGGCAGATGGAATGGGAGCGACAACGGAAGGAGCAGTTGTTGGCGGAGAAGGCACGAGAGAATGAGCATCTTGCCACGCTGAAGGCCCAAGGCAGCAACCTCAAGTGTGAGCTGGAGTCACTGGTAGGAACTCATTAGTGATAACCACTAGATCATTATGCAGCCACACTGGTACCCATTCAGTTTGTGTACTCCCATTCTTCATAATTTGTTACTTATGTAAATAGGAATTTGGGATATTGTATTCCATTAGATTTAGTAGACAGGGGCATAAGAACTGAATGAGTCTTATTTAATATTTGTCAAAGTTACATACTGTTTAAAACATAGGTTGGTAATTAACTATTGACATAAATATACAATTGAATGTGCACAAAAATGTAATAGGTGTCATTAGGCTTTTAGGTAATTACCTCCAACTGTGATCAAAGTCAGAGTGTTGCAGTAGTTGGAACAGTCATTTGTTGTTCTCTTTCAGGATGGCAAGAAAACAGAGATTGGTCAGAAAATTACTCAAGTTCGGAGTGGTGTTACAGACTTTACTTCCAGTATAGAAAATATGAGAACATCAAGAGATCAAACACTAGCAGATATTGACAGATACCAAAAAGAAGTACAGGTATGGTATGTCAAGAACTGAACTTTTCCTGATTTAAATGGGGACAAGGCTCGATTATCTCCATTTTCAGTCAAGGTCTAAAATTGTAATTAGTGGCTTGTGTCATATCTGACACCTTATCTGTCATTAAAATTTGATGTTTAGACCAATCAAGTATGTTTATTGATGCATATTTGTTGTTGTGAGTTGTTGTTTGCATTGTCTCTATTTGTTTAAGTAACAGGAGGAATTAAAAAGGACACACAGCAGATTTCCAGTTTCTGTTTCACATTTTGATAATGTAACAGTGCTTCCTGTTTCCGTGCTACTTTCCTCCACTCACTTAATAGGCTTCAGTAACAAACAATTCGGCATGACTTGTAGTAAATCGAATCTGCTATGGTTGACATGTGTGTGAAAGAGAGTCGTTTATTGATTGTTGCAGGACCTTGGGCAAATGCTGTCGCGACTTCAGCAAGAGAGAGAACAGTTCACAATTCAAGTACAAACTATACAAAGCACACCAATGTGTAAGTATTGAAGAGGTCATATGTGACATTTAGTTCATAAAAGTCTCCTAAATGCTGTGAGACAAATGCTGATGGATTAAGACCAAACTAATTCTTTTTCACAGAGATCGTCCTTGGGGTACATATATGCATTTTCTGCGGCTGAAAATGACATGTGACAGTTGTATCAAGGTTTTAATCAAAATATTGTACAATAAATAAAAATCTTTTTTATTTATTATACCGCCCCCACCACGTGGAGTTACCACCCTGCGACGCATGCACCCAACCAGGTAAGCACCCAGGCCCGTATCATCATTCCTTCTGCTGTCACTCTAGCGTTCAGACATGTTTGATACAGTTCCAAGCTGATTAACTTCTTTACAAGAAGAATGTCTGAGACTTCAACTTCTGTATGTATGGTCTTTATTTGTTCTTGAGAAACATTTTATTGACTTTGCAGTCAGTTATTTCTCATTTATGTGACTTTGTATTACATTTTACGCTAGCTTTCCCTTGGTTTACACACGTATTGCTATTCCATGGCGGGAAGTTAAGCGTGCCAGGTGGTTGAAATATTGTGTTATTAACCAAGTATTTCATGTCGTGTTGTCGCATTCACGTGATTTTCAATGTTTTGTACGTGTATCTTTATGCTGTTGTGTTGCGCCGTTAGCTACATGCTTGTGTGTTTGCTTTCAGGCGTTTATGGCGTGTGTTGCCTGAGGGCAAAATATCCCACGCCAAGATAAGCATGATAAATGCTTATGCTGTCTGGAAAAAGCAGGGCATAACCCTGACATCTGTGAATTGTGTATGGGCTTTCCCCCCCGGGCCCAGAAGAGACGGGCGGATGACTTCCTTTTTTACAAGGAATTGCGTGAGGCGGGAGGGGACTTGACCCAGGAGGTTCCCCCGTCCAAGGCTAAAAAGGCTAAGCAAACTAAATCTAAGTCTACTTCGCATAAGTCGCACTCTCAATCTCAATCTTGCAGTGGTTTTGATATGTCCGTTATAACACAATTGTTTCAGCAGCATATGGACTCAGTGAAGTCCCATCGTTCATGAGTCGGTTGGAGGTCTCCGGCAGGAGTTCCTCGCCCACTCTGGACGGGGACCGAGACTCCAGGGTGGGATTGCCGAGCTCGGCTCGATCCCTTGGCTTGGAGGCAGCCGTCGATCCCTTGCCTTTGGCTTCGGGTCCGGGCACCTCGGCTACCCCGGAGAGTGAGGGTTCGCTCCCAGTCCCTCTCTCGGTGTTGGCTCAGGGTCTGTTGAGGATTCCTGGGGTTCTGGTCCCTGCGCCACCCCGCCCCATAGAGCGGAGGAGCCGGTTCTGTCTGTGCTTCCTCCCGTGTCTCGGGACCGGGGTTCGAGTGTCCTGTCAGTTTCCGAAGCTGAGAGTTCCTTGGGCTCTTCCCTTCCCGCGGCGTCTGTGGCTCGTCCTTCCACCTCATCACAAGGAGATCCCAATTCTGACTCGGGCTCGGGTGCCGAGTCTGTGGAGGTTTGGGAGGTCGAGGAGTCTGAGGGTGCTTTCCACTTTTCATCCCCTCTCCGGGAGGTTCGGCAATGTATTGCCCAGTGTCTTCCCCAAGCCGCAGTGCCGACATGTCGCCCGGACTTGACTGAGTTCCACCTGCCGGGTGAGGCGTTTGCTCCTCGGCAGACTTCTCAGACACAGCACCGCATCTTGCCCTCCCTGGTGCAGGACATAATGGATCCTCTCCTGTCCGGTTCTCGCTTCAGGTTTGATCTCCCTGAGCTAGTTAAGAGGTATCAGCTGGTTGATGATTCTCTCTTCCTTGTGCTGGTGGTGGACAAGTGTGTATTCACTTCGGTCGCCTTCGTGGGAGGCTCAGCTTCCTCGGGTGCAGCTCCGGCTGCCAAGCAAGGGCGGTTAGTACCACCGCTTGCCAAGTTGGGTGCCCCCTGCGGCAGGCATACCGGACGTATGAGGAAGTCTACCGGAATGCCATGCAGCAGGTGCGGGTCGTGGTCCACGAGGCGTACCTTTCCTCTGGAGGCAGTGGGGGCACTGGTGACGTTTCCACGAATGTTGTTCTACTCCGTCAACTATCTGAAGTTCAGGCCCACCTGACGCGAGACTCTTTAAGGTCTGCCGCATCCACGGTGATGTGCGCAGTCATGGGGATGCGCAAGCTATGGCTGTCTACGTCCCGTTATTCGGCAGCAACACAGCAGACTTTGCTGGCCCTTCCGTTTCGGCTGGGAGCAACGTTGTTTCCGGGGGCACAGCAGGTCATTCGGGAGGCTGCTGCAGCAGCGACCTCCTTCAAGGATTCTAAGGCCTTGTTGGAGCAACTGCGGGTTCCGCGCTCCCGTAGCGGGTTCTTCCTCTGGGGCGCAGCCTACGCCCGAGTCTGCCGGCTGGCTTAGGCCGTTGGGTAGAGGTAGGAGGAGGAGCTGTCCCACCAATGGTAAGGGCAAGGAGCAGGCCTCTTCGTCTGGCTCCCACCAGCCTTTTCGCGGTCGCGGGGGGTCTGCCCCAACCTCCCGTTAATCTTGCCAGTTCATCTGCAGGGGACTACTTGTGCACTCTTACCTCACATCCTAGTGGGAGGCCGCCTCTCTCTCTTCCTACCGTAGTGGGAGAAGGCTACACGCAAAACTTGGGTGCTGTCCACTGTCCGTGTCGGCCATTTACCTCTGTGGAAGCGAGGCCTGCCAGAGTTCACAGGCATAAGGCGCACTCCGGTACTGTCATGTCAGGTCAAGGCGGGTATACTGCGCTACAAAGTTCAGGCTTTGCTGGACAAGTATGCAATAGAGCGCATACCACCGGGCGAGGAGAAGGCGGGATTTTATTCCACGGCGTGTTCCATCCCATTCTCAACCTCAAGGGGTTGAATCGCATGTTAGAGGTTCCATCCTTCAAGATAGAGACACTTCGCTCGGTGATCTCCTCTGTTCAGCCCAGTGATTGGCTCATGTCGATCAACCTAAAGGATCCGTATCTACATGTGCCAATTCATCCCACGTTCAAGCGACGGGATGTGTTACCAATTCACGGTGCTCCCCTTCGGCATATCCACTGCCCCCAGGGTGTTCACCAAGCTCATGTTAGTGCCAGCTACCCTTGCAAGGTCGCACGGAAGGCGTTGTTACCCTTACCTAGACGACTGGTTGCTCAGGGCTGTAACTCAGCCAGCAAGCCTAGATTCTACCCACACGGTGATAGACATTCTAGTTCGACTGGTGTAGATCATCAACCTCGAGAAATCCGACCTGGTACCCACCCAGGACTTGGTTTTTCTCTGGGGCGAGGTTCACAACTCAACAGGATCTTGTCTCTTTGTCGCCCAACCGGGTCAACAGAGTACGGGAGATGGTGACTTCCTTACTCTCACAGCCCCAGGCGCCAGCGCAGACTTGGCTTCGTCTGCTGGGTCACATGGCGGCTACCGTTTCTGTCATGTGGCGGGCTCGGTCATGTGTGTGTGTGTGTCAATATCGGACGCTGGTCTGAAGCCGAAGCCAGTCTTCACATCAATGTCTTAGAACTGAGAGCTGTGCAGTTGGTTTTCAAGCGCTTCTTGGAGCATGTCTGGGGCCAGGTGGTACGTCTTCAGTTGGACAACCGAACGGCCATGACATATATCCTGAAGCAAGGCGGTACGGTGTCCCTAGCGCTCCCTCGGGAGACATGGGATTTTCTCCTCTGGTGCGACCAGTGCGACTGTCAGGTGATTCCTGTTTATCTCCCGGGGCTGGAGAATGTGCGAGCAGATCCACTCTCTCGCTGGATCCTGGCCCCGCACGTAGTGGATGCTCGATCGGCAGATATTCGGAGTTATCTCCCAGTTGTTCCAGGTGGATTTGTTTGCGTCCGGTGGAACGAATCAGATACCCGTTTTCTGCTCTCGAATACCGGACCAGAGGGCGTTGGCTTCCGACGCCTTCCTGCTGTATTGGATGTTTCCGCCACTACCTCTCATTCCCAAGGTCCTCTCCTAGCAGTCGACCCAGCCAGCCCAGGTACTTGAGCTACTGGCACTTCTTTGGTCACACAGCTGGTGTCCGGTAATTCTCGGGTTTCTGGCTCAGCCACCTGTTCTATTACCTTTGCGACCGGACATTCTCACTCAGAACGGGGCGCCACACCCCAATCCAAGGATTCAGTGGGTGGCTTGGCCTCTGTCAGATCTAGCCTCGAAGCACGCGGAATTCCTGCAGCAGTTGCAGACACAATTCTGGCTTCGAGGCGGGATTTGACAAACGTTCAATATGAGGATAGTTGGTCCCGCTATGTGCGCTGTTGTTCAGATAGGGGTATTCAGATCCCTTTTCTGCGGATTTAGTCCGAGAATTGGAGTTTCTGCAAGCTCGTTTGGAAGAAGGTTTGGCGGCTTTGACCATTCGTGGCTACTCCACCGCTATTTCCACTTTTCACACCCCTGTCAATGGTGTTCTTCTAGGCTGGCTTGGATCGAGTTCGACCTGCTGTCAGGCGTACCAGCCCACCTTGGGATTTGTCAATCTAGATTGGCTGTCCGGTCCTACTTTCTCACGTCTATTGGCTATTTCCATTCAGCTGTTAACATGGAAGGCCGTATTTCTGGTGGCGGTAACATCTGGGCGAAGGGTCGGCGACTTACATGCTATGTCGGCAGACCCGATGCTGACTGTGTTCCATCCAGATCGTGTCAGTATTCGCCTCCCGGATACTTACCGTCCCAAGATCGATCATGCTTTCCATGTGACAGCTCCTATCGAACTTCCTACTCTTACCCAGCCTTCCACATTGGGGACCTCTGCAGCAAGCACTCACCCGTTGGATGTCCGTAAGACCCTCAAGGTCTATATCAAACGAACACAAGGGATCCGTACGGGTACCCATCTGTTCTGCTGTTACGGTGGCAGGAAGGCTGGGATGCCGGCTAGCGAACAGACCCTGTTCACGCTGGCTTGTATCGGTCATTTGTGCTGCTTATCAGGTTATGGGCAAGCCTCCCCCGAGGGGTTGAAGGCTCACTCATTCAGGGCAGTGGCCACGTCAAAGGCTTTTGCATCAGCACTGCCCATTGAAGAGGTATGCTCCGCCGCTATTTGGAGCCGGCCTAGCACTTTTATCAGGCACTATCAGCTTGATACACATTCCCGTGTTGGGGCGCTTTTGGTCGTTCTGTTCTCTCCAGTGGACAGTGTCCTGCCACCCTGACCGAGTGAGTCTTGGTTATCTGGACAGATGACGCTGTTTTCAATTGTGTATAATTGATATGTCCAATGTTGACATATCTAACTACTTTATAGATTTCACGATTGTGGGCGGGGTTTTAATTTCGCACAGCATGCGAACTGTTTTGCTTAACTTGTGAGGTCGGATCTCAGTACGTTCCTCCCTGTCGGTTACCCTCCCATCATGCCTCTTGCGGAGCTTCGGGACACGTGACAGGCAAGTGTTATGGCGTAAGTTACTTTCTTCCTAACGATCGCTATTTATTTGTACTGTGCCAAATTCCCTCATCCCTGGCCTCCAGTCTCTGGGAGTCTGAGTTAATGCATATATGTACCCCAAGGACGATCTCTATGAAAAAGAATTAGATAAACCTGTAGAGGTTTCCAATTCATTGAAGAGAATCGTGCTTGGGGTAGGGCCACCCATCTCCCCGCAATTCTGTTCACTGATTTGTTCAGCAGAAGGAATGATGATACGGGCCTGGCTGCTTACCTGTTTGGCTGCGCATGCATAGAGCAGGGAGGTAACTCCATGTGGTGGGGGCCCTATAATAAATATACAAGATTTGTATTTATTGTACAATATTTTTAATATATAGTATTAGGCTCCATCCGTACGTACGAATTGGAATATCTTAAGAATCGTTGACTGTATTCTTTTCGTATTTGGTACCTAGGTTCATCACAGTAAAAGAAAGGTCCCAGTCAGGTTTGGTGACCTTGACCTTCATTTCAAGGTCACAAGGGGACTTTAACGTTTTACCCTTGTCAGCGAGAGATCTCAAGAACCGTTTACTAGATTTTCTTCATATTCAACACCAAGCTTTATTTAGGGAAGGCGCAGGGCCCAGTCGATTTTGGTTACCTTCACCTAATTTTCAAGGTCATGGCGACACTCTGAAGATTTCAGCATGTTAAGCTGCATGTTAAGCTTGTCAGCGAGATACCTCAAGAACTGTTCACTGTATTTTCTTCATATCCGATATCAAGCTTCATGGAGGGTAGGCGCAGGGCCCAGTCGATTTTGGTGACCTTCCCTTAATTTTCAAGGTCACGGTCGACACTTTAAAGATTTCAGCATGTTAACCTGCATGTAAAGATTGTCAGCGAGCTATCTCAAGAACCATTCACTGGACTTTTCATATTTGACACCAAGCTCTGGCTAGGGAAGGTGCAAGTTCCAGTCGATTTTGGTGACCTTCATATAATTTTCAAGGTCACAGCGACACTTTGAAGATTTCAGAATGTTAAACTGCATGTTAAGATTGTCAGCGAGATATCTGAAGAACAGTTCACTGGATTTTCTTCATAGACTTTCAAGACTTCCTTTGAACGTTTTTCAATAAGCAATTTCTTTATTACTATTTTTGCATATTTCATACACTAAGACATTCATGTCAAGGTCAAAGTGAGACTTGAAAATATTTGTGCGTTTGAACAACTACAGAGCAAGATATCAAGAGAGGTCATGTTTTTGTTTACATTTAACTTCATCTTAAATTACGACCTTCACTTTCATTACTTTGTAAGTTTGATTTGATAATTTGTGGCAGGGGATTATGTCACCTTAGTGACGATGCTTGTTAAAACATTGATGCAACTGTCACATGACATTTTTAGCCGCAGAAAATGCATATATGTACCCCAAGGACGATTCTCTTCAAAGAATTGGAAACCTCTTCAGGTTTAGCTAAATTTTTGCGACCAAGTATCCAGCTGACCTGGTCATGAAAGAGGCTTGAACACCCATCCACTTTTAACATGATTAAATGAAATTGAAGAAATGATTTTGGTTTATTGTCAGACTCATTAATGAGTTTCAAACATCTGTGGAGAATGTGATGAAATAGATCTGTCGTTTCATGTAAGATGCTAATGTGCCTCTGCTTGTATGGCAGCTGACACATACCGCACTAGTGATGCACAGTGTAGAGGCGAAGAAAACCAATGTGCAAAGACTTCGCAAGGAGATGGAGCGAATAGAAAGGGAGACTGAATCCAAGCTAACAGAGATAGATGCAAGCAATGCTCAATTAAAGGTAATCTTTTGTTCCATAAAGGATATGTCTCAAGTACCCAATACTTGCCTCCCTGTGGGATCCCAATAGGTTCCAAGAACCAATACTTGCAGCCCTATGATGATTCAAAGGCAGAATAGGTTCCCAGTCATGGTTCTTGATTGTCTTGTAATCAAGTCAGGTTCAAGGTACATGGTGTTTTGTCCGTGTGGTATCCCATGACAGAATAGGTGCCCAATACCCATTGTGATCTCCATGGATGACCAATGATGATGCTGACCACTGATTTGTCAGGTCCAGATCTGATTATTTACCAGTTGTGATTATACATCTGAATGTATTATGTACTGTGCTGACCTCAATGTGAAAACAACCACATAACTATAAGAATCTGAACAAAACTTACTTTTGTGAAGGATCAAAACCGATTCCGAGGTTTGTTTGAAAAAGTAAGCCCGCAACACGCTCGTTTTCCCGACGCCAAGGGCTTACTTTTTCAAACTAAACCTTAGAGTCGTTTTTGATCCAACTTATGAACCGACAGAAGATGTACTGTAGATATAGTTTTAATATTTGCCATTTACTGTTGAAATCAACTGGGATGTGACTGCATCCTATACCTTGCCTTACACCCGCAATGCACGTGCTCAGCACGCACTACTCGTTTCCTGCACATGCGCTGCCCACACTACCCGTCTTGTGAAGAACACATGGTTCAAACCGACAAACAATCTCTTTCTTGACAGCGATCCTTCGTAGCCTAGTGGATAAAACCGCCAAACTAGTAAGCGAAGGGTTGTAGGTTTGGAACCAGGCATTGGCACAATATATTGGACATTTTCAATAATGTGATATTTACAATCGTATTCAGTCATAGCAAGACAAAGTTATATCAATCTTCAAAACAAGTAAAATAATTCAAAGTCAAGGGCTGTTCCTCAGAAACTCCCCGGGCTGCGGGCAATTCTGTAGAAAATCCCCTGGATTTCTTGGAGAATGCCCGAGAAACTGCCTGTAGAGGTTCACTCGGTAAAAGGAGAACCTGGCAAGACAATAGAGAGATGCTGCTGGAGGTTTATAATATCATGTCTTAACCTGTTCTTCAGAATTCCTCTGTTGAGATAACCCGACTGCAGCAAGAGGTTCAGTCTATCCAACAACAGCAGAAACTGCGACAGTCAGAGGCCCAGAAAAAACAGCGGCAACAAGAGCAAGAAGACCAGCTCCGCCAAAAGTCAGAGAAGGAAAAACAGGATAAGCTCAAGAAAGACCTTGAGGCTCAGAGACTCAGGTTGGTTACCCTCTTGGTGGGATGGGCCCAATGTTTGACTTGAATATATTAAAAAGCATCATAAAGCTCAACTCTTTCCCTCCCTATCTCATGCCCACCTAGCCACCCCACTACTATACCCAATCACCCCACTATTCCACCCAAACACTTCACTACTCCATCCCACTACTACAGTCAACCACCCCACTACTCCATCCCACTACTACAGTCAACTACCCCACTACTCCATCCCACTACTACAGTCAACTACCCCACTACTCCATCCCACTACTACAGTCAACTACCCCACTACTCCATTCAACTACCCCGCTACTCCATCCCGCTACTCCAGTCAACTACCCCACTACTCCATCCCACTACTACTAGTCAACTACCCCACTACTCCATCCCACTACTACACTCAACTACCCCACTACTCCATCCCACTACTTCGAGTCAACTACCCCACTACTCCATCCCACTACTACAGTCAACTACCCCACTACTCCATCCTACTACTACAGTCAACTACCCCACTACTCCATCCCACTACTCAACACCCCACTACTCCATCCCACTACTACAGTCAACTACCCCACTACTCCATCCCACTACTACAGTCAACTACCCCACTACACATCCCACTACTCCATCCCACTACTCCAGTCTCCAGCTACCCCACTACTACAGTCAACCACCCCACTACTCCATCCCACTACTTCAGTCAACTACCCCACTACTCCATCCAACTACTCCAGTCAACCACCCCACTACTCCATCCAACTACTCCATCCAACTACTCCAGTCAACCACCCCACTACTTCATCCCACTACTCCAGTCAACTACCTCACTACTCCATCCCACTACTCCAGTCAACTACCCCACTACTATAGTCAACCATCCCACTACTTCAGTCAACCACCCCACTACTCCATCCCACTACTCCAGTCAACTACCCCACTACTCCATCCCACTACTACATCCCACTACTCCATCCAACTACTCCAGTCAACCACCCCACTACTCCATCCAACTACTCCAGTCAACCACCCCACCACTTCATCCCTCTACTCCATCCAGCTACTCCAGTCAACCACCCCACTACTTCATCCCACTACTCCAGTCAACTACCCCACTACTCCAGTCAACCACCCCACTACTTCATCCCCACCCCACTACTCCATCCCACTACTCCACTACCCCAACTCCACCCCACTACTCCATCCAACCACCCCAGTCATACTCCACTATTCCACTCCAACCACCCCACTATTCCCACCCAACTACACCACAACCACCCCACTACTTCATCCCACCCAACCAACCCCCACTACTCCATTCAACCACCCCACTATTCTAGTCAACCACCCCACTCCCTCACTGTATGAGTTTTGGATATGCAATTACATGTATTACAACATTATAAATCCATCCTTTGCCTTGAAATTGATGCTGTAAATGCAAAAGGTGTATTGCTGGTTTTGTTGTGTTGAGAGATTGAAACAATAGTGAAGTTACTTCATTTGCCTTTTATATTTTGCAGGGAACAGGAATCAAATAAAACTGGTAAGTGTTGCAATGTGGGTGGTTTATTTTTCGTTTCAAATTAGTAAAACATGACAGGTATCAGACAGTGTAAATCTGAATCTATTTTTAAAAATAATGTTTTTTCTCTAGCATTGACGTTTTATATATGTTATATTCATGAAATTGTTGGAGTTATTTTTACGTGATGTGAGGAAGCTATTTCACTGTTTTGTACCATGTGTTACAGCTGAAGGTTCATGGGCTGACTTTGGAAGTACTGGTGCTAACACAGCATCCGAGTCAGCATGGGGTAATGCTTTCCCAGCAACTGATTCCAAGCCATCATCACAAAGTGCTTGGGGCTCAGATCCATTTTCTAGTCAAAAGTCAGGTAAGTTGAAGGTGCACCATGCTTGCAGAAGTCTTGTTATCTCTCCAGACAGGATTGTTAAGGTTTTCTGTGCATAATCCCTGTCTTCATTTTGAATCATGTCACATGTTAATTTCAAAATTATAACTAAGGTTTAACCCAGAAATCTATACATGGAAGCATTCGATTTGAAACCAACAAACAACAAAGAAATGTTATGCAAATCTGTGGCAGAACACAACAGAGTGGAAGTACGAAATACAGTGGCTGTACAATGTTACACTAGCACAATATCATTTAGAAGCAGTGGTAATAGCAGAAAAGTCAATGATATTAATATTCACCTCACAGCAAAGTATTTATGTAATACCAGAAACGGCCATAGGCTGGATTAACAGGGTGACAGTATGACCTTCACACATGATCTGGTCTTGATGAGGTAATTGAGGTATGCACTTGCTCCCTTATATGGTCCTAAAAACCTTCTATAAATGTCCATGCTGTGCTAGATTAGTCTATGCTTTTTAGAAGATTCCCAATGACACTTCACCTCAGAACATGTGAATATAGAAACTTCCACACCACTGCTCACATCAGACACTGATACATTCATTCTGAAAATGTCATGTGACAGTTGTATCAATGTTTTAATAAAATATTGTACAACAAATAAAAAAGCCTTTTTATTTATTATACGGCCCCCACCACGTGGAGTTACCTCCCTGCTATGCATGCGCAGGCAACCAGGTAAGCACCTAAGCCTGTATCATCATTCCTTCTGCTGTCACTCTAGCGTTTGTTGCCTGTGGGCTACGGTTACCGCTTGCCGATAAGCATGACAAGTGCTTATGTTGCCTTGAAAAGGCTGGGCACACCCCTGAAGTGTGTGAACTTTGTCACGGTTTCTCCCCCCGTGCCCAGAAGAGACAGTTTCCGGGAGGTTGTCTTGTCACCTTCAGTGGTGGACCGATCTCTCCAAGGGGGTCCTGACGCCAGCTCTTACAGTTCAAACAGATGCATCCCTCACAGGCTGGGGGGTTGTTCTGGGCAGTCTGTCGGACTCTGGTCCGTAGCCGAAGCCAGCCTTCACATCAATGTCTTAGAACTGAGAGCTGTGCGGTTGGTTTTAGAGAGCTTCCGGGAGCATGTTCAGGGCCAGGTGGTTCGTCTTCAGTTGGACAAATGTACGGCCATGACGTACATCCTGAAGTAAGGCGGCACGGTGTCCCTGGCTCTCCTTTGGGAGACGTGGGAGTTTCTCCTCTGGTGCGGTGCTTCCTGTCTATCTTCCAGGGCTAGAGAATGTGCGAGCAGACACGCTTCCTCGCTAGATCTTGGCCCCCGCACAAGTTGATGCTCGATCGGCCGATATTTTGAGTTATCTCCTAGTTGTATGGGTCAATCCAGGTGGATTTGTTTGCGTCCGGTGGGACGAATTAGATACCCGTGTTCTGCGGAATACCGGACCAGAGGGCACTGGCATCCAACGCCTTCCTGCTGGATGATTGGATGGCCAAGGTGCTGTGGGCGTTCCCGCCACTACCACTCATTCCCCGGGTCCTCTCTCAGCTGTCCATCCAGCCAGCTCGGCTACTTGTGCTTCTGGCACTGCTTTGGCCGTCACAGAGCTGGTTTCTGGTAATTCTCAGGTTTCTGGCTCAGCTTCCTGTTCTATTACCCTTACGACCGGACATTCTCACTCAGAACGGCGCGCCACACCCCAATCCAAGGATTCAGTGGGTAGCTTGGCCTCAGTCAGGTCTAGCCAAGAGGAATGCTGAATTCCTGCAGCAGTTGCAGACACAATTCTGGCTTCGAGGCTGGATTCGACAAACGTTCAGTATGAGGATAGGTGGTCCCGCTATGCGCACTGGTGTTCAGATAGGGGTCTGAGTTTTGGAGTTTCTGCAGTCTCGTTTGAAAGAAGGTTTGGCGGCTTCGACCATTCGTTGCGCTACTCCACCCCTATTTCCACCTTTCACACCCCTGTCGAAGATGCACTTCTGGGGCAGCACCCTCTTATGCAGCGCTTCATAGCTGGTGTGCAACGGGTTCGACCTGCTCTCAGGCGTACCGGCCCACCTTGGGATTTGTCAATCGTGCTAGATTGGCTGTCCGGTCCTACTTTCTCACGTCTATGGGCTGTTTCCATTCAGCTGTTAACATGGAAGGCCGTTTTTCTGGTGGCGGTGACATCTGGGAGAAGGGTCAGTGATTTACATGCCATATCTGCAGACCCGCACTGACTGTGTTCCATCCAGATCGGGTCAGTATTCGCCTCCCGGATAGTTACCGTCCGAACATCGATCACGCTTTCCATGTGACAGCTCCTATCGAACTTCCTACCCTAACCCAGCCTTCCACATCGGGACCTCTGCAATGAGCACTCACCCGTTGGACGTCCGTAAGACCCTCAAGGTCTATATCAAATGAACACATGGTACTCATCTGTCCTGCTGTTATGGTGGCGGGAAGACTGGGGCTCCTGCCAGCAAACAGACACTTTCTCGCTGGCTTGTGTCGGTCATTTGTGCTGCTTATCAGGCTAAGGGCAAGCCTCCCCCTGAGGGGTTGAAGGCTCACTCGGTCAGGGCAGTCGCCACTTCAAAAGCTTTTGCAGCGGCACTGCCCATCGAAGAGATTTGCTCTGCTGCTATTTGGAGCCGGCCTAGCACTTTTATCAGGCACTATCAGCTTGATACACTTTCCCGTGATCGAGCATGCTTTGGCCGTTCTGTTCTCTCCGGTGGACAGTGTCCTGCCACCCTGACCGAGTGAGTCTTGGTTATTTGGTTTTTGGACGCTGTGTTCAATTGTTGTTTAATTGATATATCCGCTGTTGATTCTTGCCAACTTTCAATTGCTCGGTTGAGATATTCGGTTGTGAGTTGTGGTTTTCCCCTTACAGTGCTCTCTGTACAGTTTTCACCCAGTTTACACACTATATGATGTGTTGTCATGCTTAACATGTTGAGATTGATCCTCAGTACATTTTCTCCCTGTCGGGTCACCTCCCATAATGCCTCTCACGGAAGCTTCGGGAACATGTGACAGGTGAGTGTTATGGCATGAGTAACTTTTTTGTAATTACGAGATCGCTATTTATTTGTACTGTGACAGAATTCCCTCCTCCCTGGTCTCCCATCTTTGGGAGTCTGTGTTAATGCATATATGTACCCCAAGGACGATCTCTATGAAAAAGAATTAGATAAACCTGTAGAGGTTTCCAATTCTTTGAAGAGATCGTCTTTGGGGTAGGGCGCCCACCTCCCTGCAATTCTGTTCACTGATTTGTTCAGCAGAAGGAATGATGATACTGGCTTAGGTTCTTACCTGTTTGGCTGCGCATGCGTAGAGCAGGGAGCTAACTCCACGTGGTGGGGGCCGTATAATAAATAAAAAGGTTTTTTATTTATTGTACAATATTTTATTATAACATTGATACAACTGTCACATGACATTTTCAGCCACAGAAAATGCATATATGTACCCCAAGGGCGATTCTCTTCAAAGAAATGGAAACTGCTACAGGTTTATCTAAATTTATTTTCCATCTTGTTCATATGTTATGTCATTAAATTTGATTTTGAAGCTGATGAGATGTCTTTAATTTCAGGCGGAAAGAAAAGATACAGAAGTTTATTTGCGTTTGAGGCAAGGAGTGTTGATGAACTATCACTTAACATCGGAGATTTTGTGATAGTAAGTATTTTTCTGCATCAGCAACACAGATATGTGCTTAATGATTCTGACTTTAAACTATAAATACCTTCTTATGTGGCTGAGTGAGTTCCTAGTAACGCAGGCGTTGAGTAGCCCAGTGGTTAAAGTGTTTGCTCGTCACGAAGACCCGGGTTTGATTCCCCACATGGGTACAATGTGTGAAACCCATTTCTGGTGTCCCCCGCCGTGATATTGCTGGAATATTGCTAAAAGCAGCGTAAAACCATACTCACTAACTCACTCATTCCAAGTAACGCAGTGTGGTTGAGTGCGTTCCCAGTAGAGAGAGTGATTCAGTTCACCCCACTGCCCCATGTGTGAGACAAACATTTCACCCCAGTACCCCATGTATGAGGCTGACAATTCACCCACAATACCCCATTTGGGATGCAGACAGTTCACCCCAGTACCCCATATATGAGGCAGTCAGTTCACCCCCAGTACCTCATGTATGAGGCAGAAAGTTCACCCCCAGTACCCCATGTATGAGGCAGAAAGTTCACCCCCAGTACCCCATGTGTGAGGCAGACAGTTCACCCCAGTACCCCATGTATGAGGCAGACAGTTCACCCCCAGTACCCCATGTATGAGGCAGACAGTTCACCCCCAGTACCCCATGTGTGAGGCAGACAGTCCACCCCTTGTACTCCATGTATGAGACAGACAGTTCACGCCCTGTACCCCATGTGTGGCAGACAGTTGACCCCCAGTACCCTATGTATGAGGCAGTCAGTTCACCCCCAGTACCCCATGTGTGATGCAGACAGTTCGCCCCCAGTACCCCATGTATGAAACAGACAGTTCGCCCCCAGTACCCCATGTATGAGACAGACAGTTCACCCCCCAGTACCCCCAGTACCCCATGTATGAGACAGACAGTTCACCCCAGTACCCCCCATGTATGAGGCAGACAGTTCACCCCAGTACCCCATGTATGAGGCAGTCAGTTCACCCCCCAGTACCCCATGTATGAAACAGACAGTTCACTCCAGACAGACAGTTCACCCCCAGTACCCCATGTATGAGGCAGACAGTTCACCCCCAGTACCCCATGTATGAGACAGACAGTTCACCCCAGTACCCCATGTATGAGACAGACAGTTCACCCCCAGTACCCCATGTATGAGACAGACAGTTCACCCCAGTACCCCATGTATGAGACAGACAGTTCACCCCCAGTACCCCATGTATGAGGCAGACAGTTCACCCCCAGTACCCCATGTATGAGGCAGACAGTTCACCCCCAGTACCCCATGTATGAGGCAGACAGTTCACCCCCTGTACCCCATGTATGAGACAGACAGTTCAGTTCACCCCAGTACCCCCCATGTATGAGAACAGACAGTTCACCCCCAGTACCCCATGTATGAGACAGACAGTTCACCCCCCCTCCCCATGTACCCCATGTACCCCCATGTATGAGACAGACAGTTCACCCCAGTACCCCATGTATGAGACAGACAGTTCACCCCAGTACCCCATGTATGAGACAGACAGTTCACCCCAGTACCCCATGTATGAGACACAGACAGTTCACCCCAGTACCCCATGTATGAGACAGACAGTTCACCCCCAGTACCCCATGTATGAGACAGACAGTTCACCCCAGTACCCCATGTATGAGGACAGACAGTTCAGTTCCCCAGTACCCCATGTATGAAACAGACAGTTCACCCCAGTACCCCATGTATGAGACAGACAGTTCACCCCCAGTACCCCATGTATGAGGCAGACAGTTCACCCCCAGTACCCCATGTATGAGACAGACAGTTCACCCCCAGTACCCCATGTATGAAACAGACAGTTCACCCCCAAGTACCCCATGTATGAGACAGACAGTTCACCCCCAGTACCCCATGTATGAGACAGACAGTTCACCCCAGTACCCCATGTATGAGACAGACAGTTCACCCCAGTACCCCATGTATGAGACAGACAGTTCACCCCAGTACCCCATGTATGAGACAGACAGTTCACCCCCAGTACCCCATGTATGAGACAGACAGTTCACCCCAGTACCCCATGTATGAGACAGACAGTTCACCCCAGTACCCCATGTATGAGACAGACAGTTCACCCCAGTACCCCATGTATGAGACAGACAGTTCACCCCAGTACCCCATGTATGAGACAGACAGTTCACCCAGTACCCCATGTATGAGAACAGACAGTTCACCCCAGTACCCCCATGTATGAGACAGACAGTTCACCCCCTTAGTACCCCATGTATGAGACAGACAGTTCACCCCAGTACCCCATGTATGAGACAGTTCACCCCAGTACCCCATGTATGAGACAGACAGTTCACCCCAGTACCCCATGTATGGACAGTTCACCCCCCCAGTACCCCATGTATGAGACAGACAGTTCACCCCAGTACCCCATGTATGAGGCAGACAGTTCAGTTCAGTACCCCATGTATGAGACAGACAGTTCCCCCCATGTACCCCATGTATGAGACAGACAGTTCACCCCCAGTACCCCATGTATGAGACAGACAGTTCACCCCAGTACCCCATGTATGAGACAGACAGTTCACCCCAGTACCCCATGTATGAAACAGACAGTTCACCCCAGTACCCCATGTATGAGACAGACAGTTCACCCCAGTACCCCATGTATGAGACAGACAGTTCACCCCAGTACCCCATGTATGAGGCAGACAGTTCACCCCCAGTACCCCATGTATGAGACAGACAGACAGTTCAGACAGTTTCCCTCAGTACCCCATGTATGAGACAGACAGTTCAGACCCCATGTTCAGTTCCCCCCAAGTACCCCATGTATGAGACAGACAGTTCACCCCCAGTACCCCATGTATGAGACAGACAGTTCACCCCAGTACCCCATGTATGAGACAGACAGTTCACCCCAGTACCCCATGTATGAGACAGACAGTTCACCCCAGTACCCCATGTATGAGACAGACAGTTCACCCCAGTACCCCATGTATGAGACAGACAGTTCACCCAGTACCCCATGTATGAGACAGACAGACAGTTCACCCCAGTACCCCATGTATGAGACAGACAGTTCACCCCAGTACCCCATGTATGAGACAGACAGTTCACCCCCAGTACCCCATGTATGAGACAGACAGTTCACCCCAGTACCCCATGTATGAGACAGACAGTTCACCCCAGTACCCCATGTATGAGACAGACAGTTCACCCCAGTACCCCATGTATGAGACAGACAGTTCACCCCCAGTACCCCATGTATGAGACAGACAGTTCACCCCAGTACCCCATGTATGAGACAGACAGTTCACCCCAGTACCCCATGTATGAGGCAGTCAGTTCACCCCAGTACCCCATGTATGAGACAGACAGTTCACCCCACAGTATGAGGCAGGACAGTTCACACCCCATGTATGAGGCAGTATGAAACAGACAGTTCACACCCCAGTACCCCCATGTATGAGACAGACAGTTCACCCCAGTACCCCATGTATGAGACAGACAGTTCACCCCCAGTACCCCATGTATGAGTAGACAGTTCACCCTAGTACCCCATGTATGACCCCATGCAGAGACAGTTCACCCCAGTACCCCATGTATGAGACAGACAGTTCACCCCAGTACCCCATATGAGGCAGACAGTTCACCCCAGTACCCCATGTATGAGACAGACAGTTCACCCCAGTACCCCATGTATGAGACAGACAGTTCACCCCAGTACCCCATGTATGAGACAGACAGTTCACCCCAGTACCCCATGTATGAGGCAGACAGTTCACCCCAGTACCCCATGTATGAGGCAGACAGTTCACCCCCAGTACCCCATGTATGAGACAGACAGTTCACCCCAGTACCCCATGTATGAGGCAGACAGTTCACCCCAGTACCCCATGTATGAGACAGACAGTTCACCCCCAGTACCCCATGTATGAGACAGACAGTTCACCCCAGTACCCCATGTATGAGACAGACAGTTCACCCCCAGTACCCCATGTATGAGACAGACAGTTCACCCCCCAGTACCCCATGTATGGGAACAGACAGTGAGTACAGACAGTTGTATGAGACAGACAGTTCACCCCAGTACCCCATGTATGAGACAGACAGTTCACTCCCAGTACCCCATGTGTGAAACAGACAGTTCACCCCAGTACCCCATGTATGAGACAGTCAGTTCACCCCAGTACCCCATGTATGAGGCAGTCAGTTCACCCCCAGTACCCCATGTATGAGACAGACAGTTCACCCCCAGTACCCCATGTATGAGGCAGACAGTTCACCCCCAGTACCCCATGTATGAGGCAGACAGTTCACCCCAGTACCCCATGTATGAGACAGTCAGTTCACTCCCCAGTACCCCATCCTCCCATCAGTATGGGACAGGTACACCCCATGTGAAACAGACAGTTCACCCCAGTACCCCATGTATGAGACGGTCAGTTCGCCCCCAGTACCCCATGTGTAATGCAGACAGTTCACCCCCTGTACCCCATGTGTGAAACAGACAGTTCACCCCAATACCCCATGTATGAGACAGTTCACCAGTTCACCCCAGTTCACCCAGTACCCCATGTTATGAGGACAGACAGTTCACCCCCATTTGTACCCCATGTATGAGACAGTCAGTTCACTCCCAGTACCCCATGTGTGAAACAGACAGTTCACCCCAGTACCCCATGTATGAGACGGTCAGTTCGCCCCCAGTACCCCATTTATGAGACAGACAGTTCACCCCCAGTACCCCATGTATGAGACAGACAGTTCACCCCAGTACCCCATGTATGAGGCAGACTGTTCACGCCAGTACCCCATGTATGAGGCAGTTAGTTTACTCCCAGTACCTCATGTGTGAAACAGACAGTTCACCCCCAGTACCCCATGTATGAGACAGACAGTTCACCCCCAGTACCCCATTTTTGAGACAGACAGTTCACCCCAGTACCCCATGTATGAGGCAGACTGTTCACCCGCTGTACCCCATGTATGAGAGAGACAGTTCACCCCCAGTACCCCATTTATGAGACAGACAGTTCACCCCAGTACCCCATGTATGAGGCAGTCAGTTCACCCCCTGTACCCCATGTATGAGAAAGACAGTTCACCCTCTGTACCCCCTGTGTGGCAGACAGTTCACCCCCAGTACCCTATGTGTGAGACAGACAGTTCGGCACACATACCCCATGTATGAGACAGACAGTCATCCCCTGTACCCCATGTATGAGACACACAATTCACCACCTGTACCCTCTGTATGAGACAGACAGTTCGGCACACATACCCCATGTGTGAGACAGTTCACCCACAGTACCCAAAGAATGGTAGAGTATGTCTTCTGTATACCATGTGAAGTATAATCAGTCAGTTCACCACCCTGACATTGTGTTTCAGATCCCCGACGACCAGGGTGCCACAGTAGAGGGCATGGAGGAGTGGTACAAGGGGGAGAAGGATGGACATTCAGGCTGGTTCCCCAAAGCCTATGTGGAACTATGTGATGACCAATCTAGTCTGGGCGGTGCAATAGATAAAAATAATTTCAGGTAAGTTCTATTGTTCTTACAAGACATATTATTGGAATACCATACTGCTCTACTTGTACAGGAAATGAATAGTACCTGTTCTGTCAGTTTCCTAGACATTGCTATTGCAGGCTGACAGGACAGACAGATCTGTTCAGGAAATTGCACCTGCATTTCTTTCATTTTTCTATTAAGCACATAGTATAACTTGCCCATGCAAATAGTACAAAACCTTTATGAGTGACTGAGTTGGGATTTTTGCCGCTTTTAGCAATATTCCAGAAGTATCACGGCAGGGGACACCAGAAATGGGCTTCACACATTGTACTCATTTGGGGAATCGAACCCAGGTCTTTGGCGTGATGAGCAAATGCTTCAACCTCTAGGCTACCCCACCTCCACCCTTAATGATTTGCTTCACTGAACAATTGGATGGCCACTTTAACCTATGGCTAGTCATTATTGATGATGCTTAAATAAGTGTACAAAGCAAGCAAGTCATGCTTATATGTTTAGTATGTATCGGTCCCTAGAGTCAAGTACCACTGGACCCCCTTTAATATCAAATGCTATTGATGACCCACTGGATGACACTCTGGTGTCTGTGTCCAGGTTTATTGTGTCGTGATGCTCCTCAGGAGCACTTGTCAAGACATGATCTTGTAACTGTAAGATAGCTTGTCACTGTTGTAAGATATTCACAGGAATATTTCAACATATTTTACATTACAATCAATGATCCTGTTATTTCATATGTTACCTGTAATTTATCAACAGTGCATTCTCTGAGAAGACTGCTGAATCAGCTTGTGTAGAAGACATGAGCCAGGAGACTGTCGATGCCCCCAACCTGCTGCCCACATCCACAGACTCCCCATTCACTGCTGTATCACCAACACCAGGACAGGTGGGTTCATGTATAGTGGCGACAGGTTCATTAAAATGAAGAGGGGACGGATGGGATTTGTCTAGTTTGACTGACAGTTGGGTTCATGTCTATCACGGGCGGGGACACCAGAAATGGGCTTAACACATAGTGGGGATATGTGGTTTCATACCAGTTACGGACAGGTGGGTTTGTGTTCATGGGGACAGGTGAGTTTGTGTCTATGGAGACAGGTGAGTTTGCGTCCATGGGGAAAGGTGAGTTTGCGTCCATGGGGACATGGGGAGTTGCATCCACAGGGACATGTGGCTTGATGTCCTGTGGTTTCATGTCTAGTAGCTCCAGGATTGACAATGTCCAGAGGTGATATCCGGGTGAAAGTATGACTTACACACAACCTCTGGTGTTTCTGCAATATGAGATGGTGTCTGTTGTAATGGTTATTGCTTGTCACACAGGGACAGGAGGCACCAGAAGGTTTGATGGCTAAGGCAACCTACCCCTGGAAGGCAAGACAGGACAACCACCTCACATTCAACAAAGATGATGTCATCACGGTCAAGGAGCAACAAGACATGTGGTGGCTGGGGGAGCTCAACGGAAAGGTGATGACCAAGATCTTGAAGTTTGTGAAAAATAACTTTATGTTATGTAATGACAGACAAATAGGAACATGTTATGTTATGTATCATTTTCTTCTCCAACTTCTAAAATATTTCTGAAATAATTTACTGTGTGTTTTCTTGGAACATTAGTCTTATATTGAATTGTCTTTCAGAGTGGATGGTTCCCTAAGGCATATGTGAAGCTTGTTAGTGTTGGCTCATCCAAAAATAGGTGAGTTACCACAATTATATAACTGTGAAATGTATTTCATTATATAGTACCATCATATGCCTAATTACACTGCAAGTGTGAATGTTGTTACCTCTCTTGTGGACAATCGTTAATGATCATCTGCCATAGTAACCTAGATATTTGTGACAGGCCATGTACCATACTTTATCTCAATGTATATTTTACAGCTCAGCAACACCAAGTCCATTCAGCACATTGGAGAGAAATGGAAGCGCTCGGTCTTCGCCAGCTCCTGAGAAAAAAGATGGAGGTAAGCGTGAAATAGAAACGCTCTACTGTGCTGCAGCAGTTTAATAGAGTCTGCAGTCTTTCAGATATTTTCATATTGATCAGTACTGGGCCTGGTCACAAGTTCCATAAGGTCATTTGTGATGTATGTTACATTAGGAAATCATACAGTACAGATTTCATTCATTTTGATGATATGTACAGCAGCATTAGGATTTATTGTTTGTTGTTCGTTGTTGTTGTACTTAGATCTTAGAATTATATGCTGTTTAGGATGCTTCACCAATAGAGCATTAAGGTCCATGCTCACTGGCTGGTCAGTAAGTTATCAGAAGTGACTTTCATAGGAGGGTTTGTCATGCCTTGACAGAGAGGGACATCAAATGACCGAAAATTAATGAGATTTAGGACCCCTTAAATTGTGGGTTTTCACATGGGAGGACTATACTGTTTGAAATAGTAAACTGAAATGAATAATACAGTGAAAGATCATATAGGTTAAGGAGATAATCACTCAGTCAAAGGTTAAGGTGCAAACAACTACGATGTGTGTTATGTGATGGAATTAGGTGTTATGTAATCATTTGATAATATGTGTTTCAGAATACTATGTTGCCATGTTCAGTTACACCTCCGATCAGGAGTCCGACCTGATATTTAACGAAGGTGACATGATCCTGGTGACCATTGTGGAGGGCGACTGGTGGTCAGGAAGTATTGGTGACAAGACAGGTGTCTTCCCTGCGAACTATGTCAAGAAGATGGACATACAGGTAGGGAAACCTCCCTTACTTGTAGGACATGATAGTATTCAGAGTCCAGTGACTAGAGAACAACTTAGGAAGCAGTACTCTATGCTTAGGCAGGCAACCTCACTCTGGGGGGGTGTTTTTCTAGAGAACTCAACATTTGTTCCCGCATCAGCAAACAACCATCACCTGGACGTCAGCCAGCTTATTCCCAATTTGTACCTAATTTTGATAACTGGCCTGTTAGATCTCATACTTGTTCATTCTGGGAAACTGCTTGTGTTTTTCTGATATGCTGGTATATTAGTATGTGTTAAACACTGTTGAAAACTTAAATCAAGAATCATTCCCTAGTTGTTCTTATATGTTACATTGTATACACCCACATACTAGGAGAAACAGCCTTTTTAATTAAGTTCATTACATGAGCTTCTATTTGACTTCAGTAAAAGGTTTTGACAAATGATACAGCTATTGCTGGTGTCATTGGTTATTATGAACTGTATCATATCAATGTTTATTATTGTACATGTAACTTTAAGAATCAGCATTATTGTAAAGTATTATAAGTTATGTGGTATGAATTGTAAATTACTGCATCTTAAGTTACACATCATACCATGCTACCTCTCCAACACACTACCCTGATTCCAATGTGGAATCATACCTGACAATTGAAGCAAGACACTCAAGTCCCACCATCAATCCATTCCTGACAAATATCTTTAGTCTTACCAAATTCACCGAGCATGGAAATGTAATGGCCTCCATCATGTGACCTGCCACCATGTGACTTGATGACGTGTACTTCCCATCAAGCAGCCTGCCATAACACAACTGGACAACCTTCCATCAAACTTCCTCACTTTGTGCCATCTCCAATCACGCAACCTCCCACCTGGAAGTCTCTGTTGTGCATGACGTCACTCTTCCACTTTCTTCTCAGAGGCCTTCTGTATTCCATTGTGAAGAGTATCATGTCACACCACTTTCACCTCAGATGTCCTCATTCCAGCACATCATGTCACACCACTTTCGCTTCCAATTTCCTCCTGATTCCATTGTGCACAACACAATGTCACGTCCACTTCCACCTCCGTTGCCTGAAGCCATTTCTGTTGTGAACCTTTGCATGCTGCACAGAATTTGTTAGATATCTGCACTTTCTTCAACATATTTGTTGTTTCAAGTATCTTTTTGCCGGTACCTTCCATGCCTCAACAGCCTTGAACCTTAGCTTACAGGTTGAGTGAGGGGAATAATGCTGTCTATTACATTTAGAACTTCATTCTTAGGGGTGATTCCGAGTAAGTTTAAATACCATTGGCAGGATTGGGTCAACTCAGCACACACCCAACTCAAAAACTGTGAAAGATATCTCCAACTTTGCAATCTCCCCCGTTTTAAACTCTCTTAGTCTACCATGATGCCGATTTCAGTCAGCTGAAGTAAGGCAATAGGCTGAATTGTAAGCATACATGGGTGGCGTGGAATATCTCAGACAGTGGTTCCTTGCACCTCTTGCACTTTTCCGTCTCAGATTTTGTTGTTGTGTTATGATTCTTCTGTTGGTATGTCTCTTCTGTTGCATGTTTGTGTGTTGGTGTTGTACAGCCCGACTGGGATGACACTCCGCCTCCACCTCTTCCACCAGACTACCCACCCTGTCCCACAACAGGGGGTGGGACAAGCACCACACAGTCAGACAGTCTCTTCACTGGGCTAGATCTCCAGTCTGGAAAGACAAGCACCACTCAGTCAGATAGCCTCTTCAGTGGGCTGGATTTCCAATCTGGAAGCACAAGCATGATGCAGTCAGATAATTTGTTTAGTGGAATGGACTTGCAGGCTGGCTTCACAAACACAACTCCAAACATAGAAGGACAGGATCAAAGTCTCGGAACAGGCATGGATTGGGGAATAAGTGGCCCTGAAGAGAAGTCTGGATTATCTGGTACAGCTGATCCATTTGCAGGCCTAGACTGGGGAGGTGGATCAACATCAGACCTTCCTGCTGGCCATGATGATGCAACTGATGAAACTCCTGCAATAAGTAGCGAGCCTGGCTTGTCGTCACTTCTGGACCCTCTAGGATCAGGAAGTGGTCTCCTCCCGACAGACACCTCTCTGAGACCAAGTGGCAGCAGCAATTCCCTGGACCTGTTGGCTGACTTAGACCCCATGTCCCCATCTCTTTCCCCAGCAGTTTCTCCTGCAATGAACATATCTAGCCAAGATGCTCCTGATCCATTTGGCGACATGTTGAATATACAAGAAACACCCTCCTTTGACTTAGCAAGCATGGAAGCTGACAGCCTGCCTCCCATACCAGTAGAACTGACAGACCCTGACATCTTGGAAACTGTGTCATTTAGTGGACCTGAAGAATATTGTGATGATGTGTACGAGGATGTTGCACAGACTGGTGCCAACACAGGGCCAAAGTCTCCAACACCTACTATCACTATCACTGACACAGAGGATGGGAAAACAACATTGATGAATCAATCAAACAAACCTCCACGTCCTCCTCCGGTACTTCATACATTCATTTCCACTTACACGTCCACAATATATATCTTATATGCTATGTAATCATATAAACCATACCAATCATATGTATATTTATCCATTTTACGATGATTCTTCATTTGTCTGAAGGCTTATGGTTAAGGCCAATACTCTGATTTATTTTCTAGCATCATATATAGATTCAGATTTATATTTCTGTATTAATCAATAATCCCTTCAGCATGAACACTTGTGTTTCTCAACATTTATGTTTTTAAGATTTTACTTGAACAAATATCTACAATTATAAAGTTACTTCTTCTTGGGTTTTCAGCCAGGACAGAAAATTGCCAAGAAACCAGGTAAACATCTTCTTCCACCTCTTCCTCCACATCTCCTGGTCCAATATCCCTCTTACCAAATATTGCCATATCTCTTCAAATAGCATGTAATATCCCATAGGCTTTACGTGATGAAGAGACATACTGATATAGTGTTAACTTAAGAGAGACTATGTCTCTGATATCTAATTCTTGAACAACTGGGAATTGGCAAAGATAATTCTCTACAACTCAGGAAAGCATCTTAGTTATTGACAATTTTTTTTCCAGAGATTGCAATTGTGATAGCACCCTACTTGGCTACTGGCAACGGCCAGCTGTCCCTGGAGACTGGCAATATGATCCAGGTGCGGCAGAAGAGTCCACGTGGCTGGTGGGAAGGAGAGTTACAGGTAGGATGACTACTTCAGTCGTGAATAGGCCATCCTTGAGGGATGTTGCCACTGAATTAGACATGTCACCACAGTAGTAGAGAGGTTGACACAGTAGTTGGGAGGTCACCTCAGTAGTTGGAAGGTCGCCACAGTAGAAGGGAGGTCGCCACAGTAGTTTTGAGGTTGCCACAGTAGAAAGGAGGTCACCTCAGTAGTTGGGAGGTCGCCACAGTAGAAGGGAGGCGACCTCAGTAGTTGGGAGGTTGCCACAGTAGAAGAGAGGTTACCTCAGTAGTTGGAAGGATGCCACAGTAGAAGGGAGGTGACCTCAGTAGTTGGGAGGTTGCCACAGTAGAAAGGAGGTCACCGTTGTAGTTGGGAGGTTGCCACAGTAGAAGGGAGGTCACCTCAGTAGTTTTAGAGTTTGCTGCAGTAGAAGGGAGGTCACCTCTGTAGTTGGGAAGTTGCCACAGTAGAATGGAGGTCACCTCAGTAGTTGGGAGGTTGCCACAGTAGAAGGGAGGTCACCTCAGTAGTTGGGAGGATGCCACAGTAGAAGGGAGGTCACCGCAGTAGTTTTGAGGTTGCCACAGTAGAAGGGAGGTCACCTCAGTTGTTGGGAGGTTGCCACAGTAGAAGGGAGGTCACCTCAGTAGTTTTGAGGTTGCCACAGTAGAAGAGGGAGGTCACCTCAGTAGTTGGGAGGTTGCCACAGTTGAAGGGAGGTCACCTCAGTAGTTTTAAGGTTGCCACAGTAGAAGGAAGGTTGCAACAGTAGTTGGGAGGTTGCCACAGTAGAAGAAAGGTTGCCTTAGTAGTTGGGAGGTTGCCACAGTAGTGCCACTGTAGAAGGGAGGTCACCTCAGTATATTGGAGGATGCCACAGTAGAAGAGAAGTTACCTCAGTAGTTTTAAGGTTGCCACAGTAGAAGGGAGGTTGCCACAGTAGAAGAAAGGTTGCCTTAGTAGTTGGGAGGTGACCACAGTAGTGCCACTGTAGAAGGGAGGTCACCTCAGTAGTAACGTGTGCATATGTGTGTGACTAAGATGTAAGGAATGTAATGTACGTTTGTGGGTGTGACAAAGACGTAACATGTATGCTGAGTGTGACTGAAAGATATGTACCTAGTTTAATGTGTACTTGTATTCACAGGCCAGAGGTCAGAAGAAGAAGATAGGCTGGTTCCCTGCTAACTATGTGAAGCTTTTGGGTTCCTCCAGTGCAAGATCTACACCAGACAGGCAGCCAATGTCTGTCACTCCAACACCTCAACTTTCAGTGGTAAGATGGGTTGACAGACAGTCGATTGACAGGCACTGAACTAGAAGGTTAATTAGGGTAACACCTACTGGTATAATGGAACAGTCCACAGTCTGTTGAGTAGAGTTGGGTGAGCCACAAACAGGTTCGTTACCGAGAACAGAACTTTGTTGTTCTCAAATTGTGTTTACTGTCAATTACTATATAAAAACAGGTTTGTCACTGAGAGGTTTGATGGTGTTTTTTGATTGAAACATATTTCATGCATTCAAGAAAAGGATTGGGCACAACTACGAAACACTCTCCCAATATTAGGATATGTACAACAGAAGTTAACTGAGAAACGACTGATTTTCAGTAATTGAGATACCTGCATTGCCATGTAAGATAATACCAATCAGTGTTCTAATTTTACCAATACTTTCTAAAGATTGTAACAGTGTATGACAATGTTTTCAATATGATGCCGCCAACTCCTGTTAGACGAGAAGGTTATGTCCAGATGTTTATAAATATCAACTGTGTTTATATTGCAGTAATCAAAATTCAAATTAATGTCTTTTCGGCCATCTTTCAAAATAAATAATATAGCTTCAGTATTTTGTTGTGTTTTGATTTAGACTATTCCATTATAATGTGTAGGTAACAGGTTGTAGTTGATCTGTTCATTGAACCATAAAAGTTGTTGTTTTAAGGCGTCTGCGAACTGCCTGTCTGCGTAGTGGGAGGACACTGTAAGATGTAGCTGACATTATATAATAAACAACAGTAGCTGTCCTCTCAGAATTATCTCCTCTGCAATTAAATCAGTGAACAATTAGAGTTTATATCTGGTAATAAGGATTTGCTGAAACTTGTATTGTGACTATTCCAGCAATCTACAACAGGAGGTGGAAGTCGGTCAGAGACCCCTCAGTCTACATCGAGCCAGTCATCACAACCAGCGCCTGCAGCTGTTCCTGCTACAGGTGTGTGTTCATTACTGGGTAACCCCCAGGATGAATAATCTGATGGAACTACAAATAACTACTGTAATCGTATATATTTTTGCGGGGTGCAATTTTCGCGGAAAGTTCACAAAAGGCCTGTACGCGCAGTTGTTTTTTCGCCCATTTCAAACACCTGAGTGATGGTATCCATCACAACGTTTTCACAACCGATAGACATGAATGATCAAAGCTAGCTGCCATAATTGAATCGTGTTTACTAAAACAATCAGAAAGAGGCGGGATTATACTTGTGTCAACATTGTGATTTGTGGCTGACATCGCTTCGCGTGATCGAACATACAAAAGAAGACCAAAGACGTCAAATTTGCAATTAAACATTGCTAGAAAAGACTATTAACCTATTCAGTTCTAGTTTGTTTTTGTTAGGCATTGCCTTATATGCAGGTATTAAGATTACTGTGTGTAATTGTCTCGTATACAGCGCCGGAAATAGCAGTCAGCTGCAGTGCACACGTTCCCCTACGGGTGATTTAGTTAAAACGTACCCGATAATATTCCGAGATGCAGTGATCTTAAAAAGATAGTATCCCAAACTATTGTTTTTTAAAGAGAAATATGTTCTAGTTTTGTGTCATTTTCATTGCAGGTTGTGCTCTATAAATGTAAAATATTTATAATCATAACTAAGGTTATGGCTTTTAGCCGGATAGTTTTTATGCATGGAACAATTTAACCTGTCACTGATGAGGTTTCGCGCGATCTCGCTATTTCCACTACAAAAGTCGTTTGTTGTCAACATGTGATCGTCCAGCTACACTAATTATGACTTTTGGCGAAACAAAATATGTATACGTATCCATTTACTGTCAACTACACTTCATTTCGAGACGTGAGTAGACGCAGTATGTAAGTGATTGCTGTGAAATAAGTACATTGTGTTGAGGAATTACCGGTAGGCGAACATCTGTGGACTTCTTGACATTGTTTGATCTCGTAATTTGTAAACATGGACCGGGAATAATTGCTTTGATGTTGTTATCTGAGAGAATAAACAAATTGCATGTTGTTCCTACTTGAGTATTTGTCATGACTTCACCATGAATATTTCGCTTGGTATGATTATTGGCGCACAATCTTTTTGCGCTAAAAGCGCGAAAATTAATCCCACGCGAAAATAACTACAATTACAGTATGCATTCCTTTAACATGAGGAGACTGCCCTGTTTTGAGGACAGGAAAGATGTGAATTTGGAAATGACAAACTTTCACTTTAATAAAACTTCAGGAAATAACTGTAAATTTAATCTAGATCAAGTGAAGGACTTAGTTTTCCATACAGCTTGAATCCATGATGTACTGTCAAATGTATGAAGCAATATTAACCCCTCCAGTTGGTTCTGTTGCAGCAGCAGAGCAGGTGATAGCTCTCTACGCTTATGCTGCTCAGAATGCTGATGAGCTTACATTCCAGAAGGAGGATGTGATTACAGTGTTGAACAAAGACAACCCTGACTGGTGGCAAGGAGAGCTTGATGGCAAGACAGGCGTGTTCCCTGCAAACTACGTCACCCCACACAGCACAGCATCATGTAAGTAACAGCTAGCAGTAAAAGTTTTTTGCGTGATGTTGCTGATAATGTGTATTTGTACCCAGACAGCATTTAGTGTTGCTCTTTCTGTCAAACACAAGTTTGACTGTCCCTGATTGTTTACAGGTTGCAGTGACATAGCTGGAATAGTGCTGATTGCTATCTTGAAAGATATTCACTCGCTGTTTGCGAGTCCCACCTTCACAAGATGGGACCACATGCCTTGGATGTTAATACATGTAGTACATGTCTTGCTTCATTTGCAGTTACTGTTGTGATGGTGATGAATAGTGCAAAATGTGAAATCTTTCAAAACTGGACACCTGACTTATCTGGAACAACAATATTCTGCTCAAAATTAACCTCAAATGAGGCAGTGAGGCAGTTTTGGCTGCAGTCTCTACTGCCATATATGTGATGCTGATGAATGGGATGTAATTTCGAATCTTTCCATACCTGTCTTCTTTGGATCCATATTTAGTCCAGATTATTGAGATTGCAGAAGGACATGAAGAAAAGAAATGGGAAAATATCATTGAAATAAGTTGTATATATTGTAGTCAATTCATGATTGTTATTGTACCCTAGTACAGACAACGTTTGTTAGAATCCAGTTTTGACTGATTCCAGGTTAATTTAGAACAGAATTACAATGTATGAAACCATTGTAATATTCAACATCAGTTACTTAAACCCCCCTAAACCGAATTTCTTCCTTTGATCATTAAGATCGTAAACTAGTGAATCTGCCAGACTTTCATGCTCAATGTTTAAGTCCTGTCAGTTGTGAGAGTGACTCTATTTAATCTGCTGCCTGTTCTTATCTACAGGATATGACATCGTTGTTGGTGCTGCCGAGTGAGAAGAGATTGTTTGAGCCAGTACATCCCCCTGGCCAGTCACAGATGCTCCCACTACACCCTGACACACCCCTACCTGGCCCCTCCCATCCACACCCACCCACCCACCTATCCTGTGTGACGCGTGGATATGCCCACCAACACCAGGGTGCTACCATATTTGCATACAAACCTGCAGAAAACTGCATAGTGTCTTCAAATGTGGACCATTTTATCATTCAGTTATTTTTTTCATTTTTAATTTCATTTTGAAACTAAAATCTGGTCCTATGTGAAGTAGTTTAGCTTTGGTGTTAATTAGGATAATATATATCAGGTAGAGAATCATTTGTGGCAATATTATCTGCAGTGTACTTAATCGTCAACTTTTGTCACAGTGTTTTCTTACCTGGTAGTTTTACAGTCTAACTCTAACAAGTGCATGGCATGCTGATAGCCGTATTGATAAACAAATTATGTATCTGTATAAACTTGAATATATTAATCTTACAAATCATTCAGTTTCTCATCAAATGACAGTGTAGTTGAGCATGCCCCTCCATGGTTTATCCCCTGCACAAAATTCATGCTTAAATTGTCTCCCCTCCAGTGTGAAACATCACACAACTGCATGTTTTGATGCCCATGCTTATTTAAAGGAAACACAGTTTAAAAACTTGCTGATTGTACACCAATTAATGACTTTGCAACATGTTTGAAATGGGCACTTTGGAATTCCTATAGTATGCAATGAATGGACTGTAGTGCGAAACGTAGACATCAGTTGTTGCCATGATGTTGTTGCTCTTGATGAAGCTTACTACACCAGTGTGCATGCTGCCGGGGTAGTACCTATGTTACAATTAACACCAAGACTTACTCACATATAGCTCGTGGCATGATGAACCAAATATGCAAATATGGTGTCACATCACTTTCTACGCATTGTGATTGGTAATATGCAGGTGACAGATGCAGCTCAGTCGTCGCCACCGGCAACGCAGGAGTGGGGTCTCCACACAGCACTAGTACTGGCTCAAACAATCACTTCTTGGCAAAACTTGGTAGTTAAAATTAAACATTTTACCTTTCTTTCTACTCCTTTCCTTCCTTGTTATATATTTTGACCGCTTTGGGTGTGCCATGATTTTAAGAGTTCATCTCCTCTACTGTAGCTTCATCCTCACAAGCATATTACCAAATTCCCCGCTGTACTTAAAGAGCAATCATTTGACTGTGCTTCATCAGCGATCACTTTATTGCCCTTAATGGCCACAGGCCAGATGTACACAGATGATCAAGGATGTGACCATTGTTCGAAAGCTGCTAGGTTTACACATGTAAAATAACTAGTAATATTTCCATGAGACTACCACTTTTATCATTAGGTCGAAATGTTTTTCTAACTTGTGAAAATGAACATAATATCTAACCATGACTATCAGAGATCGACTTGACATTACTAAATTGGCACGAGTATTATCATGTTTAATGGTTGTCTCATCTATATTGCTGGTAGGCATTACTGAAATTTGTAGGATTACTTATATACATGACAGAAGTTTATTGTTTCAGAATTAGGGCTGCAACGATTTTACCCAGACCTCGATTCGATTTGATTTTCAATATTGGACCCTCAATTCGATCATTTCATTTCCAATTCAATTCTTCATACATGTTAAAACATCTGATTTCATTTAACTCTCAGAGTTTATTAAAGAAAACATATCACACTGAAAACTTTTTCCAAGATTTGACTAGTAAAACATGAAAGTAAATGATGTAACCTTTTCCAAATAAATAAAATATGATGTTTAAACACTGAACAGCACTCAAATATCGAATCGAAATAGTGATAATGATTATTGAAAATCGAATCTAAGGTGTCAAATTTGATTTTCGATGAATCGAACCTAATCGTTGCATCCCTATTCAAAATGATAACTTTTACCTGATAGCTCCTGAATCATCCTAGACAGCATCCTGGTCACCTCTGTGTTTGTCTCGTCAAGTGGAGGTTGATAATGTCATCATATGTCAATCAAAATGTTCTTCTGTATGTATATATGTAGCCATGCTATAATCTGTGTATACGGATGTAGGGTGTTTGTATTCATAATAATTAGTCTGTGAATGGCATTTTATAATGGTGCTTATTGCTTAGCTGAGCACTGGTGATACAATGGCGTCAAGATCACAGCTTGTAGATACATAGTGGTGATTGTTCTATAGACATAATCTCAGTTCAATCATATTGTCTTACTATTTTGTCTAGAGTATGTGTGAGTTCCAAACTGTGAATGTGTATTTCATCTGAAACCAGTTTCTAGGATCAAAATGGTCATTGAGTACATGTGAGATGAAATCAAGTATAGATGTCAAACTGTTTGTGATCGATCTCCAATACTGTGACCATGGTAACTAGTTTGTATATTATTGAAATTTTCAGTGTAAAACCAATGAGATTTGTCTGTATGAAGACAAGATAGTTCTCACCAAAAACCATAATATGAACAAGATTGTGTATAGGTTTTAATTATGCTTCATCTTAGTTCTGTGTTTTTTTACTGATTTAATACTCACGGGTTTTTGTGCATATCAGCATAGAATAGACAAATGGCTCAGTGATCCTGCTTGTATATGGTATGACCTTCACAAAACACAATACAATCTCCATGTATTTCCCTACATTTTATACAGTACACAATTTAGGTGTATTGCCCATCTTGATATGCGCAATATGTATGTATTTCCCTACGTGTTTTTTAATTAGCCTGAATCCTAAATGTTGTAGTGTAATAGTAAATATTTATATGACAGCAGGTAACCATGGTTACCAGTGCTCTCTGTTGACCAGCCTGATTACATTGAATGTGCTGTGGAAACATTTCTACATGTTCCTGGTGCACGGAAAACGAATAATTTTCCTCAGCAATTAATCTGAAGTGTGACAAGACATGGGCCATTTAGCAAACACAAGAGATTCTGGCTCACATAAACCATACCGTCAGCACAATGTAGATTGCTTTTGATTAGTGGGGGAGTGTCTGTTTCTCTTGTGTGTGTTACGGATCCCTCGCCTTTGGCGTCTGAACAAGGGGAGTTCCACTTCTGGTATGCAACATGATGACAATACTGAGATAGTTTAATAGCTTGTGAGTAGTAGCATGTAGCTTTCTATGGCACCGACCATTCCATATTCTTGGGGAGGCCTGGCTATTTTAAAATATTTAGTATTTATTTGTTCCAGAAAATACTGTGAAAAAACACATCTTGTCTCAGGTTTTGATATATGCAGTTGTTTGCTGGATGTGCTGAATGTACAGAATAGAATGTCACTGGCTTCATCTATGGACAAAAATTGTATGTCTTCAAACAGTGACCTAAAAGTATTCTTTCTTAAATAAAATCAGTCTCAAGGCAGAAATCTATGTAGAATAGTTCACTATCTAAATTCAGCCCTAAGTCTGGCAGGGTTCATCTAGAAATGATGCCATTTGCTGCAAGGCATGTTGGTTGTTTTAGGTGACTTACACTTGATAACCAGCGCTATAGAGATGAAGAGGCTTTAATGCGGTTTTCTCTAGTAAATGTAATGTTGAAATGCATCTGAATTTAAGAAAATCATTATTATTATTCTTAAATCACAATTTTGAACAATATCTGTATTTCACAATTTTCTTGACAAGGGCACTTAATTTAGAATCCTTGATAAATCCCTGCAAGAGTATTAAATGGTCGGTCCAAGTTCTGATGAAATATAGATGGATAGAGTCTGAAGAGCAATTCTGTGCAGAGATTGGACTGTGCCTTGTGAACCAGTAGTCACAGCTTGCAGTAGACTGAGCACAGGATGATGGAGCACGTAGAGCTGAGTGTAGTAACAGTGCACACATTGAAGCTGGGACTTCTAGTTCAGAAAATACTGTTGTCATTCAAGCAGAAGTGGTTAGTAACATTTTATAGTATGATTAGTTGGGTACAAGAACAATGTAGATTAGTAAGACATTTGTAACTGAACTAAGTTTGCTCACATAAGTGCATGGAATTCATTGTAGTGTAATTAATGAAGATGAATCCCATCTTTGATGTTTAGCTTTTCTCATCACAGTATGTATTTTTTGGCTACAAATTGTAAAATGTGATAATTGGTGACCTTCT